GTGGATTTGTTGAGGGCCCTATAATCTACACAAAAATGCCAACTCCCATCTTTTTTCTTCACCAGAAGTACCGGGCTCGAATACGGGCTTCCACTGGGTTGAATAATCCCCGCTATGAGCATTGCTTTGACTTGTTTCTCGGTTTCCTCCTTCTGCACCTGAGGACAGCGAAACGGCCGTACGCTGACAGGATCGGTACCCACCGTCAACACGATGCTGTGCTCTCTTTCACGCGATAGGGGTAAGCCTTGAGGCTCCGCGAAGACTTCTTTATAGTCCTCGAGTACCTGAGCAAGTTCCTCAAGGACATTCACGGCCTCCCACTCCTCTGCTTGAAGGCCACAAAACTCCACTACCATACCCTCTCCTTGTCTTTCCCACTCCTTCCAGAGTGCCTTGAGAGCAACCGCAGAGCTACAGATACTCGGGTCACCCTGTAGCTTAATCGTTTTGCCCCCTTCCTGAAAGCTCATCGTCTGCAACTTCCAGTTATTCTGCGTATCCCCCAAGGTCTCCAACCACTGCACTCCGAGGATTACGTCAGCTCCCCCTAGCCCCAATGGAAAGAAATTTGCAACCATATGGTACCCTTGCATTTCCAGCTCGACATTTGTGCAAAGGCCAGTTCCCTTCACCGTGATACCGGTGCCGGTAAGGACGCCGTACCTTCCGGTCATCTCTGTCGGTATCCCCAGCTGTTTGACCACGGTGTCGCTCAGGAAGTTGTGTGAGGCTCCACTGTCGATCAGCACCACGACGGACAACCCCTGAATAGTCTCCATCAGCTTAATGGTCCTTGGCGATGAGATTCCGGCCATGGAATTGAGGGATAGCTCAGCTAGCTCCATCACCAACTCGGCTTCCCCCTCGTTTTGCCCTTCAGAATCCTCCACCCATTCTTCTTCTCGTCCATCATCGTAAACCACAATTACTCGCAACTCCGCTTGAGCGCACCGGTGGTTGTAGCCGTATTTCTCATCACAACGGAAGCACAACCCCTTTGCTCTCCGCTCTACCATCTCCACCGCTGTCAGTTGTCGAAACGGTGGCTTCAGTCGATCGTGCCCCTTTAGGTTATTTCCTCCTCCTCCCTTATGCGGCGTCGACTTATTGAAGCTCTGGTAGTTGGGCTTGGGCTTAAAATTTGGCCCATTACCCGTTGTTTGCCCCCATTTGTTTCCAGATGGCCCGTTTCTTCCTCCCGTGAATCGTGAATCTCCTCCACTGTCACCGGAGCTCAGGGACAACGCAGGGTTTCCGTACTCCTCCCAGTCTTCTATCATCTGTGCCAGACTCATCATCGTATCCAGATTATGAGGTCAGAGCATCCTTACATGTAATCGGTTTTTTGAATCGAGCCCGTTCATGCCATTTCCAGGACTTGTTCCGACAGCTCCGGGGCGTTAGATGCTAAAGCGATGAACTCCCGGCAGTATTCACGGACAGACCCCACCTGTTTTATCCTTAATAGACGTGCCCCGGGGGTGGAATCGGGCGTCGTCGAGTGATGACTCAGCACTCTAGCTTCATCTGCTCCCAGCTCGGAAAGGGATCACGCTCTCGCGCCCAACGATACCAGGAGAGCGCATCACCCACAAAGCTCATCCGCACAGCCTTCAGCTTTTCTTCCTCGGTGAAGCTACTCAGCTCAAAGTACTGCTCCACCCGTAAAACCCACGCCTCTGCGTTGCTCCTGTCAAACTCGGGAATGGCCATTTTCTTTGTCAACGAGTCATCCCTCACGGTCAACGCTTTTCTGTGTTGACTGATCGGCGTCCCCGTCTCCACCGGAACCACCCGTTCATCTCCTGATCATGGCTCACTCGACGATGCGCTCATCGGACTCGGGTTTTCCACGGAGGTCTCCGTCTCTTTCCCTTTTCCGCGGTCCATCGCTTCGATCTTCTGCTGGAGATAGATGATCTGCGAGGGAAGCTTTGTGAGTTCCTCCAACGCAGTCACCTTTGCTTCCAACACGTTCACCTTCTCGAGGGACACCGTCATCACCTGGAGTTGGTCAAACAGCTTCTCCATGTCCGTTCGTTCGTCGGTTTTTTGAACTCGCGGAGGCATGTTTCCCGGCGATCGTCTTGCTCTGATACCAAGTTTGTTACGTGTAGTGATCAAAGCAAAATGTAATCACCGAATTAATAACAAGTACTTTAATGGAATCGATCAAATAAGTGTTTACAATAACAGAGAATCAATAGGAAAGACTCTCTCTTTCTCTCTCCTCACCCTCCCTAATGATCAACTCCGTGATGAAAAAGCAAAACACAAACCCGCCCCCTATTTACAGATCCCAAGAGATTCCCCTTTTTGCTCACGTCTCGTGTGCAGTCTTTATTCCCCCAACCTTACTTCTCCACGTGTCTTCCTTCTCACAAAATATCGCCTCGTCGCTTTTCTAGAATGTCAGCACTACACTCACGAGGCCCATCCCTTCTCAAGCCCATACTCCTTTGGCCCTTCTCTTATAAGTGTAGAGAATGGGCGGCTTCAGACCTTCGAATGTATCAGCATACCAATTCATGGAAATCTTCTTCTTGTGGCCTTTGTTCAGAGCTGTAACCAATTGCAAAAAGAATAAGTCAGTTTTTCTCTCTGTGAAACAATTTAGACAGATGCTAGCTTTCTAGTTACGTAAGAAGTAGTTTTTAACCACAAAACCCTAGAAAAACAGAAGGAGGCGCATCCCAACAAGAGAATTCAGATTTACTTGGAGGAAAGCGGCAAGTTTCTCCAACTTGCCGAGCCATACCCGTTCAAAAGCTGTAAAGCCTCGAGTTCGCACTTGCGATTCTCGACCTTCTGCAAGCATAGGAAACAATTTCATTTGAGAAAAGGACAGCAAATGCATCTGGGTGTCATGTGTATATATTATGCATACCACTGCTTCTTCTTGTAGCGTTGGTTCAGATCTGTATCATTTGCAAACCCAGAAGAATAAGTCAATAAAATCCCTAAACGTTTTTCTCTGGCAAAACCCCTAGAAAACTCATCGTTCCCACAGGATTACCTGGGGAATTCGCAGGAAATGGACATCTCTCCCTCGTTCATCGTCGTGTGATTAGGCTTCAATTCCAGTTTACGTTTCCTACACCAGTTTTTACGTATCAACAAGACAAGTTTTTCAAAAAATATATAGGCAAACAATGTATAGGTAAACTTTGATTTAACAAAAAAAAATATAGGTCAACTTTTTCTAATACAAATTCTTCTTTATTCCTTAAATATTTTATCATTTAGCAGTAATAATTTTTTCCTTATGTAAACTTTATCATATAGGTAAACTTTCCAATACTAATTTTTTCCAAAACAATATACATTTTTTCCAATACTAATTATTTTTGTGCTAACTATTGTGCGAATCAGGGAGTAACAACGTTATGGAAGATCTCGATGAAGTACCCTTTCTTGAGGAAACTCGCAGGCATGACGGCTAAGTACGGCTTCAAACCCATGTTCATGATGGAGAACGCTGGAGTTTTGCAGGTGGATTTGGATGGGAAGCCCATTGCATTGTACCATGATGATAAAAGCTCTCACACACCCACTGAAATATCCTGCACAGTAGAAGAGGCTTTGAACTTTTACATCGACTATCATTCACTGCCACACAATGTAAAACCATCGACCCTGAGAAGGATAATGATGATAGGATCTTTCTCTCTCGAATTATTAGTAGCATGAATTATGGATTACAAAGCATACAAGATTGTAAGACATACCCCTACATAGAAGAAGATAAGGACTACAGTAGTACAGTTGTAACATAAGTCAATATACTCGACACCAATTTGAACATGCAGATGATGATTTTTTTTTGGCTCATGGATGTTCCATGTTTTTGGGAATCGACCATACCATTTTTTTTTCCATCAAAGTCACCATGTATTGATTTTAGTTTCCAAAAAGACTTGGCTCAGGAGCCAGCCATTCTGCAATAAAGGAGTCTACATGGAAAAACAGTAACCACGTGCTTGAGCATTCTTCGCGAGATAGTCAGCACAGACATTTTGTGATCTGGGGATAAAACTTAAGTTAAAAAAGTGAAAGGACTCCTTTAGAAAGGAAAACTCCTCTAATTCTGTTACGAAAGCTGGCCACTCTTTCTCCTCATCGATCAGTTTCACCAGTTGTAGGCAGTCTGTCTCTAGGTGGATTGAGCAAATTTGGAGGTTTGACAGTGCCTTCATGGCTTCTAGAAGAGCTTCAAATTCCGTATGAAGGGGTGATTGTCTATGTTCCTGTGCCCAGAGGCCAACAGTCCGTTCTCCATTCCCCCAGTCCAGGAAGAAACCACCTCCCCATACCCAAGACGCATCTACTTGGCAGCGCGGATGGGTAGTCTCGCACAACTCCGTCTGGATTGGCTGTAAATTTGGCTCTACACTTACTTCTTCTGTCGTTAATATGGAGAACAATTGCTGTTCGATGCCAAAAAACACCATCTCGCTCTCTTCTTCGTTTGACGGACTCCACGATCCATAATAGAATTTCGAGTTACAGAGATGCAAACACGACACTTGCCTCTTCTATGCTTCAGCTATGGCTCTCCACTGCTGTGAACTCGGACTTGCAGAGCTTGGCTGCCCCCTGCTGCTGCTTTTAACCACGGCTGAACGAATGTTTCCCGACAAAACTATCGGATTTCCTCCGTCGTGTTTATCTAATTTTGTTCATAATTTTAGTGTTTTATTCTTGGTTTATTAACTGTGGGTTTAGACCCAAAACACTATAGTGGGTCAATCCATGTTTCATCTTTCTTCCCCTCGGTATGTAGTGATTCAACATAGGGCCTGATGTTGTTGGCCCAAATAATTAATATATTGGGCCATCTGATAAAGCCCACAAAGTAGGACTACGACCATTGAATGGTTCCGTACCACGGAGAAAGAGATTAGAAATTCAAAGATACTTATCAAAGTCAACGATTGATATCTACGATTGCCACATCAGTCAAAACGTTGCATCTCTCTCATCACTCCGAAATTTGGAGTTGTTCACCATTTCCCACAAAACCAATCCTTTCTTCAATTCAATGGCTCTATCTTTCTTCTCCCCACGTTTGCTCATCTTCTCCATCATCATCATCCCCTTCCTCGCTTCTATCGCTCTCTACCGGCTCGACACCTTTGATCCAGCTCGACTTCCCGATGAAGCATTACTCTACTCCACTAACTCCATCCCGCCGCTTATCAACGACCGATTTCTCACCGGTGCAGAGTTTATCGGCGTCGGTCTTCTCAAAAGTCCAGAGGATATCGCCTACCACCGAGACTCAGGTCTCATCTATACTGGCTGTGCAGATGGATGGGTAAAACGAGTCAAGGTACTCGAGTCAGCTAACGACTCAGTCGTAGAGGATTGGGTTAAGACCGGTGGTAGACCGCTCGGTATTGCTTTCGGACTCCACGGCGAGGTCATCGTCGCAGACGCATACAAGGTTCGGTGTGTTTTTGATTTCCGGAATCAAAATTTTGAAAATCTCAGGTTACAAAGAATCAGGAGATGATTTGTGTTTGTGTGTGTAGGGGCTGTTGAACATAAGCAATGACGGGAAGAAGACGGAATTACTGACGGATGAAGCGAAAGGAGTGAGATTTAAGCTCACAGATGCAGTCGCCGTCGGGGATAACGGCGTTTTGTATTTCACAGATGCTTCTTACAAATATAACTTCCATCAAGTCGCCTTTGACATGTTGGAAGGCAAACCCCATGGCCGACTTTTGAGCTTTGACCCCACCACACGAACCACGCGTGTCCTCCTCAGAGACCTCTACTTCGCTAATGGCGTCTCTATGTCTCCTGATCAAACCCATCTCGTCTTCTGCGAAACCACCATGTCATCTTTCTCTCTCTCATCTCTGTAATCTCATTATCTGTGCATTATTGAATCATCATCTCAAGTTGTCCTCTTCTTGGTGTGTTCTCAGAAGAAGATGCAGCAGGTATTACATCAATGAGGAGCGTGTGGAGCTATTCATTCAAGACTTACCCGGTTATCCAGACAACATCCGGTACGATGGAGATGGACATTACTGGATTGCATTGCCTTCGGTAATACACAAATTGAAATCCTTTTTACGATGTCTACGATGAGCTTGTATCATCATCTTCTTTTGTTGCGTATTGTCAGAACGTGTTGTGAATACAGGGAGTAACAACGTTGTGGAAGATCTCGATGAAGTACCCTTTCTTGAGGAAACTCATAGCTATGGCGACTAAGTACGGCTTCGAAATTATGTTTCCGGAGAATGCTGGCGTTTTGCAGGTGAATCTGGATGGGAAGCCCATCGCACTGTACCACGATCATACAATAACTCACATAACCACAGGAGTCAAGATTGGGAAATATCTCTATTGTGGGAGTCTCTTGCACTCCCGCATTATCAGACTCGATCTCCTGAAATATCCTGCACACTAGTAGAAGAGGCTTTGAACATCAAGTTCATACACAATAAATAACTTTTTTTTTACGTTGACAATCATTTCACTGTTACAAAATGTAAACCTGAGAATGATGATGATGATGAGGATAGGATCTTTCTCGATTGAATATCAGTAGCATGAAACATTTATTGATTCCAAAACATACCAGGTGCAAGAAATACTCCTACATAGAAAATGATAATGACCACACTAATACAGTAGTATAACCAGGAACATAAATCAATTATATTCAAAACCAATTTGGTTATAATAAAGATTGACTTTTTGGTTCATGGATCTAATTGCCAATTGGTGGATTATGTATGGATTATGGTTAAGAATTGACAAGTGATTGGATTGAATTGTACCTGTGAAATATCAAAAGTAAAGATTTGTAAGAAGTAGGAATCGAACCGATGGCCTTTAGGAAGCTAGCTGGCTTTGAAAGGTATATATATGTTGTGGTCTCCCACTAATAAGATTAAAACAACTCCAAAGACTTGATCCAACCGATTGACGCTAAATCATTGCACGTTCTTACGCATTCCATAATTCTATTCCTCTCATAATTCGCCTTTCTCTCTATTTCCCGACGTTTCCCGGCGAAGCTTCAGATCTCCTTTTCCTCGCTCAGGTGATCTCCTTCTACTTTCTCCTTCCACCATCTTCCTTTGCTTTTTTTTTGGGGATTTTCTTCTTCTTTTCCTTGCTTTCGTCTACGATTAGTCAATTTATCCGATGTCTGTGGTTGATTTTTGTAGTATGGAGGCGGCCGATTCTCGGAACAAATTGCATTCCCATTTACGTCTATGGGAATTTCCCGATCAGTATGTCATCGAGCCAGCTGATGGCTCAGGCGCTCCGTGTTTGGATATTAGTCGTGTTGACGCTTCCATGAAGCTCATCGGTTCGTTCTTCTGTTCCAACGTTTCTTCAAATCTTTCTTTGCTTTTACTGGGAAATTGACAAATGGTTGATATCTGATTCTCTTTCCTTGCGTTTCTTCTGCTCAGATCAAGTCGCAGAATGCAATTCCTTGCGTGTCCCTAAAATTCAACCCATTTTTGGTGTTGTTGGGATGTTGAAGCTCCTCGCAGGTTAGAAACAATTATCTTATGGATCAATACTGTCTATATTCGTACTGTGTATGCTGCAAGTGTTCATGATCTACTTTCCTTTAGATCTGGAATCTATCCTAGAGTTTGATTTCGATTGCACATTTTTTCAATTCAGGATCATACTTGGTGGTTGTGACGGAGACTGAACGTGTTGGCTCGTTTCTGGGCCATCCTATTTTCAAAATCACATCGCTCAAGGTTCTTCCTTGTGATCATTCACTTAAAAACTCCCCTGAAGAACAGGTAAAAACTGAGCCCCAATTTTGCTGGTAATATATTTAGCAGTAATGATGGATCTTAACTCTCAAATCATTGTGTACAACTTCTGGCAGAAAAAGATGGAGACTGAATTCTCCAAGCTGCTAAGTGTCGCGGAAAAGACAACTGGTCTCTATTTCTCATATGAAGTTAACTTAACACTGAGGTAAACGGTTTTATCTTCTTCCTTATGATGCATTCTGCTTACAGATTGATGTTGAAAATTTAGGAATGTTGTAGTAGTGTCCCTAAGGCATGTATAAAGCAATTTTTTCCTGAAAGTATTAGACATGCTACTCTGGAAATATTCTGTTAGTTTTGATCTTTCATTTTGTGATTTCAGCTCACAACGCTTGCATGATTTGGGTGATGACTCTAAGTCGCTTCCTCTGTGGAGACAGGTGACCATATTGCTACTTTTGTGAAATTTGTCAAACTTCCTTACAAACATTATTTAGTCTTTCCTTGTGGCTTTGTGACAGAACTGAAAATAACTTCTTTGTCCATTTTTTAGGCTGAGCCAAGGTTTCTTTGGAACAATTACATGCTAGAGGTTCTTATCGATAATAAGGTGGGTGTATTCCGGACGTTCTTTGCATTTCTCACGGTTCCTTGTTTTTCATACTTGCAGAATATCTTACCTTTCTTTTCCTATGTTTGCAGCTTGATCAGTTCTTGCTTCCAGTAATTCAAGGGAATATCCTTTTTAATCAGTTGTTTCACTCCCTTTTCTTCTATTTACTTGACATGGCTACATTTTATTATTGAATGATTCTTTCCTTAACCTTTAATCACGCTTTAATAGTTTTGAAACAGCCATTGGAAGAGATATTGTGAACATTACTCTGATTGCAAGAAGATGCACTAGAAGAAATGGTACACATTTTTCTCTGTTCTATTTTAAGCGTGACGCTTCGATTTCCAGTTGTTCGAGGGTAACAATCCAAAAGTATGGGGAAAGTTTCAATATGTTTTATTGTATTAGTGTCCAGCGTGAATGTGTAAGTAGGACACTGAAATTTCAGTCATTTATTTGACTACTAGGATCTTTCTACCAGATAACTATAGCAAGGAATTCAATAGAACTTGATGGTACTTATTTTTAGAATGGAAAAGCACGATGGGTGGCACCTTAACATCAATATGAACTTATATATTTTAGATAGATAGGAGACATATATGTGTCCTCGCCTTCAGGAATGAGTATTGTGTTGTGATTGTGTCTTCCCCCTTACCTTGTATCATTTGCAAGGTACGCGTATGTGGCGAAGAGGAGCTGATCTTGATGGCTATGTTGCTAACTTTGTGGAGACTGAGCAAATTGTACAGATGAATGGTTATTCTTCATCATTTGTTCAGGTGTGGTTTTTAACATGCAGTCATATTAGGAATTCCCTTATGCCGCAAATCTTTGATCACTTCATATATACCAATCGCATGCTTCTTCCTTTTTTCTTTGCATACAACTGTTCTCAAGACTGAACTATCCATGATTGAATTCTTGATGTTATTTTACCTTCTACATTTTCAGGTCAGAGGATCCATGCCTTTTATGTGGGAGCAAATTGTAGATCTGACTTACAAACCCAAGTTTCAGATTGTGCAACCTGAAGAAGCTGTGAGTATTAATTTCTAATTAAATATTTTCTCATTTAGTTCCTTACTTCTTTTAAGTACCTGCATTGGGTGTTTCTCTTGCAGACACGAATAGCTGAGCGTCACTTTTTGGACCTAAGGAAAAAATATGGATCAGTTTTGGCAGTTGATCTTGTTAATAAGGTACATATTCTGTCAAATGTGGAGTTTTGCGAGCTCTTCGTGATCTTTCAGTTAAATGCAATGCATACATCTTCTTTAACTTTTTATTCCTGAATTGCTTCTTCTCTAACCAGCATGGAGGTGAGGGGCGCTTAAGTGAGAAGTATGCTAGTGTTATGCAACACATTACTGGGGATGAAATAAGGTAGTTAATATGTTGTCTAATGAACTTCTTAGATCGTTTATATCTGATTGTCTTCAACTCATTAAAGGAGGTGCCTTATCCTGTAGATACCTGCACTTCGATTTCCATCGCATCTGTGGCCATATTCATTTTGAGCGCCTATCAATTCTGTACGAGCAGATTGAGGGTTTTCTTGAACAAAATGGGTATAAATTTCTTTGGATATTTCTAGCTATATAATTTTAAATTAAGAATAACTAAAAAAAATGGTATATCATTTTGTATTCTCCCACAGGTACTTTCTGTTAAATGAAAAGGGTGAGAAAATGAAGGAGCAGCTTGGTGTTGTCCGAACAAATTGCATAGATTGCTTAGACCGTACAAATGTCACCCAGGTTAGTCATAATAATATGCTGATGCTGTTCTTACCTCATTGGCCTTTGCTCATCCATGCCGCATACTTCCTGCCAAGTGCAGAGCATGATCGGTCGAAAGATGTTAGAACTTCAACTCAAAAGGATCGGTGTTTTTGGCGCTGAAGAAACCATAAGCTCGCATCCGAATTTTGACGAACGCTATAAAATATGTCAGTCTCGTGTTTGTGTAGGAAATCTGATATTGCAGTACTTAGATGTAAAAATTCATAAATCTTGCTTATGCGCTTTCCCCTTTCAGTATGGGCTAATCATGGTGATGACGTCAGCATTCAGTACTCTGGTACTCCTGCACTTAAAGGAGATTTCGTCAGGTAATTTTTCCATATGTTTAATCTCGTGTCTCAGTAAGTCCTGCCTATAAGGAAAATATGCAGTCAATATAAGAAGAGGGAGTGTTTTGTAGATTTACTATACAAGCCATCTCATGTGCCTGTAACTGGCTCAATTCTAGGTATGGGCATCGGACTACCCATGGTGTCCTTAAAGATGGCTGGAGCTCCCTCGTACGCTATTACCTGAATAACTTTGCTGATGGAACTAAGCAGGTCGGTGGTTTCTCATTCTCAGTAACTATACTTTGTATATAATATAATAATAACGTTCAGTTGTAAAAGTACTTAGGACTGTGTGCGACTACACGTCGTATCATGTACCCACGAAACTGGAATGTGTCCTGACTTTAGCTCATTTTTGTGGCTGTGTGCAAAAGGATGCGATTGATCTCCTGCAAGGACACTATATAGTTGCTGTGAGCCGAGACGTAGCTCCTGTGCCTCAAAAGGGAGGCATCGAGGCTATAGCCGTAAGCATTCATCAGATTTAGAATAAAATATCCCCCACCCCACTTCCTCAGTCTTACAACAAAGTTTTTTTTTATTTCTCAGAACTTCCCAGTGGCATTGGCGGTGGTTCTGCTCAGTTTCTGGTTTGCAACAATGTCTCTGAGACAAGGTAAGCCCGATGATTCTTTTGCTGGATGGTTAGAGTTTCTTTCAAACTCAATCTAAAACAGTGTAAAAATGGTGTGCAGCTGGGAGCGATTATAAGCATAGGCACTTGTTCTTCTCTCTCCTGTGGACGGGGATCTGTGTGGGCGTCGCAGCGCTGGTTAGGGCCAATGGCAGAATCTTCTGCAACCGTCCTCGTCTACACAAGCCCAGAGGCTGATCTATTTCTCCACTCGGGGGTGGCCATTGTGATCACTAACTAAGAGACATGGTGGCTCAAGTCAGAGCCAAAAGTTTTCTCCGTTTGTTATTTTAAAGTTGGACCTTTGTGACGCCATCTAGAGGCAATTGTCTCAGGTGGGGATCCCTCACGATTTTAATACTCCCACAGCCATCAAATGACTCGATACAATTACAATTACACATCATTCTTCGTTTTTCATTCAATGATTAGTCAGGCTTGGTAGATGGTCCCGAATGACTACTTTGTTGTATCCAAAAGTCTCCGAATTTTAACCTCAAGTCGGATCAAGATGAGGAGAATGATTACAGACGTTTTAAGACAAACCAAAGTGGCCTTCTAGTTCAGGAAGCAGCTCAATAAAGCAAATTCGGACAATCAAGTAGACTAATTTGGTATTTGTGACAATTTAGTAAGGTGAGGAGTGGAACTTTTGCTTGATCTCATCAAGCAACGGTTTTAACCGTCAATGACTGATCCTTTTCAAAAACAAATATTAAATCATTTAGATATGGTAAGATCTACAGTAAAAGAATGAGTAATCCTTCCTTACAAAAAAAAGAATAATGTAATCAAAACTTGGAAAGCCAGAGAAAAAGCACACAATTTGGAATCTCTGAACCTTCCTGTCAAAAGAGGGGAACCAAAAAAAAAAGAAAAGAATAAAGCAAGTCTCTTCTTACCTTTTCAGGTTGCTCAGTTCCTTCACAAATCATTCAAAACACCTTTGAGGAGATCCAATCCCTCAGCAGATATGCTCCTCCTCTTATGCGACTTGGGAATCTCAATCCGAGGAGGTGGCTCCATTGAGAAACAGACAACCACTACAGTAAGATTATCACAGCTGTTGCGTTGGAGGGCTTCCTTAACCAGAGCCTGAGAGCATTTCTCAGGGTCGTTATGCTGCATCAGCTCCCTCCTCACCATTGTCACTGCACACTGGCTACTCATCACATCCCACAGTCCATCACATCCCATTATAAGAAACTCATCTTCCTCCGTAAGCACAATCTCCTCCAGCTCTGGCTCGCAGCTGAGCGGGCAGAGTGACCCTTTGGTTCCCTTAATGTGCCAATCTCCTAGTGCTCGAGCCACGGAGAGCTGACCGTTAAGGTAGCCATCGTAGATGACACCTCCAAGCTTCTCAATGCGTAGCCTCTCGGAAGTGCAGTTGGGTTTGTGGTCCTTCGACAGTTCGATGGCTCTGCCGCGTTTCCCGAGCACGGCTCTGGAGTCACCTGCGTTCGCAATCAGCATGGTCTTGTCCAAGATGAGGGCGGTGAGTGCGGTTGTCCCTGAGGATCTGTCGAGAGAGGAAGCATCAGCCAAAGCATGATCCGTCTTCACAAAGGCACTCCTTGTTGCCTTCTTCGTGCTGCTTGGGAAGTGTTTGTCTTCCATCACAAGTTTCAGCATGTTCGTCTTTGTGAACGATGCAGCATCAACACCTCCGTGTCCATCAAACACCTTCCACAACAACAAATTTGACACATTGTGTTAAACAGAGCATATAATCAGATTTAGATCTCAACAAGTTTTGAAAAGACTTTTGACTTTGTGTATATACCCCATAGAAAGCTCCAGTGGATGATCCAATATGCTCTGTGAGATCATCCACGCAGATGAATTCGTCTTCCATTGACCGCTTCGGCCCTTTATCCGAACAACTTCCAGATCTGAACACAGGCTGGAATGTGGCGTTTACTCCTTCCGGAGACTTTTCACCGAATCTCTCGTCTCCTTCCTGCGACATTTCATTCCACAATGTAAGTTTAACCCAGAAAATTGCTTTTAAATCACAGAATCACATTCATTAGACGAAGAGATTCCGATCGAAAGGATTCACGTCCGATCTAGCTACATTTTCTCTGAGTCTGTTTCGTGATCACGCAGTTACAATCGCGAGCATTTGAAGAGAAACGGGAAAGAAAAGAAAAAAAAGCAAACAAGAGATGAACCAACGGAATCGTTCAACCAAGCAGTGCTATTGCAATGGCGCATTGCAGAGATATTCCTTGGAGGCTTTCCAGAGGAGGCGAGGTTCGCCATTTTGTCATCTCCGACCTCTAAATTGTTAATCATCGGCGAGACTTCCGTCACCGGTGCCATTTCCAGATTCCGATCAGTTTTCTTTTTCTCAGAATCATCTCTTTTGTATATAAAAATAGTTTTCTCCTTCTTCCTCCTTATTTTACTCACCAATTAGCTCTCTTGCTGCCACGTGTGCTTCCCATTTCCAACCTTTTTTAATAGTTTGAATATTAATAAAAATTCTTTTATTGCGCTTTCCCTTTCTTTCCGTCTCCTTCTCCTTTCTATTAACACAGAGCAAAGTGTACACAGAAGCTTTGAGCGAAATTATGAAGGTTGTGTCAAGGTTTCACCTTCAAACAATCCCATTTCTTGGCGTCGGCATCTGCACCGAGACTCAGAAATCAATTTCCAAAACCCTAATAGCAATTTCATTTGGTACACTTTCAATTTCCATTGCTTCTCCGAGATTTTTTATTTTTTCTTCTGATTAACGGCGAATAATAAGATTGTGATGTCTGGGTCTCTATCATAATAGAATTATCACTTTTGAAAACTATTGCTTTTAAGGGATAGAAAGCAAGAAGTAGGTTTGACTTGAGAGTTTTTTTTCTTTTTGCGCACTAACTCGAATACGCATAAAGCTGAGATTTTTTCCAGTGTCTAGAATCTGAGTGGTGTTTTTGGTGTAATGAAACTGATGTGGAAGTAATCATATGCGAAAGAAAGTGGGTTAGGGGAAGATGCCACAAACCATCGATGAAGTGTTGGTACCAGTACCACTGAGACAGAAGGATATGAGTGAGTGAGATTTGAATCTGTGAAAATCATTCATAAAGGATCTCCACTTCTCTAGATTATCAAGGGCTACTCAATTACTTGCTCCACCATTCCCTCACGCTCAGTGAGAAAGCGACAGGTTAAGCATCTCTCTTCCTTAAACATTCCAGAGATTTCAGTTCTGATGTGTTTGGCTTTGTAATGGTCATCCTTTCAGTGACTCTATAACTTGGACTTCCCTCTGAAACAGGAAACTGCTGAAAATTGAGAAGATGAAGTGGCTTCTGCTTTTGCTCATCGTCGTCTGCGATGCAGTTCCTCTACAAGGACTCACCACAAATGTCTCTGCGAGACCCAAAGTTGTGAACATCGGCTCCGTTTTCACATTCAATTCTCTCATTGGTAGAGTCATCAAAGTTGCTATGGAAGCTGCTGTTGAAGATGTGAATGCGAGCCCCAGCGTTCTTAACAACACTCAACTCAGGATCATCATGCATGACACAAAATACAATGGATTCATGAGCATGATGGAACGTAAGTGAGAGACTGTCCTGTGATTGTTGGAATGATCATTATGTGTTTTACTCTGTTAAAGCTCTGGTTTTTCCCTTTTCCGTTTTGTTTATGGATATCAAACCAGTTTCTTTCTCTTTTTGTGTTCGATTCAACCGTTGTATGCTCGCTAATTCATTTTTTCATGATTCCGTTACTTAAGTTTCTAATACCCTCATGTCCGTATTACTGACTGCTTGGTTTTTGTTTCACATCGAAAGCTCTGCGGTTCATGGAGTCTGAGACAGTGGCGATAATTGGGCCTCAGAGATCAACATCCGCTCGTGTAGTAGCTCACGTAGCAACTGAACTAAAAATTCCTATACTGTCCTTCTCTGCAACAGACCCTACCATGTCTTCTCGGCAGTTCCCTTACTTCGTTAGAACTTCACAAAATGATATTTTTCAGATGGCCGCCATAGCAGACATTGTTCACTTCTATGGTTGGAGAGAAGTGATAGCAGTTTATGGGGATGACGACTATGGCCAAAATGGGGTAGCTGCCTTGGGAGATAAGTTAGCAGAGAAGCGCTGCAGAATATCATACAAAGCAGCTTTGCCCCCCGAACCTACCAGAGAGAACATCACTAACTTGCTGATTAAGGTTGCTTTGAGTGAGTCACGGATCATTGTTGTTCACGCTTCTTTCATCTGGGGCCTAGAGGTGTTCAAAGTGGCTCATAATCTTGGTATGATGAGCTCTGGTTACGTGTGGATTGCTACCAACTGGCTTTCTTCTATCATAGATACAGACTCTCCTCTTCCCTTGGACACAATAAATAACATTCAAGGGGTCATTGCACTGCGCTTGCACACTCCGAACTCCGTCTTGAAGAAGAACTTCGTTCAAAGGTGGCATAACTTAACTCATGTTGGACTGAGCACGTATGGACTGTATGCTTATGACACTGTCTGGCTGCTTGCTCATGCCATTGAGGATTTCTTCCAAAAAGGTGGAAACGTTTCCTTTTCGAGCAATCCGATTATATCTGAGCTTAGGGGTGGAAATTTGCACCTTGATGCTTTGAAAGTCTTTGATGGAGGAAAGATATTTCTTGAGAGCATCTTACAGGTTGATAGAATCGGCTTAACTGGTAGGATGAAGTTTACTAGAGACAGGAACCTTGTAAATCCAGCATTTGATGTGCTTAATGTCATTGGCACTGGTTACAGGACCATTGGTTACTGGTGTGATCATGTGGGCTTGTCTGTGATGCCCCCTGACGAGCTGGAGAACACATCTATTTCGCGTCCGAATCTTCATAGTGTTGTCTGGCCAGGACAGACAACACAAAATCCCCGTGGATGGGTGTTCTCAAACAATGGAAGGCATTTGAGGATTGGAGTTCCAAATCGTTACAGGTTCGAAGAGGTCGTCTCAGTTCAAAGCAACGGAGTCATCACTGGCTTCTGTGTTGACGTCTTTGTTGCCGCTGTCAGCTTGTTACCTTATGCAGTCCCGTTTGAGCTTGTAGCTTTTGGGAATGGTCATGACAATCCAAGTAACTCTGAGCTAGTGCGCTTAATAACCGCTGGGGTGAGTACATGAGCATCCTTTCAGAATCTGTTATGATCACCGCTTTGTTGGTGGGTGTATAATTACATGTTTTGTGACTTTTACACAGGTCTACGACGCAGGTGTTGGTGATATCACTATCATAACCGAGAGAACCAAAATGGCAGATTTTACTCAGCCGTATGTGGAGTCAGGGCTAGTGGTGGTGGCTCCTGTTCGGAAGTTGGGTTCCAGTGCTATGGCGTTCTTGAGGCCGTTCACTCCCCAGATGTGGTTTATTGCAGCTTCCTCGTTCCTCATAGTCGGTGCAGTCATTTGGTTTCTGGAGCACAAACAAAACGACGACTTCCGAGGCCCTCCTCGTAGACAAGTCATCACTACTTTCTGGTGAAAACATAATAAGCGTTAACTGGGTGGACTCGCTACAATTTTATCAGGTCTTTTCTCTGACATATTTCCTTTGTTATTGCAGGTTCAGCTTTTCAACTCTGTTCTTCTCGCATAGTAAGTGTACTCCCCACAAACCCCTCTTATATTTTAGTAGTTATGCATTTTTAAAACTGGCATATGGTGTTCACTGTTTTCTGCTGAATTAATACAGGAGAGAGTACCATCAGTAACCTTGGACGAATGGTGCTGCTAATATGGCTATTTGTTGTTCTCATAATCAACTCAAGTTATACCGCGAGCCTCACGTCAATTCTCACAGTTCATCAGCTGTCTTCGCCAATCAAAGGCATAGAAACTTTGGAAACAAACAATGATCCTATTGGGTATCCACAAGGCTCGTTTGTCAGAGACTATCTGGTTAGCGAGCTCAGGATCCATGAGTCAAGACTGGTCCCTCTTCGGTCTCCAGAGGAATATGAGAAGGCCTTGAGAGATGGTCCAGGAAAAGGTGGTGTTGCTGCTGTTGTTGATGAACGTGCTTACATAGAGCTTTTCCTCTCAAACCGATGTGAGTTCGGCATAGTTGGTCAAGAGTTCACAAAAAACGGATGGGGATTTGTGAGTATCGTTCTGGCTCTCTTGCCACTGAAAAAACAGCAGCCAGCATAAAATTTAGAACTGATAACGTTTTTCTTTGCCACTGTTCAGGCATTCCCACGTAACTCGCCTTTGGCGGTTGACGTTTCAACGGCGATTCTGCAGCTATCAGAGAATGGGGATTTGCAGAGAATACGAGACAAATGGTTGCTAAGGAAAGCTTGTTCCTTGCAAGGCGCGGAGATAGAAGTGGATAGGCTGGAGCTTAAGAGCTTTTGGGGATTGTTTGTGGTGTGTGGACTGGCATGCGTTCTTGCTCTTGCAGTGTATACAGTGTTGATGATACGCCAGTTCGGGCGACGACACCGTCCTGAAGAAGCAGAGGGCTCGATAAGGAGAAGAATCTCACCATCCGCACGTATCCACTCCTTTCTCTCCTTTGTGAAAGAGAAAGAAGAAAACGTCAAGGCTTAGTCCTCTAGAGAAAGGCAGCTTGAAGATATATAAGTAAATGGCTCTAAAGTGTTTCCAGCAAATTAAATGCACCAGAAAGACCTCATAATGGCTCCAGTATGTACTAATCCCTCTTTGTTGAGATCAAACTCTGACTGTATGTACTCTCATGGTAAATTTGATTTAATATCTCTGAAGATGTACAACAGTCTGCTTCTCATCTCATGGTTACAAAAGGAGATATCTCCCAATTTGCAACTACGGCATTAAGAATCCAAGAAAGCCTCTATGTAGCCTAACCATTATAGAAGCACAAGCCAGTGGCATGGATTTGTTATTATTAACGTGTTCAAAATACAGCAGGAAAGTTAAAAAAAAAAGGCAACAGAGAAAAGAAAGTCAGCCATCAGAGAGAAACGAAGCTGCAGCGTCTTGATGTTTTGCACCGACAGAGAAGAACTCGGAGATAACTTCAAGGGGCATTCCCTTTGTCTCTGGTACCTTGAGGTACACGAAGACCCAAGCAACAGCGCAGACACATGCATAAATGCCAAATACTCCCGCGAGGCCTAGAGATTTGAGCATGACGGGAAGAGTGTAAGTGACGATGATGTCACAGATCCAGAAGGTGAGGGCACAGATGGTGATGCAGAGACCGCGCACAGATGTAGGGAAAATCTCTGAGCAGAGGATGTTCGGGATTGCTCCAAAACCCATGACGAAACAGCATAGGTACACCATAACACTTATTGTCGATATCAATGCGTTTGCTGTGCCTCCAAGCTTCACCAAGCTCCCTATCACCAGCGTTACTAGCGACAGTATTAGAATGGGGATTGTGGAAAGCATCAGAGACCTGAAATCACGCTTTGATACTGTCACATTTATTACCATATTTAGCCCCCCCCAAAAAAAAAGAGAAGCAAGAGCAGAGAGAACTCGCCTTCTCCCAGATACATCCATTAACCTCATGGAAACAAGAATGCAAGGAAGCATCACGAGTGTGGTTAAAGCGCTTATGAGGAGCGAAGCAGACTCTGCACTTATTCCAAGGTTTTTCAAAAGACTCGACACACCTGTTTCTTCCAATATTTGAGGTGTGTAATACATGACTCCATTGATTCCTGCAAACTGCAAACATGCTTCCTCTCTTTTATCTGTTATGAGTTTTTTTTTTAACATTTTAGAGACAATATAAAATGGAATAACCATTACCTGTTGCAGTATCTGAAGCCCAACTCCAACTATCAACGCTCTCTGCACACCAGGTTCCTTGAGCTCCCTCCAGCCAGGACCAGCCTTGATCTCCTTTGGCAGCATTGCAGTCTCGCCTTTGATTCCAGGAATCATCGAAGCTTGGCTCACAAGTGCAGCAGCCTGAATGTATCCGTTATGCTGATCAGGACAATCAGCTTCTGTGTGGAAGGAGAGAAGCGATCCACGTCGCGAGAAGCCAGTGTTGTGGGCGTTGTTGTTGTTGTTGGCATTCTCCTCGTGAATATACATTCTCTGCAATCCTCCATTGACCCTCTTACCATCCGCACCAACCTTGTCGTTATACTTCCACGCCAACTGCCATCCACCGCCTATGCTTGTAGCTGTCGCCGTCTCACCCACGTTCGCCATGAAAAGGCTGCTCTGTCTCCTGTGCATGGTACCAACGGTCCTCTGGTTGCTTTCATCCGGCTCAGTGGTCTGCGGAGAAAGCAGAGGACTGTTCAAGCTTTCATCTTGGTCAGAGCTGTCTTCGTTGTTCCTCTCTGGATCCCACTGAGCCGACTCCTGCCTTCCCACCATTCCCAGTATACTTCCCATGTTGGGGAAGATCATGCTCCGAGATGATGAGTTCATGTTCTCTGCAGGGATTTTCTCATGAATGCTACCAAAGAGAGTGACAACTGGGTCGACCAGGGATGCGCCACGCTGTAACATCATGCTTCCTTGTCGGGAGGCCAGTGCCAGAGAGCTGTGTCCTTTCACTGGCTTAGCCATCCAAGACTGTCCATCCTCTGGGCCGTATAGCTTTATCTGATCTTTCCTCGGCAGTTCATGTCCGCCCTCGCATTCCTCGTTGTCCGGTCCAATCACATATTCTTCTATCGACGTGTCTTTTCCCACCCCGAGCCCTTCCACAAGCAGAGCAAGCTCTCCTGTATCATACACCGAGTTAGTCTAAGTTCAAAGTCGATATAGTCATAGAGGTCAAAGTGTTCATCAAAGACAAACCTGAAACATCTTCTCTTTCACGGAGTCTCTGCAGAACCTGCCTAGCTTCATCCATCCGTCCTTTGCTTACAAGCCACCTCGGAGATTCAGGCAAGAAGAAAGCCGCAAGTGCAAAGGAGAACATGGAAGGGATTGACAAAACTCCAAGCATCAGCCTCCAGCTCGGAGATTCTTGAAGTGACATCCCAAACACAAGACAATACGACAGAAACATCCCGCCGGATCCACAAAACTGAGGGAAAGTGTTGAGTAATCCTCTGATCTCGGAAGGTGCGGTCTCCGAGATGTAAATGGGGACGAGTGTCACAGCTAAACCGATTCCAAAACCATCAAGAAGCCTAGCGAAAAGGAGGACGTAGACATTGGGAGACCAAAACATGACGATGCTGCTCAGAAAATAGAGAAGAGAGGAGAGTATAAGCATCGAACGCCTTCCTACTCTGTCAGAGACAGGACCAGAGAAAGTTGTGATCAAGGTGGCTCCGATGAGAGACATTGCTACAATCAGCCCTTCTATCTTTGGTTCTTTCTCCAAATGAAACTCTTTCTTGATGTAAATCACAGCTCCTGCCACCAAGACAGATTATACAACATTAATCATTGCTTTCGTGTATAGAGCTCCAATGTTAAGAATAAGAAAGATAGAGAAAGAAAGAGAGACTACCTGCAATGGTGGCATTGTCCCAGCCCTGCAACATATTCCCTATCGCAGCGGCCAAAGCAACAAGCACTACGCTCCTCATCTTTCTTACCGATCAATAACCGAGTTGACAAAACAATCATATGATTCTGAATACTCTAATGTCCTAAAATCATTTCTTTTCATTAACCGAGAAGGAGAGAAAGGAAGATTAACAAAAGAATGTTTTGTTAATCTAATGGTTATTACGGTTGTCAAAGATGAGTAATCAGAAGCATGATAAGTGGGTAATAACGGTAAGAGAGGGAGAGAGAAAGAAAAGTTAGTTTGGTCAAGAGGAGAAATAAAAGGGGAAGATGACACAACATATCAAACTCTCGCTCTCTCCTTTGATCGCTTCTTCTGTACGCGAAAATTACTACTTTATCTTTATATTTTCTTTAATTTTCCAAATAGTAAAGTCTCATCTCACAACTTTTATGAAAAATTGAAAAGTCCTACTCGTCTCATGAAGATCCCCCTCTTACGATCCAACAACGTTATGCTTTGGTTCTATCTAATTACAAAGGTTCTAGTAATGGTTTTATACTTGAACCGGAACATAGCCGCCTAAGACCATCTCCATTGGTCATACCCATTAAAAGTTCTTAAACATATTTTAATTTTTTTTTCTTTCTTCTTTTAAGAACCGTTGTATTTGATTTTAATTTTTGATGCTTCCATTGGTAAGCTCTTAATGGATTCTTAAAAAAATATTTATATTGTAAAATTTATTTATTGTAAACAAAATACAATAAATAAAAACTTAAATATATTGTATTTAAAGAAATTTGAATCAGCCGAATCTTACCTACAAAAAACCACATAAAGAATCGAATATATCAGCAAGAAACCGATGATAAATCGACGATCAGAATCAACAATATATGAACATACATACCATCACGACGAATGCAAATCTCAGGGATACTCTTCACTTCACTACTGATGCTTTAATAATACACTCTAGTCTCAATATCACCTTCAACATAAACCGCTGAGCTGTAACAAAGAACCAGCAAAAAAAAGTTTAGATAAAATTAAAAACTGACACCATGACCGTGAAGATCGTGACTGTCATAATCTCTCACATATCAGTTTATGAAGCATGCATGTCCAAAGATTTATATTATTCATATCATTCTCTGTATTCACTTACCATCACTCTTAAGTTTGCTTTGTAACCAAGAACTGTGGGATGGTTAAAAGAGCGAACTGTCCAGCTGTAACCGCGATCTCCTCTGCTTGACCACTTCCCTTGCCAATCTGCGGTTCAATCAGCCTACAACATATGAAAAAAGTGTTCCTGAAATTAAAGAAACATAAATTACCACCAGAAAAAAAAAAACAGAGCAAAGGAACAAAAACTCAAAGCGTAAGTAAAAAAGGCACAACATACCTTTATCAATGACGGTATCAAAGGACTCGTCCGCAAAGTAGCTCATATCTCTAACATCCATTTGCATATATGTTGGGTTACAAAAGTTGACCAATCAATAAAGCTTCTCACTTTACATATACAAATAAGTAAATCGAAAAACTAGAGATGTTTAAGAGTGTTTGTACATTTGAGCTGAGGAATAGACACATATTTGGTTTGCATCATCTCAATAGCCACTGAAGAGATATCAACATTCTTAATGTCCTCGTATCCGTCCTTTTCCATATCCTCTGACATAACTGCACCAAAGAGTAAAAAAAAGTATTAGATTTGAATGCGTTGAAGTCAAATTAAATCAATGGAAGTGGCAGAGTTCTTTAGCAGAAATCTCGAAACCCAAATCCTGAATAGATCTCTCCTTCTCATGAAGTTGCTCATAAAAGTTCAACAACATTGAAGTGCTATTTGAAAATACAAAACAACCAAGCGCTACTAGATAATTTCAATATATATATATATAGAATGAGATTCAACCTGCATTCCAGCTGCAGCATTTTCATACTCCGCGGAACGAGACTCAAAGTTTCTCTGGATTTCCATTGCCATCATCTGAGCTCAGAGCTCAATCTCCCGCTGCTGTAGCTCCCCTTTCTGTCTAGAAACGTTACGAATCTGCTCCAACAGTTCACCATCTGAACAAGAACCATCCATCGTAATAGAGTAGAAATCCAAATCACCAGGCTCTCTTCCATTCTGCATCACCAAGATGGAAAAGTATTTTAGCTTCTTAAACAGAGCACCTTAAGCATCTAAATGCATACAACATCAATCACAGATGAAAATACCAACAAGTTCTGGAGATCGTCAGTTATATCCAAAGCTTCAGCACAATCTGCGGACGCAACAAGCTGAACAATAATGAATCAAAATTCCATAAAGATAACGAGGAAATACACAAAATTAGCCAACTTGCTCATTGCTCAAAAATCAATTTAGAGAACTCTTTTTCAAGACACAAACTATCCGACACAAAAACAAATCCTAATTGTCGTTTAACCTTCCATGAAGCGACATCTTTCAGAAAAAATCGATCAGAAGTTCGAATTACATTCATAAACATGACTCTGGCACCCTCTAAGATAAACCAGTTCTAAATCAAAGGACACCGCTTCTACTAAACCCAACTCCCAATAAGGTGTGCGCATGTAAATTCAGCCGATTAGAGAGCTAATGATCAATTTTTTTTATAAAAAAAGGGAAGAAACACTTACTTCTGTTTTGGCCGGTGATGAAATTGACCCACTCGCCAAACTCAATCTGGAGATTATCGTTCCCGACCCAGTACGCTGTTTCATGAATAAGCAAAGAAAGGCGACATTGGTCTTTCCCTACTCTTTAGCAAGGCATGCAAGTTTTGACACAACATCTCAGATCATATCAGATCAAATCAACAAGTGGATATGGAATCAGTAAAACCCGATCAGAAGAGAGGGAGAGAGATGCAGAGAAGAAAGGGAGATCGGAGGAGCAAAAAAATCCCCTCTTTTGTATTGGGAGACAGTTGAGAAATAGGAGAGGAAAAAAATATCGTGGAAAACATCGAAATGACGGAAAAAAAATTTGGTTTTATTAAAATTATACTCATCAAACCTATGATTGATGATTGACACGTATGGATCTTTTAAAAATTCTAAAACAGCTCAAAGAAGAGTCGAATCTAACAAAGTTTACACATAAATCATTTCTTTTAATTATTTTTAATCTAACAACCCCTTTAACAAACCCTTTAAAAACCCCGATGGACATGCTCTAATAACAGTCGATTAACAAACTAATGGCTAATCACAGTTTCACCCCCTGCATTAAGCTAACACGCGTAAAACACGTGAGCTCAAGATTGTCTCTCACTCACTTGGTACACAATGGGCCGATTAGTGGGAAGGCCCAACTTTCTTCTGAAGACGCATTTGCCTCTAACCGGTCTTAATCGGTTGGACTATGATTAACTGGAAATTACGGTTTGAAGTCGATGACCGTTTTGGATATAAAATCATAAAACCCAAACCGACTTCAATCGTCTTCCCGCAACTTCATCATAATTTGCTTTCCCAATTCTCTCCGTCTCTTCCGAGGAAGTCCGACTTTTCCGTCGTGTGAAACCCTAGACGCCGATAGCAGGTAAATTCTACTCCAGGAATCTAAAGTGAGATCTTGATCTGCTCATAATTTATGTTTAATCCTCTGTGTGTTTTCTTTGATCGAATTAGTCTATGGTTTCTCTCTGGGGTTTTAATCTTGTATGAAGAAGCGTTAAAAAATTTCTTAATTTTGATCTTGGAAGAGATGCAAAATTCGAGGGTACCGCCGTTTTCTGAAGCGAAGAGAAAGAAGATTCCGGCTCCGAAACAGCAACCCTTGACCCAGTTACCACCAAGAATCGGGAAAAAGGCTTCAACGAGGAGAAAACAAGAACAGTTTTATGCAATTTCTCATCAGCCTGAGATGAGTAATTCAGACTCATCTCCCGGAAACGAGTACAGAGCATTGAGGCGCAAGTATTTGCTGCTGGAGGAAGAAAGCTTCGCGTTGGAGAGAGAGTTGAAGGAAGCTGAAGATGAGGTTAAGGCACTTGAAGGTGAGAAATTTGAGCTCTTGGACAAACTCGTTGTAATGGAAGGTTTAGTTGATCCTTCTTAATTCTTCTAGCCTCTCTAGTAACTTGCCTTGTCTGCCTCATTCATATGATGTACAAATACCAACTTTATATAGTAATAACATGTTTCTGGCTACACAAACGTATGAGCTGTTTTTGTGAATCTCTCACTTCTTGTGTCTTTTGAAGTTAATCAAAAATTTTGTCTAAAGAATCCATTTTTGGGAGCACCACGTGTCCTTCATCCCACATTGTGATGCTAGATATAGATAAAATAGATTTTTTTGCAACAACTGTTGCAATGTGTGGCTGAAAATCGTTTCACCGCTTGAGAATCTGTTTTAGACCAAAGTCGAGAGCTGCTTTTCATCTTCTTCTTTTTAAGCGTAAATGGCCGCGTCTCTAGCGTCCCTTCCGGCAACTTTTTGTCTAAGCCATGGTGATGAGTGTTGCAATCGTTCACCCACCACCAAATCATCATTATTTCCATGCCATTCTCTGGCCGTGAAGAAGAACCTAATGGGTCACTCGCTGCACTACGAGCGTAGTACAGTGACGAGGAGATTGGTCGTGACGGCTGCGACGGAGGGATCCAGAAAATCCAAAGAGAGTCAACCGTCTTGGGCGAATCCTGACTCGGATGAGCCACCTCCTTGGGCTAGAGACGAAGGTCGTTCTTCTACATCTCAAGAGAGCGTTGAGATTCCCTTCTACGTTTATCTGCTAGCCTCGGCAATCACTGCCATTGCTGCTGTATGCTTGCTTTCTATCTCTCTTTGTCTTTTTTTTTTTTTATCATCGATTCATATCAAAGATCTTATCTTTATGCATCTTTTGGTCACTGTAGATTGGTTCTGTCTTTGAGTACACGAGTAAGAATCCAGTGTTCGGGGTCTTGGAATCTGACAGCATCTTTTATGCTCCGGTGCTTGGATTCTTTGCTTTTACTGGAATCCCCACTTCTGTGAGTCTCTTCTCTCTCTCTATCTCTCTCTCTTTTCGTTGCTTTGGTAATTGATCATTTTGTGTTGTTTCATTAGCTGAACAAGTGTGTTTTGTCTGCAGGTATTCCTTTGGTTCAAATCCGTTGAAGCTGCTAACAAGGAAGCAGCGGAACAAGACAAAAGAGATGGATATCGTTAAAACTCTGTGATTTTTGCAAATTCTACAGTGATGTTGATGTTTTCCTCCACATACTTATATGAATATAATTCTGCATTGTTGGAAGTAGCTTGCTTCTATTCACAGTTCACTGCATATTACCCGCTAGATTTTTTTCTGTAATCCCTTCACACACTAGTTTACACGCTTAGCTGCTGCTGCTGCAAAACGTGTAAATTTGAGTTTGAAGATGTATAATGGCATCTTGATTTAAACCACATGAGGCTAGTTTCATCCTCTCTTTTATAGCCCCTCTGAAAGATATGGATCACCATTTGTTCAATGAGTTTTTGTACAGATGCAACTTGTTTGTGGAAAGACAATTGCTTTCTTTCATTGTTGGTAGGAAGATTGGAATCAGAACTAGCAGCTGAAGGATATTTATTCCCTTGGCCTTTGAAAATTAGAGCAAAGAGAGTCAATTTATGTGTATGAGAATGTGATGTCTCAATTTATGTGTATGAGAATGTGAAAATTAGAGCAAAGAAGCTCTAGGCTCAATTTAGCAAAGAGATGAAGCATTGTAGTGAGATCAACTGAGTTTCTTTTGAAAGATAATTAAGTGGTATGCAAAAACTGATAAGAGCCATATTAAATGTTGGATGGTGATTTTGCATTTGCAGGAGATGGCTCGACATTTATGAAATGTGTCAGACTGTCAAATGTGTGAAAACCAAGATTACAAGATAGAAAATTTCCAAGACATGGCCCAAAATTAAAGATGATGATGTACTTTTTCGAGATTGAACAAAGCCTTAAACTTTGTTAACGCCAACGTAATAACGGTTCTAAATGAATATGATCTTCTTTTGTGGGCTGTTTAAAGATGGGTTGTTTAAAAGTTTAAAAGATTGGTGGTTTTGGGCTCTCCCAAGAGAGGAAGAGATACAGAGAGAGAGAGAGGAAGAGATCTCTAGGAGGATCTACGATTAACAATCGTCGTTGGTCTGTGAAGCGGACAAACCAAAGAATCAGCCGGAGCTGGCGATATGGGCGGATCCAGAGATTTCGGAGCTGATGAACATTCCTCCTCACACGTAGTCCACTCCGTCATCGCCATAGCCATCTGGCTTGGCGCCATTCACTTGAACGTCGCTATTGTTCTCTTCTCCCTCATTTTCCTTCCTCCTTCTCTATCGCTCCTGTAAACACACCTTCTCTCTTTCTATCTCTCTCTGTTTGTTCTTACAGGTCTCAAACTAAACTCTTTGAAATCCTCTGTTTTCAGGGTCTTTTGTCTGCTCTTTCTGTTTATCTTCATCCCAATCCCCGATCGTAACGAATACGGTCGTAAGCTCGCTAGGTACTTCTTCTTCTCTTCCTTTGTCTGCTTCCATCTCCAATACTTTATGTTATCAAATTCATCTTCTTCTACTTTTCTTACTACCAGGTACATATGTAAGCACGCTTGTGGTTATTTCCCCGTTACTCTTCATGTCGAGGATTACGAAGCTTTCCAGCCTAATCGTGCCTATGGTCTGTCACATATCTTCTTCTCTCTTTCAAAGTTTCAAGCTTTTTAAGATGGGTTTGTGAAAGCGTTGACCTTTTACTAACATGCAATGTTACAGTTTTTGGTTATGAACCACATTCGGTGTGGCCGATTGGAGCTGTTGCACTTGCTGATCTTACAGGATTCATGCCTCTTCCTAACATCAAAGTTCTTGCAAGCTCTGCTGTGAGTTTGCTCAATCCATATTTGTCTGTACTTAAACATTGTCCTCCAAACTCAATTTGTTTTGCAAAACATTGATCTTAGGTTTTCTATACACCGTTTCTAAGGCACATATGGACATGGTTAGGGCTAGCTCCTGCTTCTAGGAAGAATTTCTCTTCCCTTTTGGAGTCTGGCTATAGTTGTATCCTCGTTCCCGGTGGTGTGCAGGAGACCTTTCACATGCAACACGATGTTGAGGTGACTTTACTCTAGCTAATACTTACTAGCAGTCACTTGATGAAATCATATTGTTCTGTGGGATTTGGATTACTTAGAGAGTTACAAGCTTGGAACACTCTTATTTTCTGTGTTTAACTGTTTCTCACAATTGCAGAACCTCTTCCTTTCATCGAGAAGAGGATTTGTGCGCATAGCCATGGAACACGGGACACCTCTAGTTCCAGTTTTCTGCTTTGGTCAGGTAGAGAGAAGCGAGTTTGCTCACAAAAATGTTATTATCTATGTAGTTTGTCTTCACATAACTGAAACTCTCAAAAACTTAATGTAGTTGGTCAGATGCAGGATTTCGATCTTGTAACGTTTCTGATTTTCAAGTTTTATGGTTTCATGTCTTTGTTTCTTCCGCAGGCACACGTGTACAAATGGTGGAAACCAGATTGGAACCTATACCTTAAATTATCGAGAGCGATCAGGTTTACACCGATCTGCTTCTGGGGAGTTTTTGGGTACGTGTGTTGGTTCTCTTTGGTACATTGTAATGTCCTATAAAATCTTGAAAGATGTAAAAACCATTCCCATTTGGTTTGTAGATCCCCATTACCATATCGACACCCTATGCACGTCGTGGTTGGTAAACCCATAGAAGTTGCAAAAAATCTGCAGCCAACTAATGAAGAGGTTAGTCATCCATCCATCTTCTTGTATATTCTTTTGTAGCTTCTTCTTAGAATTGGAATCAGGAAGTTTAGTAATTAGTATTCATCAGCTTCTGGTGTTTTTGTGTGCATCTCAGATTGCTAAGGTACATAGCCAGTTTGTGGAAGCGCTTAAGGATATGTTTGAGAGGCACAAGGCTCGAGCAGGCTATCCTGATCTAAAGATGAACATTCTTTGAATGAGAGTTCTCTCTAATGGAAACGACTGTTTATGGATCCTTGATCATTTGTTACCTTGGAGCTGGCTTTGGGTTTACCTGTGTATGTCTTCTCAACATTGACTGTTGTAGTAGTGGAATACTTCACATATATATAACAGCCTGCAAATTACATGTTATTATTCTCTAGAAGAGTGCCATGTAATGTAAGAGACCAAGAGTGAGTAGTTAAAGGCTTAAAAGCTGAAGATTGTTTTGGTAGATGCCAAAAAACAATTAAAAGGAATTTGGTAAAACAATTAAAAGAAGTGACTACTAGTCTTCTTGGGCCTTATCTATTGGGTTTACTGATTCACGTCCCATGACCACATTTCATATACACAAAAATGGTCAAATTGATGCATGCATGAACTATCAAACTATGACCATCCGCTATCACCATAGCCCGTTCTAATGAGATTTGCAAATACATAAACAAATCCAAACTGGCAATGTTACTTTGCAAATATATTAATTTATACATTTCTTTGTATAAAACCAACAAGAACAAAAATTGTTACCATCCTTAATTTATACAATAATTAAATTTCTAGTTAACTCAGAGACATAGTATTACATTCAACACATCTATATATGTAAGTCAGAGGTGACACGTCATAAGAATAAGGAAACAAAGTCGTTTTAATTATTTACCGTGCTAATACAATATGCAAATACATATACACAAATCAAAATGATCTTGTGAAAACATGCATAAACTAATAAACAAGGTCTAAAAACAACATTGTTATTTCACCAGTAATAACATGTTGTAAAGATATTTTCGTATGTTCACACCACATTATAATTACCCTAATTTTTTTTTGGAACCTGACATGTTATTTCACCAAATTTGTGTTAGCAATAGTCTTCTTTCTCTAGCAATAATCTTTTTAACCTAATTTTTTTTCGATATAACCGATTATTTGACGAATTGACCATAAAAAGATTATTGCTAGATGATTCGATGGTGATACATGGAAGATATATTAGGTTATATCGAAAAGCAAGCAGTTAGATAACTAATTTCTTATGTGCATCATATTGTGACACGTCCTCACACACGTTGAGTATCTAATGGTTCCATTAGTTTATGTTGTGTTCTAAGCAGCTTTTAAAATAAAAATACACAAAAATATAACAAAATTTCAAGAAAACGACATGAAAACTAAAATCACACGGAAAGGAAAATGCCTCTTGAAGCTGACTCTCTTTAAAAACTTAAAACTACCCCCACCCACCACCTTCTTATAGGACATCTCTTTCACTCTTTTCTTTGTCAACTCTTTTTTTCATTTTAAAATTATTATTCTTACCCACACAAAAAAAAAACATTCTATTTCTCTCTGTTTTGTCTGCATCTGAATTCGGTTTCCCTCTGTCCTGTTTGTAAACCACCGTCGATGAACGATCGGAGCCTGAGAAAATCTCTCTCCGGAAAAAGCAACGGTCAGGCGGATTTAGTCGTTGGAGATGCCGACGAGAACTTGGATCTCTTCTCAGTCAACCGTGGTGGCATAACTTCTTTGGATGGTATTTCATCTGATCTTCCCTCCATTGACTTGTGTTTCATTTGGTTTTCTACAACACCACATTATATTGCTCTTCCCTTTTGAATTTTCTAGTATAGTTTCTGTCGCATTTTGCATTCATAAGATCGCTTCTGTACGAAACAGTTTTGTTATATGAACATCATTTTTCACAATTAATTACTTCAATTTGCTTTTTCAAGTAGAGCCGTATCTAGCCATGTGGTCAATCAAATAGTGTTTCTTCCATATTAATGTAATGTATCATGTTTCTATTTGATCAGCAGTTTTGCTTAAACCAGGAAGACGTTCTTTGGAACAAGCTAAAGGTTCTAAGCCTGAAACAGATGATGAGAAGAAACATGTAAATGACTCGTAAGTTATTTGATAGTCCCTCATTTCTATTTATAGACAATATTCTTTGTTTGTTATATAATCTTTGATAGTACTTAAACAAACACAGACAAAGCAAACATGTTATATAATCTTTGTTTGTTTAGGCTTTATACCGTTTTTGAAGTTCCACTGGGAACTCTTTCTAGATTGGTTCTAGAAGCTAGAAACGTAACTTCCAAGGTTCAGCCCATTTCTACTACAAAGGCTGGTTCAAGGGTATGATGCAATAAATTGGCCATAGTTACATATATACATGTTTACCATATAACTAAAGATTCCTATTGTATGACTCTTAATCATTTTTCACGCAGAGCGAGAGCGATCCATCTTCAAAACCAACGCGAAGCAATTCAACAATACGTCCCTCTAACATTCCCACACTTCGTCCCTCCAACATTCCCACATTGCGTCCCTCAAACATTGGCCCCACAGTTCCCACTGTTAGATCCTCTTCTGCCCCCAAGAAGACAACAACATCTTCAGCTTCAGCTTCGGTTTCGTCTCCAAAGAGAACTGTCTCTCGATCCTTAACCCCTGTATCACGCAAAACACCATCACGATCTTCAACTCCTTCAAGAATCAGTACAACTACTTCAACAACTCCTTCCTTCAAAAAAGCTGGAGACGCTCAAAGATCAAGATCGTTGACTCCAAGGTCAAAGCCTCAGATTGCAGCAAATTCAGCTACACCTTCATCAAGTAGGACCAACGCACGTTCTGTGTCTGTGTCATCACGTCCCTCAGTCACAGCAACACCTCAGACACCACCAAGAGGAAAAGAAACAGTCACTCTAGCGTTCGGTAGACCAGTGGGAACCACAGGGAATGTAAATTCACCAAAACGGAACACCTCGCCGGATGTTACAAGAACGAGACCTAAAGGGCACTCTGCTTCTTCTTCTTCTCCTTCTTCTCTGATTCCTACTTTTTCAGGTGTCTCACATAGAGCATCAAGTCCAAAGTCTGTAAAGCCATCTGCGACAACTGTTGCGGATTCAACGAGGTCTGGAAGAAAACTGTCAAAAGCTTCGGTTCAAATCGCTAACAATCACTTGGTAACATTCTCTAGCTTGTCACAATATGTTATTACTTTTGTTCTTTGATAACCGAGGGATCTTGTACCTCTAAAAAGCAGGGCGCAAGAAATGGGAAAGTGGGCACAAATCCGTTTTCGAGCACAATGTTGTACCCACACAGCATCAGATCTTCGGCTATAAGAAAGCGTTGTGGTAGTAGTGAAGGAAGCAGCAGCAGCAACCAGGAAGAGGAAGAAGGAAAAAGCTTAACGAAAGAAGGAAACACAGAGAAGAACGATAGTGCTCGTTACGACGCACTCCTGAATGTTAAAGATGTCAAGGATACAAACTGGCTACTTAACCTTGATGATGAATCTAATCATTCTCTCATCTTCGACAATGCTTTCGACTCTCCTCCTGAACCATTCTCTCCTCTTTGAGTCTTTTATATCTTTTTTTTTTCCTATTTGTTTAGGCTAAACTCTAAAACAAGAGTTGCTTGGAAAAACAATCCTCACTCACTCTTGAGATTGAGAGATATTTGTGTTCTTGAAGTGTTTTCTTGTATTGGTTGACAAAAATATACAGCTTTGAGCTTTTTCTTGTTTTGCACAACATATTTTTGCAAGAAAACACTCTGGACTTACCTCATATGATTTAGTTTGACTCTGAATAGTCTATAGATCAGTTATGTTTGGTTTACGCGTATCTAACAATGTAATTTGTTTGAGAGTATTCGTCTCTAGACGTGATTTGGGTTAGAGACTTTAATCTCGTTAACCAATTTGTGTTTAAAATGTTTCTCATAGTCATAGTCGTAGTCATTGTAACGATACCATCCATCACAAAAGCGTTATAGATAACAAAGCAAATAGCACACTGACGCGATTCATGTTCACTTATGTTTTGTAAAAGAAGAAAAAAAAATACATTATTTTTTACACTCTTCATCGTGGTAGTATCAAATACACAAATCCAAAACTCTAAATAAATAACAGCAAAGAGAATAATAATCAATAATTAAGAAAGAAAGAAAGAAAAGAGTGAGCGAAACGAACCAGTCTCCTTTGGATGGAGCCGGTTAAGAAAGATCGGTTTCAATATTCTCTAACGTCCCTTAGGATTCATGATCTGAGAAAACACAGCACTAGGCGTGAGTCCATCCGAATCTTCGCTGGCCAGACTCCGACCACCTATGCTCATGTCTATTCCACTGCTCCTTGAGTCAGTCACGTTCCCTTCATACACATCGGTACCCTTTTCGTTGTTCTTCCCTTTACAGTTGCCATCATCGTACTTAATCTCGTCCATGTCCATGTCACTGCATATTCCTTTTCCGCTCTCCTCTGCGCTTTCCTGAAGCTGCAACGCGAATTCTAAGTTCCACAGAACATCTCCCATCGACGGTCTCTCAATGCCCTGGTCTAGCACACACTTCATCGCGGTTTCAGCAAACTTTTTGAAGCATTCAGGTGTGATCTTGCCCTTGAGATGTGGATCAACGATCTGATCAAGCATGCCTTTCTTGTAGCAGTATGGTGCCCACTCAGCTAAGCTCACTTGTTCCTTCGCGAGCGTCGGGTTCAAAGCTGGTCGTGCGCATAGGGCTTCGAAGAGAACGACGCCAAAGGAGTAAACATCGGATTTCTCGGTCAGTTGCTGCCGTCTGAAGTACTCTGGGTCAAGATAACCGAAACTTCCTTTCACGACCGTGCTAACGTGTGTGTGGTCAAGTGTAGGACCAGTCTTCGACAGACCGAAATCAGAGACCTTAGCCACCCACTTCTCATCCAACAGAATGTTTGTCGTCTTCACATCTCTGTGGATGATCGTGTGTTTTGCACCAGTGTGCAGATAATGCAACCCTCGGGCTGCACCGATGCATATCTCAAGACGTTGCTTCCAAGGAAGAGGAGAGTTCTGAGTTTTGTAGAGATGCTCTCTCATTGTGCCATGAGCCATGTAATCATACACTAGGATCATCTCGCAGTTCTCTTCACAGTATCCAATCAACGACACAAGGTGACGATGTCTAAGCTTCGACAGCATTTCAATCTCGGTCTGGAACTCGTGTACACCTTGCTCGGACATCGGGTTACCTCGCTTGATAGCTACCTTTGTAGTCCCGCCATCGATCTCTCCTCTATAAACTTTTCCGAAACCTCCAACACCGAGCACACGGGACTCATCGAAGTTCTTAGTGGCAGATTTGATCTCAGCAAACGAGAAGTGACGGCACAGATTCGACGGCAGGGACGAGGCATAGCTTCCCGTTGTGTTTGTCTTCCCCGAGCCAGCGGAATGTGAGTTTCCATAGAGAGACAGAGGAAGCCACCCTGATGTTGCGTCACTTGCAGGCTGGTATTCACCACGTTTACGTCTGCGGTAAGCAGCCAATACGCAGAAACCGACGATAAGGGCAAGAACCACCGCACCACTCGCTGCGCCTGCAACGATAGCCGTATGGTTCTTGGAACTACCGGTACGCGGGCGTAACACTTTGGAAGGATCCGGAGTCACCTGTGGACCAGGTATCGGATTGGTACCAGCCAGATTACCATCAGAGGTATTCATCTTGAATAACTCTACTCCGTTAAGAATAGAATCATAGTACTGAGGCTTCTCACGTGGATTTGGATGAAGAGCAAGCCAGAGATCTTGTTGTCCCTTTCCATCCGGAGGATTCACCACGTAATCTCTGTACATCCCAATCCCGTTCCCGGACGTCCATCCAGCGACATCAGCTTCTTCCTCGGCCGTTTGGTTGTTGAGGAAGATTGTAAACACCCTTTGGTTGATCTTGTTGATGTTCGCAGAAACCTCACAGAAATGAAGCCTGACGAGGTAGCTAAAGCCAGAGTCAATGCTGAAAACCCAAGTGAGGTTGTAGTTGAGGTTGACCTGAGGCGTTGGACCCATGGACCTAGCTGTTGAATAAACATCCTTGGGAGCAACATAAGAAGGTGTGCCAGTCTGGTACGTGATAGTCATGTTGGGATCAGCAGTCTCCGTGATACCGAGGCTTGCAGCGAAAATGTAAGGCTGATCGTCGTACCAAGACCTGTACAGACCCGTATCAGCAGAAGGCGAGATGTCATTGCCTCCAACATTGAGCCTGTAAACATTCTCAAGAGCGGTACTGTTATCGATGATGACGGAACCAGCGGATCCAACCGCCGACAATCTCCCATCCGTGCTGCTGTAAAGATCAGGCATTGAGGTCACCTCGATCCCGTTCACGAACGCGTAGGCGTTAGAAGGTTTTGTCTCCGGAGTGAAGGTCAGGTTCAATGTCCCACCGTCAACGTTCACAATGAACTCCTTGACGATGAAGGCGTAGGTCAACGCCTGAGCCGTCTGAGCAGCACTGAAGTTCTTGAGGAGAGTGTAAGGGCCGGAGGAGACGGAGAAGAGGGAGTCCGTCGCGTTGAGTCCGTCGTATGAGTTCGGGTAGAAGTAGAGACGCACGAACTTGCGACCCGTCGCGACGGGGAAAGTGTAGGTGAAGGCAGATCGGAAAATCCTCGCCGTCATGTAAGGGACTTCGGGGACGGAAGGATCCTGCGTGGCGGCTGGGGATGTCTTGGAGTCTCCAGATGAAGACAAGAACTTGGATTTGACATCGGGAATCCATGTCCGGTTATCTGTGTCCGCTAAATCAGAAGAACCACCACAATTCAACAGGATTTTATCTGTCGGAACGTAATCATCAGCTGAGATTAAAGAAGATGCGTATGAGAGAAGAAGAAGAAGTGACAGAAGGGAGACACGGAATCGTCCCTCCGTGATCCCCATCGGATCAGAACAGTCCCGGAGAAATATCTTCTTCCCGATCTACCAAAATCTAATGAAACTACGAAACTGCAAAAGAGAAAAAAAAGCAACACAAGAAGTTCACAGATCTAATAATGGAAAGGTTACAAGTTCAAACTTCCGGGAAGAAAGAAAAAAAATTGAAAAGATAAAACAGTTAAAAACTGAAGTTGAATTTTAACTAGTAGGGAAGTGAAGCAGAGAAGAACATACCTTAAGAATCGGAGAAGAACCCTAGCCGATGAAATCGGAGAGTTTTGGAGAAGACAGAGATTTTGAGATATTTGGGGGAGAGAGAGAAGAGGAAAACAATTAAATGAAACCAACAGAGAATTAATTAAAGAGGAAAGATAGTGGAGGTAAGTATTACGAATTAGTTAAGACGACAAAAACGGACAGCATTGTTGCCTCCCTCAACGCGTAAACGTTAGTTTAATTAAAGTATACAATTAGAGATATCACATTTTTGATATATTTTTAATCAGAGGAAAATTGAAGCCGGCTTGGGGTGACGATAATGCCCTTAGAATAACAGCTGTAATTACATAACCCAACCATGCGAAGGATAATGTTGATTGCAATGGGATTGGTCTTTGGATGACAGATCATATGTTATGTTTGTGTAATAAAAGAAAGATTGAAACGCGTATTTTTTTTCTCTTGTGCGGTGACGACTCCGCTCGTGGCTGAGCTGGCCCTCTCATAGAGTGGGACCCGTTTTGATAAAGAAACTCGGTTTGTTTAGTTTACGTAATCATGGGCTTTTCTATTCTTCTGTTTCTGTTGACCACATATGGGCCGCCTAGTTATAAAAGGGCCCGTTTTGATAGAGAAACTCGGCGGTAACATAATTGATACCAGAAATGTTCAAAATTAAAAAAGATTTTCCTAAACATGAATGAAAGAAAGAGGGAGATGCGCTTAGACAGTCACACTTTCGAACCAATACCTTTAAGATGTACAGCTCACATTGTTTGCGAACAATAGAATAAACCTTCTAATCAAAATCTCACATGAAAAGGTTTGATATCTATCTATACTAGCTGAAGAAAATTCCATCAGATTTCCTTCTCGTAATCTTGTCAACCTTTAGATTCGTTCATGACGAGGTCTTATCTCTCTCTTATCATTTTACTATACAAGAACATGGATATAATATTATCGGTGGCTAATATTGTGTCTTCGTCACAGGATAAACCAAATTAAAAAAAGTTGCCCAATATCAACCATTCGAACAATGCGTTGTCGATTTTTTTTCTTTCTTTTCTTCATTTTTGCCATCTAAAGATCGAGTCTTTGGTATGGAGGAACACTAACGCCAGTGTTCAGAATGTCTCTCGTGCTCGAGTCTCGACGCCCCATCTTTGTACAAAATGCTTCACAGGTTCATCATTTCTCTAAATATGAAATGTTGACTTAGAGATTTTAGCTAGTAGCGGTTAACACATACAAAAAAAGTGTATATTTCTTGCCGTTAATTGCTCGTGATATTTGAACCAATAAGTATTGGGTGTTACAAAGAATGCTAAACGGAAAAGGTAAGTGAAAGTACAAAACTAAAACGTGTTCGTCGTATACATGATACAAAATGTAAAAATTAAAACAAAACACAAAAGGTTCTTGTTGGAAGAGACTGTAGTACAAAATGTGATATTTCAACGTAGTACAAAAGAATTTCAAAAAGATGTATATAATCCTGCCAAGTGCGTGTATACATTAACCATTTCTTGTTTCTCTTTGTATCAAACTTGTTTTGACTCTTACCAGTAATAGTTATCCATATCCATCCACAGATAATATAAGCCTAGTCGTCCCAGTCATGATCCCACCCATCTCGGCTCGGAGCTCTCGCCGTTAATCCATTGGCAGAGATGCTCACACTATTTGCTGCACCACCGGGCGATTTCACAGCGTTATTCTCATCCCAGTCATCATCCCAACCTTCATCCCAGTCCGCTGTCTCCACGTCATGCACCACCGGCTCACCTTCTAAGCCTGACCCTCCGCTCAGTTCTAGCTCACGGTAAGGCACTCCGTTGCCTGCACGGCGATTCTTCCGGCACAGACAAAATCCCCAAGCTCCCCCAAAGACAACGACGGACACTATTAAGAAGTAGGCGCCGTTGATGGGCGTCACTAGCTTCTCGTATGAAGGAAGGTGGATGGATAGTGTGTTTTCTTTTGGTGGGTACATGTGAAGCACACACTGTCCCTTCCCGGCGTCAAGTATGATTTTGTTTGTGTCTCCACTAATGGATATGTTTACCTGTGCACAGAGCAATAATTCTTGTCATGTTTTCTCCTAAGATGAAACAACTATGGTAACACACTGCATGGTATCATCAAAGATCACAAAGTAGTTCAAACTTCCAGAAATATACATTTCTGCACAGATGCACATCGAACACGTACCCTTTGACTATGGTGTTTTGGCAGTGCCAGCTCTGGTAAAGTGTTAACTGGAAGAACAATCTTTGCTTTTAAAGATTCTTCACCTTCGTTTTGAACTAGAATCAACCATTTCGAAGTATCTGCAATAATAAAAACACAACTTAAGAATGATATATTCAATCAACTCAAGCAAAGCCCTTACAAATTGTGACGGAGGAGCTATAATGTGTAAAAAAATGTTTCATGTCACTGAGATCACACCCATTTTCAAATTAACACAACACAGTAATGTCAAACATCTCCTAATTTGTGTCATTGATTCAGCAGCCAGGGTTCCAGCATCTGCTAGTTTATTGGACCTTAACCAGATGAATTTCATAAAGACTACCATAGCCAACAAGATTTACCAACAAACTGTCCACCCATTTTAACGGAAATCTCTCCACACCACAAACAAAAACACTAGCTACTATATGGCTTTCACCAAAAGAAGCTAACACGACTTATCTTGATGGACATCATTATCATGGCATTGTCCAATAAAACCACGAAAGTGCCAGAGATATCATGCCGAATCTAAATTGAAACTACATAATAGCTTTGTCCAAGTCTACTGGTTCCATGTAGTTCTCGATAGAATAAAAAGCCATACATTTCCACTCCTCGTTGTCACCAATACAGAAACATGTTATTTCCCAACTTCGACAGTTATCGAAAAGCTCAAAACTTTTAAATGCCCACAAACTCAAATACAGCCTTGTGTAGAAATCAAAGAAAACGGTACTAAAAGAAGGCAAAAAAAATGTTACCTTTTTCGATGCTTAAAGTGCATGCGACCAATGAATTATCAGTTGAACATATATTAGAGTTTCCTGCACAGGTCTCTGAGCTCCCTTTAACGCCATTCACCTTCTCAGGATCTTTCCCCGGAGGCGGACTTTTTGGAGGCGGCGCCATTTTAGCCGCCGGTAACTTCCCATTATCCTGGCTATCCGTTTGGTTAGCTGGAGGCGGGCTTATCGGTTCTGTCCTATTTGACACTTTCGTGACATTCTTCTCACTCTCGGGTTGCAGTTGCGGAGGTGGTGGACTCACCGAATCAGGAGTCGGATTCGTCGAGTTACTTGTAGGCAGAGAAGGTTCTGATGAGGTTACATTGGGTTTTCCATCTCCAATAGGTGTGGAATCAGGCAATGGAGGACTCTGAAGCAGAAACATAGAGCAAGTCAAAATCACATTGTTTAAAAAAACCCTAAATAAGATCAAAACTATAAAAAAAGCAATCAAGGAAAGGAAAAATAAATTACTTGATGAGTGGTTGAATTCGAACTATCCTTGGGTGTTTCTTCATCTACTAACTCCCGAGATTTCCCGGACGACGAAGCTTTGGAGACAAACAGAATCAATAGAAGAAGTGACAAGACCCAACTTCTATCCATCGCAGCCAGGCTCAAACCCTAAATTATGACCCGATCGTTTGATTTCTAAGCAAGTGGAAGTCTTGATTCGATCCGAGAAGACTTACCAGATTTGAAACAGCGCACCAGAGGCACATTTTTCTCAGGATATCAGAAGTCGTCCAAAACGCATCGCAGATTCGCAGATCACACAGTCAGGGCGATTGCAAAAACCGCCAAGCTTAGATGTCACGCAAAGGATTGGAGAAGAGTTGAGACAGATAGATGATCGATATAGACAGACTTCTTTTTTTTCTTTCGGTTTGGAAGATCGGTCGGGAGGCGAACGGTGGTTCGAGTTGGTCGTGTCTGAAACTGGATCAAATCGCAGAGCCTAGTTGAGTTTGACAAATCCCCTTCACACCATGGTTGCCGTCGGACATATATTTGGGCCGTAATTTTGGAAAGCCCATTAGCTATTTTACGTGGCCCATCTTTCGCATTTCTTTTTTAAGAAAAAAGAGGGATTCATTCGTATGATCATTCACCAATCACCACTCAACGAGAGACGGAGAGAGCACCAATTACTTGATTAATATAGGGAAATAACGGCAGCTTTGGTTAAATTAATCGGTCCTTATATGAGTTTATTAGCGTCCTTTATGAACTGATCATACAAAAGTACAAATTACAACGAGTTATCCGACTAAACAACTTAATTAACTACGCTGAACATGTTATATATATGGAACAAAAATTACCTCAAGTTTAAAATGACTTATTTGGGGAGTCGTTTGAATTTAGGATCAATATAATTGGTGCAAGCCCAACTCAAGATTGGTGCGCTCTCGTTGATCTGGATGGTGGTAAATACTCATTTGAATAAGAGAGCCTGTACGACTAAACATGTCAATGATCAAAATATATTTCGAAAAAGAATTGAAAAGTTTTGGTTGAAAAAAAATATATATAAAGCCATTTTGATCATTGAGGTGACTGGTGAGAAAACTAGTTCTGTAGCACCACCATTCATCCACCCACATAAACCGGTCACGTACAGACGTACTAGTGTGTTTTAAAAGTGAAGTTATTATGTAATATATGTTGTACGCCTTAGAAATAAAATGTCACAACACGAGTTCAAACACGAATGTGCATCTTCTTTTCTTTAACTCCGAAAGTTTAAACCGAATTATCTTCGTTTGCCAATTGCCACTACATGAGTAGTGTATCGAGACTTTATATTTTATAGACATTTAGTTTCTACCGCCGCGTGTTAAGTTAAAACCTCGGCGGACAACGCACGACAAACATACACATGCAGTTCCCGTGAGTGCCTTAGGGTTTTATAAAATCTCATTGCAAATATTGTAAGACAGTAAGTGCTATCTCTGATGCTACGTGCAAGTACGCATGTACGGTTGTTCAAATAAGTACGCATGTACGGTACGTGTACCACTGATACACCTGGCCTTTTCCTTCATACTTATATATACATGCATCTTTGCAAATCGGAGAGAGAGAGAGAGAGAGAGAGAGCTCATTTGTCTTTATTACCATACGAGACGGCTGATTACATTTGGCAGAATACTTTTTATTTAGCTTAAAAGCTGGCAACTTTGATAAGTCTTACATCTCCGTAGCCTCTTTTACACGGCAGTCGATATACTGCAACATTCGAACAACCAAAAGTAATATGTATCATGACATTGGAAAGACAGTAACTCCAAATGGATATATTCATACAATCATTTAAAAATGAGATTTCAATTCTTCTAATTCGCCACACGTTTGAATTAGTTACAAACTTTTCTTATATATATATATATATATTCAATCATGTCAAAAATGAATATTAGTTATAAAGTAAATTATTTTAAAAATCCACCAGTTTTCTTATTAATGTGAAGTTGTTACTATTACTAGCTAGCTACCAATATTTATGAATTTATAAACTATTGTTAGAGTTTATCTAATTAGCTAGCAGTTTTATAAATATTAACACATACAAAATCTTGACATGCAAAAAAAATTATCTCTCTAGTTTGATTAAATAATTTGTTTGCAGTCTTTTCCTTCGTAATGTTTGCTTTACTATGTTGGAAAAAAATAAATTTTGCTTCTATTATATGCAAGATATTTTGTGAACTGTATTTATGTAGTACAGGCTTAGTCGAATTCATTAAATTTTATGAATTGTCAGGATATTTTCCGTGAGAAAAAAGTTTTTAAGTTATTTCCATATTCCAAAAAGAAACAAAAAAAAAAAATCTAATATGGAGACGTTAATTAGACGTACTTGTCACAATTGGTGCTGAAACTAATGGGGTAGGGAACTGAGACACCACAAGTGGTAGGGAGTGTGGCCACAAGGCCGGTGTTGAAGCCATTGATTTCCTTGGCCGCTGATTTAAGGCACTCGCATACTTGTCGGCGGTCCGATGTGGTCTGAGCCATTTGGTTCAGTGACTGAACTCCCGTGCAGCATCCTGATGGCAATGGACCACTGTTGGTCAAGTAGCTCACGCACTGTGCCAGTGTGCTCGTCACTGTCCCACACGTTATTTTTGACTGTGTTGGTGCTGTCATGTAGACGGTAAGGACGATGAGGCATGTGATTATCTTTGAAGCAAACGCCATTTTTGTTTTTAATTGTTTTGAATTATTTGTTTTTTCTTACTTGAGATCGTCGGTGTGGTTTTTATAGTTGGGAAAGCTCATGAATGTCATGCGTACCCGTTAATTATGCTTAGTTTCTCATGCATGCCAATTTAATGAATAACATGAATTACAATTAAACATTTAAGAATACACATATTCCAAGGTAAATACATTGCCTTCCCAATCTACGGTTTATTGAGTTTCAAGAAGATGTTACATCAGAAATCAAGATTTAACCAGGAATATACATTTGACATTTCCACTTGGTTTGACTGAAGGAAAATAGGTATTTCGACATTTCAAAATTTTTTTTATACTATTATCATTAAACAAGGGGAGGGAACCATATGGATATTCCAAAGGTTACATAACCAAGTTTTTTTTTACAAAAAGCAAAATTCAGTTAGATATGAATGTAAAAAAGAATTATGTCGTTATTTGGACGTGTCAAACAAAGTGGCCAGCACAAACTATGAGGCCACTCGTACGAGTAGCAAGAACTTGGACATGTGGATCGAAATTGATGAGCAAGTGGCAAGAAAATAAAGAAAAAGAGGAAAAAATGGAAATGGTCTAAGCAAAAACTAATAGACCAAAACAACAAGTGGTAAAGATAGTTGGAGACATCAAAGGAAAATGACAAGAGGAGTGGATGGAAAACAAATAGACGGGCAAAGAGATTTGGATGTCTATATAACAAGGATTCTTCGAGGGTATATGGTCACACACACGGACTTGGAGATATCAAAATTAAAGAGAATATCGACAAGGCAAATTATATGCATTATATCGTAAATCGATCAACATGATAAAACCTACTCTAGTCTCTAGATATGATGCAATTATTGTATGCTTGCTAATTCATTCCTTCACACTCTCAGTCTCACAACTCGTTCCTTGAAACATATGAGAGCACAAAAGAAATAGTGATGAGAAGGGGAGGAGAGAGGAACAAGTTATGAGAGTGTGAAGAACTAGATAAGGAATATTGATCTTTTTACGAGTCGAGTCTTTTGTGTTGTGAAGATCAGCTGTTGTTTCTGATATATATTCTGACGATCTCTCAGGACAATTATATATCTTTTTTGTTTGTTTTATAAGTTGGTATTATTTTTACTTCTACCTAAGTCAACAAATAATTGGATTAATAAAGAGCCTTGTGTGGTTGTAGTCTATTATACCGCGCAGCAAAAAGAAGCAATGCATCAACGTGACCAAACGAACGGCAAGAAACTGAAATCATACATATCGTAATTCCATATATCATTTGAGGAGTAACACAAAACGACCAAATACATGGATCGTCATATATATATATATATATATAAAGAAAGACATGAAAACATTAATTCTAAAAAAAAAACAACAGGTACCAGTAAAAGGCGACACACTCTTAATCTCGTATACTATAATAAAATAGTAAGTGACATCTTATTTATTAATACTCTCTCAGCGATTATATGAAAACCCTTCGACGTCTATCCTCTCATGCTTACCTGATGCTGCAACCAACCAAAAACAGTAAAAAAAAATGGTTAATATACACTCTACTAAAATTAAAAGAAAGTCAGGACATTGGTTTATCCAAGTGTTGCCGATTGTGTCATATTCCAAATTTAAGCCCGAGTGTGTGCATGTGTGAGTTATAGATAGACAAAACAAAAAAAAAAGCTTTAATTAGTTAGGGTAGTGACTAGTGAGAGAAAGATTACTTGTTACAGTTGGTTCTGGCGCTGATGGGGTAAGAGATCCTAACACGGCAAGCACCAGGAAGACGAGCAGCACGGCCTGGGTTAAGTCGTGAACCCAAGGCCCTAGCGGCTCCCTGGATGCAGCGGCATGCTTGTTGGCGGTCACTGGTGGTCCGAGCCAACCTGTTGAGCGTCTGAATGCCATTACAACATCCTCTAGGAATGTAACCGCCTCGGGTCAGGTAGTTAATGCATTGCCCCAAGTTGCCGGCGACTGCGCCGCAGGAGATTGCTGCCTCCGACGCCAATGGAGCAGACACTAACATGCACACGATGACCAGTGTTGACAACTTTAAGAGCCCCTCCATAATCTTAACTCTCTTTTTTTTTTCCTTTCTCTTTTGCTTAGTTAAGTAATGGGTTTGGATGATGAAGAGAGCTAATAGAGTTTGTGTTTATATAGAGAGAGAGCCCAAGAGTGCAAATGCATGAAAGTGAGAGAAGACGGTACGTGTGGGGTTAGGTGGTGGTTGGTTTCATTGAATGCATTGCTTCGTATTTATGTTTCTCTTCTCTCATCTTTGTTTTTATATAGTTTATATGCCAATTACTACGTACTGATCCCCGTTTTATTCTCTCTTTTTATTTTATTTTATTTGTCAGATCAGATCTAGATACTAGTAGATCATAAAGTGTGTATAGTTCATTCTTGTATGAACATAAAAGACCAACCATTGCTCTACATGTGTCCAACTTAACGACTTGTCAACGTTTGGAGTGTGGTATTAAATATGGTTCTCCATCATCTCAAACACTTTAATTGAGTTTGCAACAGATTCATTCAACAAATTCAGATGATAGAAAAACGTTAAACCACTACTCGTATTGTTCTCTCTTCCAAAATTTGGTTTGGAACAATCTATGACAAGGATATAGAGTTTTGCTTTCGACTATTCAAGTTTGATAAATCTCTCTTTTTTAAAAACCAATTAGGTTAAATCCTACATAGAAAATTGAAAGAGGCATATAAAACAGTAGCAACATACATTTACTTGACTCTCACTCCACCTTGCCAATTCCACCAATGCCTCCAACATTCGAGCTGCTTTCCACAACCGTCTCTCTTACAAACCTACGACAATATTTTTTCAAGAATCAGGTTCAAGAAAGAAAGATATATACATTTGAACTAGAGAGGAGAGAAACGTCATTTACCTCGCCAGCTTCTCTCGTGAAGATTGTAAGACGTAAATGGAGAGTACGAAAGAGAATGTGAGAGCTGATCACGAGTAAACAGCATAAGCATATACATTAAGTGTATGAGCGTATTTTTCCCCTTGACTAACTATTTAACTAGCAAGAACGAAAATGATTTACCTGAGCCAAAGAGGACATAAAATCCTGAGGACACATCAATCTCTGACTGCTCCTTCCTGCATCACAATAGAGTGTCTCTCAGCAACATATATCAGTAACGATGAAGTTTCTTAAGCTCAACGACTCAAGCAAGGAGAGAGGAGAAAAGGGATGAAAGAGGTCAACGAAAGTAGTGTACCATGTGTATCTAACAAGAACATGTTTTGGCCAGTGTTGAGCATCCCAGAACTGTGTGCGGATCTCCGGATGTGTATTCACATCTGTTCACGGGTGAAATCTTAGCTCAGAAAAAACTCTGATGTTGTCTTTCAATATTTCGAAGTAAATGAATGCTACTCTATTACCATGAAAGCAGAATTGCAGTGTCAATAATCAGAGAGCATAGAAAATATGAGATTCGTTCTTTATACTATCAAATCCATTATTAGCATAAAGATAGTTCAGGCAGGTCGTCCGAAATAAAGAAACCACGAAAATGTAAATTTAATGTAATAATGCCACCAGAAAGATGGATTGTGTGAGTCTGTGTAACATACACAAAGGGAACAGCAGAGAAAATGGGGCTATCAAACAAATTGCCTATAGATCAGCACCCAGTGATGAGAACAACTTTTAACTATCACAAGATACTGTAAAACTCTGGGAATCATAGAAATCAGAGAGGTTAACTAGGCCTAAGACATGGGCTTTAAGCAACCAAGCATCACAATCTTGAGAAGGTACGACCTAATATGGCATAAATTATTGAGTATTCAGATGTGAGCGTAAGGCCTGGCTTATTTATTTAGGCCAGATTAGTAGTGCAGACAAAATTCGCTTATTCACTCACAAGACAGAGAGTAATAAAGCGACACCTACATCAACACACGAGATAGCTAGATAAGGAGTATTACGTACAGCTATGAGGCAAATCGATAACTTGAGCTGTGACTCCAAGCAAATCTCCACCAGAATATCTCTGCGCAAACGAAAAAATCAAACCACACCGAAAAATCCAAGAACTGGTTATACACATCTGTCACTTTTCCTGGGTTGCAAATGATCTAATCAGTCGAAGCTTATATTATAAATAACTCAAAGCCAATGCCAAACATTACCAAATTAACATCGATCATCGGAACTTCTGAGCTCTTACGGTTTATCACCAAAAGCCAGTGAATTAGATATTTCTCACTTCCAACTTGGAACTTTCTGCATTTAAACACGCATCAGACACCAAATAACTCTTAGCTAGAATATGAATAATGCACAAACAAGGAAAAAAGATGTGGCCATATCAGCATGGTACTCCATGTTCAGCGCAGAGAAGACATCAGAAGAACACAATCTGCAGCAAGATCGAAGTAAAAACGCAAAATGCCTCCTACTCTAATTACAACAGATCATGACATGAATCTAATTATCACACTTATCTTCATCATTTCATATTTCAGCACCAAACAGTAGAAATTGCTAGCTACTCAATCTAAGAGCTGGTAAAACCACTGATAAACTCGCAAGTAAACTGAAGACAGAGCAAATATCAATTCAAAGCATCAAAATACGGCTATAAAATCTTCTAATTTGAACTGCAATGAAAATAATAGGATTCTCACATCTTATAAGGATCTGTTCCCGTGTAGCCAATTGGTTTCGCTATGGGGATCAACACCTAAAAATCGGCATGACAACAGAAGGAAGAAAACAAGATAAGCTTCAATCTAATTTCCAAAATACTCCATTGAAATGACTTAAAACTAGTACAGTACCTCGCGATTAACGGCGAAGATCGGGCAATGCTTTCCGATCACATCGTGCCAAGTCGTTCTCGACTGCCAGGGAATCAACAGATCCTTAGTCTCCATCGAATTATAAAGTAATCTCAGCTAATATATAAAGAGGAATACGAACAGAGTGATACTGCCCCATCTTGCTCATCCGGACGATATCTCCTGGTCGGTAGGCGCTGGAGATAGCGGGAAATGATAGTGATATCAGAACTAGAGCTTGAATTAACAAGTTCCACGGTAGCGATCCAGCTACCGCAATCCTGCCCGCCATAGCTTGCTTCTTCGGCGAGGTTTCTCCGCCAAATTTTGCCGGTGGTTTTTATTCGCCTGGAAATTTCGGAATTGAAGCAGAGAGGTGTAGATGATTAAGCAACTGTAAGAACTCTTCTTCACATTATTATTGGGCCAAAAACATTAGCCCAACTTAACATGTTGATCACATTATTATTGGGCCACAAAATTTAGCCCAACTATTAAGTTGCCCAACTTAACATGTTGACTCAGTTTTTGACCAGTGCTACTCCCTTTTGGATATTTGGTTATAAACTAGACTTACATGTAGGGTTACATGAATTCGACAGCTATTCGAGTTACATGTAGCTTAAGAATTTTTATGCTACCACCTTTGTTTGGTTTTTTATCCGAGTTCAAATTCATATTAAGACAATAGACTATACGTACGTCGCGACTAAAAAACCCATAATACAAAACATAGTATATAAATTAGGTTTATTCCATAGAGGCTTGTTGATGTAGTCATGGCTCGTGCGTGAGTCCTGACAATTCATTTCAGAGCTCAGTTACTAAAAACTTCATCGGTATAGATTGGACAATCTCAAAATCTCAATTTGGATAAAAACATATTCATAAATACTCATCTATCTTCTCTCATAATAAAAATCAAAATATAGAGGATAAATATCTCAGTAGAAAAGGAATATATACTATATGATAATCGTTTTCCAACGCATATGAACCATACTAAAAATCTCGATCTAAAATATAAATACTAACTTTGACCAAAAAAAAAATATAAATACTAATAGTTATTTCCAAAAAATAGCACTTTCAAAATGATTGAATCACACCTCTCACTGCATCAGGAATTATAATTAATTACAAGTTTCGATTCTTCAACCAATAGTATGATCTCGATATTGACTTGAAATGTTAACGAATATTCGTCCAAAAACATTTCAGAAAACTCATTACTATTTGTTTATTCATGAACAATCAAAATTTTCAAATATGGATAAGATCATCTTTATAAAATATTCATCTATTTCATGTTATAAAGTGGATTGAAAATAAAGTACATATTTTGATTTAAAAACAAGCAAATCATGATCGTTTTTTCTAAAGCAGAACCACACCGATCTAATTTTTTCTAAATCATGTTAATTTTTTTTTAAAAAAAAATCAATATGAATCCTTACCCGGATCATAACCAGCCTCATTAATCTTCAGGTTTCCAATCTAATGATATGGTCTTAATTCGTTTACTCTCTCTCAAGTTGTCATTACAATTATCATTACCGTTTATTGTGTAAAATATCTTCTAACTTTCTCCCCCAACGATTGAAACCTCACAATATAACCATTCAAAATTTCTCCAAATTCATAAGTTCGGGCTCAATAACCTTAAATTTGACTCCTCTCATCCAAAAAAAAAAAAAAGTTGGCCAACCATTTCTTAAATATACATGATTTCTTCAAACAGTCAATAAATTTCGTAATAATTAACCAAACTCTATTTAAACCAAAGGCAACGGAATAAATATAACTCCCGAATCACAAAATCAAACTCAAATGATGTCTTTAGAATCTAAAATAAATAATTAATGCTGGTCGCTCTTTCTAAGTACTGCATCGTTACTTAAGAATAAGAAAAAGGCATAGGAAAAGAGCGACATAAAAAGGGTTTGAAGAAGATGCATAGACATACATAAAACTAAAAGTAAGACAATTTTTTTGTTCTCGTTATTTTTTTTCTAATTGCAGTAAAAAAAAAAGAAAAATAGAAGAAAAAAAAAAAGGGAACGAACATCAATACACAAATTCGATCTTTAACAGTAATAATCACTTGGGATCCTTCAAAACCTAGAAGAAAACCCATCTCTTCTCTTTGCCCTGAATATCGCTTTTTCTCCTTCTCGATTCTTTGTTGCTTCTCCCTTGTACTCGCTTGTTCGTTTTTGTGCCCGTCGCCGAACTCAATCGGATTCAATTTCGGGGCGTAGTTTACAACGAACTGATTCCCCTCGTTTTGATCAATCGGGGTGCTCTCGTTATCAATCGATTTTTTTTTTTGGTTCCTTGTTAGTTTTAGGTTTGTCCTCTTTAATGGCTGCGGATCTCGATGATTGGTCTGTATTGGAAGAGAGTTCGTCCTCATTCTCACCGCTTCCGCCGCCTCGGTCCCCGTCGAATCAGTCGGAGTTTTGGGAGAGAGTGGAGGAAGCCACCCGTGAAATTATAGAGCAGGTCCATCCAACACTTGTATCCGAGGATCGAAGAAGAGATGTGATTGATTTTGTGCAGAGACTACTCAAAATGACGCTTGGATGCGAGGTTATTTCTTCTTTCAACATTTCTCTGTCATGTCGCTCTACATTGGCTTTTGTTTGCGTTAACATCTGGAAACGAAAATAAACTTAGACGTGCTTTAAATGTTGGAACCTTCTTCTCAATCGACTATATTTTAGATGCTGGCTTTGATTTCTAAATGCTTTAATCCGAGTGCAGTGCCCATAGCAAATTTTCTGACTTCCCTTGTAAGATATTCTGAACAGTAGTATTCATATTTGTTATTTTCTATATGCAAGTCGTGTGCTTTCTGTTGTTTGTAGGGGCGATTCTTCATTTGAATATGGATGGTTACGGAGTTGTGATTAATTTTCTTTTTTTACTGATATGTATGTGTCTTTCAGGTACATTCTTTTGGATCGGTTCCATTGAAAACGTATCTTCCTGATGGAGATATTGATCTCACAGCTTTTGGTGGACTGTGTCACGAGGAAGAACTGGCCCTCAAAGTTTTCTCTGTGCTTGAGAGAGAGGAACATAATGGGGGTGCTTACTTTATGGTCAAGGATGTCCAGTTAATACGTGCTGAGGTTTGTTTAATCAATCAATCTCTATGGTATTCAATACTCGAGAAACTAGCTTTTGCCGCTAGTATTCCAAGTATGTATATGGTGTTTATTATACATGCGTATCATGTTGTCTCTTATCTCCTCAAGTACGGAACTTTCTTTTCTGTTGCAGGTTAAGCTTGTTAAATGTCTGGTGCAAAACATTGTGGTTGACATCTCTTTCAATCAGCTCGGTGGGATTTGTACTCTGTGCTTTCTCGAGAAGGTAAAACTGTCCTCTTCAGTATGACCATGCTGTGTCAAACAAATTTAACTAACCTTTTTCTAAGGTAAATATAGTTTAAGGCTTATTATTACCTGTTAGATATATGAATATCAGAAATCGAATGTTGCTAACCTGTCATAATGACATTGTTTTCATTCAACTGCATGCGTGATTTTCTGTTAACTAAGCTTGAATATTGCTAATTGTTTGCAATATCACATTCACGCGATAACATGTTTGAAGCGCATAAATGCCTATAACAGTGTTCGTATTAGCAATTTCCGAAGGATACAGTTTTAGATGACAAAGATTTACTTCTGGCAGATTAACGTTGACCATTTGATTACGCAGATCGATCACTTCATTGGAAAGGACCATCTCTTCAAGCGAAGTATCATACTCATTAAAGCTTGGTGCTACTACGAGAGCCGTATTCTCGGGGCTCTACATGGATTGATCTCAACTTATGCTCTGGAAACGTTGGTCTTATATATCTTCCATCTCTTCCATTCATCGTTGGATGGTCCACTAGCAGTAAGAGTCTTTGACAATTTTGGGGGACACATCATGGTTTATTCTCATCTTGATTTACTGAGGTTTTTTTTCATAGGTTTTATACAAATTCTTGGACTACTTCAGCAAGTTTGATTGGGATAACTATTGCATTAGCCTCAGTGGTCCCGTCTGCCTTTCCTCTCTACCAGAGATTGTTGGTAAGCATTTCGGCATCTTTATATAGGACTGAGATCTTTTGTGATTTCAGTGTCTGCATTTCTGTAATTTCTGTAGTTGAGACTCCGGAAAATGGCGGGCAAGATCTACTGCTCACCAGTGAGTTCCTAAAGGAATGTTTGGAGATGTACTCTGTACCTTCTCGAGGATTTGAGACAAACCCACGTGTGTTTCCATCAAAGCATCTTAATATAGTTGATCCGCTTAAAGAAAATAACAATCTTGGTCGCAGCGTGAGCAAAGGTTGACTGCATTTCTTTTCTCCAACCATCGCAGTTTTTGTTTTGTCTCTGCTATTTCCTCTCTCCTTATGGATTCGATTGTATGAGCAGGCTTAAGACAGTGGCGTCTGAATGTCATTATGCAGAGTTATAGCGCTATATAATATTATGCTGGTTTTTCCTGAAATTCTTAGAATACGGTGTATAGATTTAAAGTGCAGCTAAAAATTAAGATGGTGATTTCCTGGCATGTCTTTTCACCCTGCAATTGAAGAATTTTTTAAGCTTGAGATAAACCTTTAAACTTAGTATGTTCCGTTCGTGGAATTTATGGTCTAGACGACTCTCTTACACGTTGGTAAATTCTAAAATGCATGAATGTTCCATTATCTTACACAGGTAACTTCTATCGCATACGAAGTGCATTCACATATGGTGCTCGGAAGCTTGGACAAATCATTTTACAGTCAGAAGAAGATATAAGTTTTGAGCTTCGTAAGTTCTTCTCTAACATGCTACACAGGCATGGAAGTGGCCAGAGGCCCGATGTCCTTGATGCTGTTCCATTTGTAAGGTACAACAGGTACATATCGCCTGCTTTAACTGCCAACCATTTCCAAGAAGGTCAAATGGTTTATGAAACGGAATCTTCCAGTTCATCTGGTGCTGCTGGAAATGGTAGACATGACCAGGAAGAGTCGTTGTATACAGGAGCCAATGTATCAAGTACAGCTGGGCTTAATTTAAGTGGATCACCTGGTGAAACAGCCCCATCAGTTTCAGAGGAACGATTTGCAGGAGACGCAAAAGACTTGGCTACTGTGAGGAACCAAAAGCCTGAGATTTCCGTTGATGCAGTGAAATCTCTCCGCCGTAAGGAAAGTGTCTCTCCTTTGAATGGTGAGCATCATTCTCTCCATCAGATGAAAACTGGAGAAGTATTAAATGGAAATGGGGTGGAGAAACAGCAAGATGATTCTTGCCTTGCTAATTCCAGAAGAGCTAAAGATTCACATAGTAATGAGAACCAGAACGAAAATGAGCATGTTGGTCATGAAGACCTGCCGTCTTCACTCATGAACCCTGTAACTTGGCCACAGGAGGACATGCATCTCCATTACTTGGGTCATTATGTTTCTGGCACTCCAAATTTGCTGTCTGACCTCACAGGGGATTACGACAGTCAGCTTAACAGTTTGAGATATGGGCGCTGGTGGTTTGATTGTGTCCAAAATGGTCACCTGTCCCCACTATCTCCTCCTGGGATACCTCAGCTTCCGAACAACAATTCATGGGAAGTAATTCGACATGCACCGCCATTCAGGCGGAATGCGTCGGGTCCAGTAAACGCCAATGGAGTTGTTCAGAGACAGGTTTTCTTTCATGTGAACCCTCAGATGATTCCACCTTCTAATTTTGCTATCGAGGAAGTGCCTAAGCCACGAGGAACTGGAACATACTTCCCCAATGCGGTATTTATTTATACGCCTCTCTCACATATCTTACTGATACTCTGTAAAAACCTGTGACCTCTCGATGGCCAAGCTTCTTAACGTCTCATTTATGCAGAACCATTACAGGGAAAGACCGTTCTCCACAAGAGGAAGAAACTCACACCAAGCTAGGTCGCCACGTAACAACGGCCGAAGCATGGCACACTTTCACTCAGAAATGAATTTCCCCCGTGAGCGACATCAGCATCAGCCTCAGCATCTTCATCTTCATCATCATCATCATCCCACCCAAACGAATGGTTCTTGTGATGTGAGTCAAGCTGATTCACTTGAAAGCTTCGCCGACACCAATGGCTCTGTAAATCATCCATATGAGAAGGCTCCAGATTTTAGGTCAATGGAGCCTCTACGAGTTGAACTACTATCCCCTCCCGAGGGCAGCACGCAAAGTGATGTAAGCAGTGGAGGTTCCTATAATCAACCAACATCTATACCCTCCTCCACACAGGAAGATCGGTACAGTATATCTCTTGCCCTTAAAAACGTTCCATCTTTTTATTATAAAAAGCCATTCACTGTGTCTAATTCATTGTGGTATGTACATGTAGGGTAACGACACCTACGCAGTCATATCATTTGACGGATGATCACGAGTTCCCTCCGTTGTAGCCTCATGATATGATCACAAACACATGCTCTTTAGACCGTTATAGGAACAGGTATAGCTTTCTAACTTGGTTTGTCTCCTAAGTTCTTTGTTATTACCTACCACAGAAGAAGAACAAAACAAAAAAAGATGGAGCTGATTTGTTTTGGGCTGTGTTTTTTTTTCTTTTTTCTTTCTTGTATGTTATTTTTGCTGCTATAGTATTTATCTATGTAACTTTATCAAACTCTCTGGACAAAACCTTCGAAGAGCTCTTGTATTTTATACTTAGACAGGTTTGTGAGTGTATTTTTAGGATGTTTCTTGATTCCTTTGAGTTGCATTTTTTCTTCTCAGTGGATGATTAAAAGAAGTATCAAGATTTTAGTCATTATGACTACTGTATTCGTTAAATAAAAATTTACCAAAAATATGTTTTGTTCTTATTACAATAAATTTAAAATATACTCCTATAATTGTCCCCAAATCTGACCAATTTAAAATTTTCAATCACTTGCCGGTTTTGCAATTTACTTTTATTTGAATATGTAAATAAAATCTTTAACAAATAAAAATAAACATCGTTGGAGGGGAAATAGTCATCAATTAGACAAAAGAAAACAAAAACGAAGACTGTGTCAATCAAATTACGCAATCATCGGTGTACACTGAAACCACTCGTCTCTTCAAATTTCTACAGACAATAATACTTCACGTTAAAAATTAATCAAATCTTGTTTGACTTCTATAACACAATCATTCAATAAAGGGAGAGAAGAAAAAAATCAAATAAAAAAAAAGTTGAGCTGAAAACAAATCCGATTCTTCGTTCTCTGCGAATCCGAATCATCGATGGTGGATCCGAAGCGTGGCCATAGGTTTTTCAAATTCAGAATTGTCTAAGTGCTCTCGCGAAAACCCCACTCTTTTGCAAACTCTTCTCTTTCAAATTCTCTTCCACCCTTTTGCTGTGTTTTATTTTCCCATATAACTTTCCCGAGAAAACGGACGAACTTTCTTTCTTCACACCCACTTTTTCCGCACTTTGATCGGCTGCAACCACATATTCTCTCATTTCACCTTTTCCCACCAAACTTCTTTTTTAATTTTAATCTTTTTTCTTTTCTTTTTTCGCTGGGTCTCCTTTTTTGAATGAAGGTCCGTAAGGGAAGAAGACAGATGATTGCGAAAGAGCACGAATACAAAATACGACATCAAGGCGTTGTTGTAGAAATGGCCTGGGTTTTGCTCTGCGTTGATTATTCCAGGCTCTTTTGGTTGCTCTTCGGCGTCTTCTCCTACGAGAATCACGAAGGAAAACCTAGGATTTTCTAGCACCCTTCTCCCTCTCTCTTCCTCTCCTTCTCTTCTTCTCTCTCAATCTCTTGTTTGTCCCCAATTTTTTTTTTCTCTGCTTCGCGATCTTGTTTTTCCCTAATTTCGAATTTTCTTCTTTCCGCTTTCGTATAATTTTCGTCGATTCTGATAGATCCGTCATGTACATGGAGATTTCTTCTGGCGGAGCTTCCAGTGAATCGACCCCTTACGTCGAGACTGATCCTTCCGGTCGCTATGGGCGTGTAAGCTGCTCTTTCTCTCTTACGACTTCTCAGCTGATTCGTAATCAATTTCCGTATTTGCTTTGATCAGAGCTTTTTCCTCTGTTTTCACTTTCTAAAGCTGTCTCTTTTATCAGATTTGAGTTTGATTACTAGGATTGCTCTTGAACATTGGGTTGACTCCTCGTAGTTGAAACGTTTTTGTTTCTAAGTATGAGTATGCATGCATTTGATTTGATGAAATCAATGGTGTGCAGTTTAGAGAAGTACTAGGCAAAGGAGCAATGAAGACGGTTTACAAAGCGTTTGACCAGGTTCTTGGCATGGAAGTCGCGTGGAATCAGGTTAAGCTCAATGAGATCTTCCGATCACCTGAGCCTTTGCAACGCCTCTACTCCGAGGTTCATCTCCTCAAGAATCTCAATCACGAGTCTATTATCAGATACTGCACATCTTGGATCGACGTGAACCGCAGAACGTTCAACTTCATCACCGAGCTCTTCACATCAGGCACCCTTAGAGAGTAATGAGAAACCTTCATGCTTTGTGCCATACATCAACACTATATATAACCAGAACCTCATGCTTTTGTGTCTCAATGTTGCAGGTATCGGAGGAAGTATCAAAAGGTTGATATCCGGGCGATCAAGAGCTGGGCACGTCAGATCTTGAATGGTCTTGCTTACTTGCACGGACACGATCCTCCTGTCATTCACAGAGACCTCAAATGCGATAATATCTTCGTTAATGGTCACTTGGGGCAAGTCAAGATTGGTGACTTGGGCTTAGCTGCGATTCTCCGTGGATCACAGCACGCGCACAGCGTCATAGGTATTCTCTCTCTCTCTTTTCCTGTTTTCTCCATGTTTGTTTTCAAATAGTTTTTGGTTAGTTCTCAGTATTAACTTTGATTCACCATTAGGAACGCCTGAGTTCATGGCACCAGAGCTATATGAAGAAGACTACAACGAGCTCGTGGACATTTATTCATTCGGAATGTGCGTCCTAGAGATGCTTACCGGTGAGTACCCTTACAGTGAATGCTCCAACCCTGCTCAAATATACAAGAAAGTTACATCGGTAAGCAGAGGACCTTGGGGCTATCTCAATCATCATCAACATCTTCATAGAGAAATCTCTTGATCTCTCAACTTTTTTATATAATCTGGTTTTGCTTCAGGGGAAGTTGCCTGAATCTTTCCATCTCATCCAAAACATGGAGGCACAACGTTTCGTTGGTAAATGCCTTGAAACTGTTTCAAAGAGATTGTCTGCGAAGGAGCTCTTGGGGGACCCATTCCTCGCTATAACTGATGAGAGGGATTTAGCGCCTCTTTATAGATTGCCGCCACAGCTTGCGATTCAGAATTTGGCTGCAAATGGAACGGTGGTGGAGCATCTGCCTCCAACGACTGATCCAACTAGAACGACGGATATGTCGATAACAGGAAGGATGAACTCAGAAGACCACACCATCTTTCTCCAAGTACAGATTTCAGATGAAGAGGGTAAGTTTCAAAGTTCTACTTTTACTATAAATGAGAAGACCACACCACCTTGAGCAGAAACAGAAACTTTGATGGCTATTTGTTTTTAGAATCACCAATTGAAAATGTTGTGATGAATCTGTTTTGACTGTTGTCGCAGGTCACATGAGGAACATCCACTTCCCGTTCAGCATTGTAAGCGACACAGCTCTTGAAGTAGCTTTGGAGATGGTGAAGGAGCTTGAGATCACTGATTGGGATCCTTTGGAGATCGCTGCAATGATAGAAAATGAGATATCTTTGCTCGTACCAAACTGGAGAGCCCATGACTCTTCTCACCGGCACCACAGCTTTGGTTATGAAGATGATGATGACGACAATGGCGAGGGAGGAGGAGGAGGAAGAACACACCCTTTCTCCTCTGCCTCTTCCTCTCACGACTCTCCTCTAGCAGTTAGAGACTACGACAACAACAACGGTTTTAGTAACGATATGATCCGAGGTAACGATGGTGGAGGCAGTAGAAGCTCTTGGGTGAGTTCTTCAACATACCACTACTCTCCTGCCATGGATGACGGTGATCAAAGTCCGCAACATAGGAGACGCTTAAGGCTACAGAAAATGAGATCGCTAGTGGACACGAGAACGCAGGTGCTGCACCGATCGCTCATGGAGTTGATCAACAGGCGGCGTGGGCGTGGGCGTGGGCGTGGTCTCAACACGAACGTGAACGAGCTACGGCATCAACCTTCCACTGAGTTCTTTAGACGATCTTGAGAAAAAAACGGATGAGAGAGGGTCTTTGTGACTCTTTCATGATAAAGACAGGATCTTCATATTGGTCTAGGCATTTTGCTTTAATGATTATCAGATAATTGTTTAGAGTCATTTGCATATAATCCCATACGGACGTTTTACCTTTAGTTCGATTCCGATTTGAGAATGCTGCAAAACCGGACGGATAAATTCCTTTGCATAGTCTCATACTAAAGTTATTGTGAAAACCATCCCTATTTGCTTCTTTTTTCAAAATGTATTTTTTCCCCCATAACCTCTGAAACGCGAATATATGTGAAACTTATGCATGATCAAAAGTATCTATAACTATTATATTTAGAAAAATGATTAATATATCCTATATATGTAATTGTAAGAACTACTAAATAATCGGCGTTGATCAGACACATACTTGCGGATGACAACGCTCTATCTTGTGAATTGGTCTTCCTCGATGAACCCGAGAATTCGATCCGAAATCAATCCGATGTACGTAGTTATCCTTGATGATTTCTGTATATTATTTAGAATTTTTTGGGAAAAGGATTGAAATTATATGCCTGAACTAAATATTCAAATAACCGTAAGAATCATAATAACTGTCTAACTCATTGATTCATGTTCCATGATGAGATGGTCAGATGCAACATGCAAGTAATTATTTTATCTTGGTACGGAAGTTGTTTATCTTCTTGTATCGAACGTAGTTGCGCAGTTGAACTATATAAAATGTAAAATTAGCAATAAACAAAGGGATGATATATAATAGAAAAAAAATGTTTAATAATGTGATTGGCAAACATATGAATGAGTTGATCATCCAGTCAACGTTTACAAATAATTTATATAAGAAGGCACTTGAAAGTTGTTGCATCCAGCGACTGAATCGTAATTTGTAGTGATACCCATTCATAGAATTATAAATATTATAAGAAGGTGATATCACTATTAATGAGTGCATGAGAATAGTTTATCATACTATATATATAAGAAGAAAACATAATGGAATATTTAAAAGAAATATTTTGCGGTAATTAGGTTATCTAACCGCATGCATCCAAACAAATCACGTATATTAAAAAAAAAACCCACAATTTCGGATTCTGGCCTCATCTTCATCCAACACCTACTTGACTTTGTCACGTAAGAATATAAAAGCAATGAAATGCAATACTGCATGTAGAGATCTTAATTTAAGCCAACATAAAATCTCAGGGCTAAGGTCGAGAAAGAGAGAAGAGAGGAAATATGGAGAGTAAAGGGCCATCGCCAATATTTCCACTTGTGCTTGTGGTACTCTTCGGATGGATCCTTTGCGGCTCATACCTTATCTCAGTGTTAGAGGATTATATATTACCAATCTTACAAACTGGAACATTCATTGTAGGAATCCTTCTTTTACTTCTCCTTCTGCTTCTCCATCTCTTATCTTCTTCTTGGATCTCTCCATGGATCCCTTCTCTTCTTATTATACCATCTCCCGCCTCCACGACTTCCACTGACTCAGACAGCTTTGGCCTTGGATCCTTTCTTTTGCTTTCACTTTTCTTCATCTCCTTCTGGTGGTTTCAATCACTCTAATTAATGTTTGTTGTAATTGTGTATATATTCTCTCATGAGTACTGTGTTTTCCTGATTGTGTTTGCAAGATATCGCTTTTCATTGTTGTACATCTTCTTGAAATGACTACTGATTAATCATGCTGTGACTCGGTGGATAGGGAGATGAGAAAAAGGTTAATTCTTCCCTTTGATATTGTGAACAAAGAAGTTTCCAACAAGAAATGCCTAAAAAGTTAACAAAAATTTCTGCATCAGTCATATTACATTTTCCATAACATATCATATGTGAAAACAATCTAAAAAGTAGAGACCTAAATTTGCATATTAATATTGATCCATAAAGATTCCGAACTCATGCAACTCCTAATGACGTGCTATACCACAATAAAATGAGTATCATTTATTTGAATAATTCAGTAACAAATATATATGTGTGTGTGTGTTCGTTTTTAACGAGATATATATTAGTGTTGTCCATATGTATATTATCCGGATTAAAACCCTAATAATATGTAGTGTTGACTTGATACCAAAAGATCTAACGTGGAAACTGCTATATGCATCATTGGCCTCAGCATGGAACAGCATCACTATTTGCAAAAGAGAATGCTTATTCACACCGAAATGACACTCTTGAAAATGATCAGCGAAGCCCCAACACTGGCCAAGAAAAAATGATAAGAGAAGTCATTTCAATATGATGGAAACCCCAGGTTATCTTCTTAAATGGCAGATTAGAATGAAAGCTTGCCTTAGTAGCCCTTTTTCATTGAATCGGATTTTGGACTATTATAGTTTTCATCTCTCTTTTCAGGAGGCTGTATTTCATCCAAACATTTTACTTGTTTTGAGTGGTTTTGTTTCAGTGAATATTGTGTTGAAGATTGTTCTTTTTACAACAATATCGTGAGATTATCGGTCTCTCATTCAATAATTGATTTTGCTGACGGCTTCACCTTTTCGACTATTGAGGTTGCGATTCTTCCTCTTGTTAGCTTCGTTCAAGACATCAAAGTTTTCTTTGATCTAGATATTGCATCGGTTGAGTTTGTCAGCTCCTATCTATCCTCGGTTGAGTTTCTTAACTCCCATTTATCCTTTTATCTTGTTTTGAGTTATTATTGTTGTATTTGCTTTGCTTTGTGTTTCATCAGCTGGTTGGTTGTCGTCCATCTCTATTTAGCTCAGTGTAGCTGTTTGTATCATCTCTAGATAAATGTAAAACTTTGTAAAAATAATGCAAATTAAAAGTTTGACAAAAAAAAAAAAGTCATTTCAAGTTATAGCAGACATATAATTAACCCAAAAAGAGTTAAGCACACAAAACCAAAGCAACGTCTAATCGAGGTCACTTTTCTAGTTTTCATAAATTGGCACAATTCACACAACTCATTCATACATCATTAACCAAATCACAACGAATGGGATTATTATTATTTTTTATTTTTTTTGACCAAAGGTTTTGCAAGAATGGGATTATTTTTTCCACATATACATCTAAATACTATTTATTTTGACGAAACTCAGCGAATGATTTAGACGGTTTTAGTGACTACTGACTTGCATAAAAGAAACTGACTCTTTTTTATGCAAAAAGTTGAGATTTTGGCTGCAACCAAACACATAATTAACATATCAAAAGATCTTACTTCAATAATATTTAAAATAAAAGTCAAGATGTCATACTATTCGATTGGACTTTGAGGATTTATGATTATTTTTTGAAGTTTTTTTAGCTTAATTTGTTAATCGAATATATGTGTGTATTTCTGACATCCCATTTCTATAAAATAATGTCCATAATATTTTGAAAATAAAGCTAGTGGTACTCACTGCTCCCCTTTTCACTCGCAGGTAAATAGGAGTGATATGTCTTTTTCTAGTGATTTCTAATTAGCACAAGACGTACGATTAGCTTTTTTTTATATAGATAAAAATCTTTTGGGCATTTGCATATCTTGTTTTCAGAGTTGTGCTGATTTTGAGTCTTCTTCGTTAATCATTTAATCTTTTTTTCTTTTGGATTTTAATCCATAAAATAAAAGTAATTTAGGTATTGTGTAATAACTTGTACGCCTTCCTAATGGCGCATGTCAGCAATCAATCAATCAACATACATTTGTTTCATATTCCAAATGAAATGAGGCAAACCGATCGCGTTCGCACCCAATGGATTTTAGTTTTCTAGTAGCTTGTACGCAAAATAGTTTGAATTTGGGTCTCCTCATGTAGTTTTTCCCCAAATGTTTTGCTCATACTTAGTTGCATTTTGAAATCTCATCTTGCAATTCTCAAGAACGTGTGTATACGATATGTTGGTCCCCGTCAGAACCAAAATCGAATGTACGACTGGTGAATTTCTTATCTTTTTTTAAGAAATGTATATATATTTTGGTCTAATAACATTTGTTTCCGTTCTTATGGAAAAAAAAAACGATTATAAACCGGAAACTCAATGATTTTAAAGTTTGCTTCTAATCTTCAAAAAAAGAGACAACTTCTTCGCTAATAAGAAATTATTTAAGCAAATACAAGAAAATGAAATTATGACCGAGTCCAAAGACTTAGTCTATGTCTCTCAGATTAGGACATCTCTCGGTATGTTTAATTTCGTGTTTTATATTAAGATTATTTGGTCAACATCATATTGAATGATATATATAGTATAAATTGTATAATAGTATATTTAAGCTTGTAAACATAGAAACAAAATTAATTAAAAAAAAAGATGTGACTGTATTCGATGAACAATATAAAGATCATAAAACTATAGTTTAGAAGGAAGAGGCAAAGATGTGATATCAAAAACCTTAAAGATAAAACGAGTGGGATGAATAGAAAAATGAGTGTGAAGAATGGAACCAACGGTCGAGATGAGTTGTCTCTTAACTTGTTTGGTGATGCCTCCCATCGACACAATCTCTGCATATGCAGCTGCTTCTTTGTTCCCACCGAACACTATCTCTATTGACCCCTTCAACACCACCATCACCAACTGCAATAAACATCTCTTTGTTTAATAAACATAGTATATTTTGAAGATTTCTAATCTCCTACATTTTCTCAACACATAAAATCACTGTTTTACTATGAGGAAACAAATATTGGCCATGCTATTTTTCTTTTGGTTGCAATAGGCACTACAATCCACATTATTGGTTTATAAAGCAAGATGCCAAGATCTCGTATAAAATATCTATTAGAATGATGTTAATTTTTTTTGTTGGTATATACATTTCGATGCCATTTTTCTTTTCTTTTTTTGTCAAGATGCCAACTCAAGTGAAACCTAGTAAAACAATGTTTCTATTATTGCATCCCAATTATTCAATAAAATATCATTTTTTTAGTGTTTTGGAATATTCAAGCGAAACCAAAAAGTTCTACAAGACGCCTCAACTATCTCCCCTTTTCAAAAAAGAAAAAAAAAAAAAAGAAAATTCTCTTTCCATTTTACAGATTTTGAATTTTTTATAAAATTTTATCAAAATTCAAAATTTATTCATCCTTCTATAATTCGAGAAAAAACTGAAATATTTGAATGTTTTTTTTATTTTTTTGAATATTTGCTTAAGTAATTGAGTGTTGTATATAGAAAAGCTCTTAGATGCAAAGAGGAGTTAAACAAGATGCAACTGATAAGTCAAAATCTTAGAGCAGTGTTCTAAAGAAAAGAAGAATTGAACATATATAAAGAAAGCTTCTTACGTTCTGAGGCCGTCCGATTATGGAAGCGACGGCTTCCGTGACTTCCGAGTAGAACGGATCGGTGTTAACGCCGTCCATATTGACGTTTGTAGTAATGTAAAGACAAGGCATTTTCTCACAGTGAACACTAACGCCCGTTTTCTTGATGCCGTTAAAGCTTATTGCCTAGTGTCTGAAGGAACACACAAAAGGAAGGATCAAGAGAGCGTTGATGGAGTTGGGAGTTGTGGAAGAGAAGATCTCACATGACCACTAAATATAGAACTAAAAAAAAGACAAAAAAATAACTTCCTCAATGAATGAAGTGTCTGAGAATAAATTATTGGATTGTATTATTTTTAAAATGCGTTTGATGTGAACAATATTTGAAATAATATCTTTGGAGTTTCAAATCTGACAACTTGACGTGTGACTAAATCAATCACCACAGCTACGTCACCGTCTATAAAAATTGGTTTCAGACCCAAATTGGACCACACACACCATAATCTTGTTTTTAGTATTAAACTTATATGGTCAAGCAAATTGTTTTTAACAAAAAAATGGTGAAGCATAATTTTGATTAGTATTTTCCTCCGCAAGAGGGGAAATTGTTGAACGATAGAATTAAGTCAGATTTAAGATATTCGTTTTAGATCTTGATTAGTTATACATCCACGTGGTGCGGATAGAGTGCCGCTAATTCATCTTAATATATTCGATTATGGTTTCTACTATCACTTAGAGATGTTAAAGTGGACCGAATAATCTAATATGTGGTAGCTTAAAGAGTATTTTTTTTACGAATGAAAGTAAAATATTTGGCAAATTAGTAATATATATATATATAGACACTTGTTAATTTCATACTTTAAAATAATAAAATTCAGCCGATATGTATATAGGTAACTACTGCAGAAACCGTATAAGCAAAGTCCGTTCATGTATCACTTTGCATGGATCAAATTTTTTTGGTTCGTCACGAGGCGAACCTAAAAAAGTGGGCTGGCCCGCTTTGGCACCTCTAGTCTACTAATATATAAAAAAAAAACAATCGGCTACAATCATATGTGTTGTCTGTACATTTTTAAAGTAAGTAATGGAGATCGTTAGGTTTGGTTTATTGGTCACAATATATACAATGACGATAACACATGTTTATTTCAAGTTTTGGTACGAGTTTTGGTACGAGCGTATATTGAGAGCTACTTTTCGTTGATGTGCTGAACTCATGTACATGTGTTTCGACAATTAGTCCACTATGAGAGCGATGCATAAGACTTCTACGGTGTGCTTGTCGAAAATCATACAAGTGATATATCTCTTTTACGTAAGTTTCATAAACGTGTCATATGTGAACTCCTACATATGATCTTCTTATACCAGTTAGACGATGTGTTAGGAAAAGAAAAGAAAAAAACAATTTAGTTTTTCATCAACATCAGTTCATGAACATGTCCCCATTTGAAGCGGAAACGAGTTTCATATGCTTGGTCCATGTGTAAAACATGTGCCCAATAGCTAGAAAGAAGAGAGAGAGTACGTAGTTGGTGTCAAATAATAAGTAACGATGCCCCCACTGGAGAAATAACACATGCTGAATTAGAATTAATCTACCTTATTATCGATTCACAGTATACTGTATATAAGTGTCTTGCAAATCACATAAAATACCGTTCTCAAAAAAAAAAAAAAATCACATAAAATACTTATATATATATAGCTCAAACCCCAAAAGAAAATACGAAAGATTTAAAAATAAATTAAAAATATCATAAAAAAATAAAAACCAAGAAAAACATCCAAAAAGCTAAGAAAACAACAGAAATTGGCTAACCTAACGTCAACGACTTCTAATCTCCTACATCATTAACATATTGATTGAGATTTTGAGTTTGAGACTATTGTTACAATTTCGTACTTCCTAGTTTTCGTAACCCCCTCACTAAGTTAAGTATTGCAATGACAGCTAAACTAAGGAATTTCTTAACCATGTGCCAGTGGAACCCCCTTCCAAGCTTCCACATTTGATCAACTAAACCCAAATAACCAAAACCCAATATGGTTTAACTTGTTTTCAAATAGGCCGTAAGGTTTACAGCCTTTACTGTCACAAGACATTGGGTTCTTCCTTCCTCAAACCCACAGCCTCTTTGTTAATAATCTACTACTCAATTCCTAAATTTTAATGTCATTGGAGTTAAGTCCAACGTCTCACTTTGTTTTCGTATCTTACCCCAGTTTCTTAACCAAATGCATAAAAAACTCGTGAATCTTATGACTCTTTTTTTTGGGGGGACTAAAATGAATATTATGACTCTATCAACTAATGAAGAAGTTAAATTTATAAAGAACACACAAAAAAAGAAACAAGTCATTTGACTTAATTTGTTGGTTTTGTTATATAGTAGAATTTCAAAAATTCCACCAGTAAATCACAACCGATGTGTATAGAATAAAAAAAATTCCACAAACTCAGCCATTAATTCTCCCATGTTAGCTAAACAAGTTACCATTTAGAGCCAATATATAAGTCACTGTAAAAAAAAACGAAATAGACAGAATAGTCCAAAAAGGAGAGAGAGTAAATTGGCGAAACAAGGACAGAGGCTGTCTTTATAAGGCATCCCGTATGATTAAAGGGTATTTAATCAAATACTGTTCCACTGTCTCACTAAGTCAAAAGTAAACTCTAAAGCCAAAGGTTTCAAACATTGTTAAAGCAAACATGTCCACCAGAATTTGCACATTAGAGGTCCACCATGTTATCAATAAACGCCAAACATTTTCCATTATCTTAGTTTTTCAAGTTTTTGTAGAAAATTTAAATACTCGTTGTCAAACAGAAAAACAGAGAACATAACTACTTTTTTTATAGACATATTTAGAATGAGAGAAAAATATGTATATACAAGAGGGGGGAATTATAAACTTTTTCAAACAATTTACAATTTTGAAAATATGATAAAAGTAGAAAACAGTTTTCATGATAAAAAAAAAAAAAAATCATAGGAAAATGTGAATTCTTACTATATAAACATATAAACCGGTATATTTTTTAAGTCTGAGAATTTTGTAGTGTTCATATTCAGTTTCTAGAAAGGCGAAAGTGGACTTTGTATTTAATTTTCTTTGTTGTTTAAACGTATGATCATAAACATGTTAAAGTTAATAAAAAATACTCATTAACAAGATAGGGAATAATGATGGTTATTCCAATGAAAGTATTATTGTAAGTTTCAGTTATAGATGTGGTCCAACGTTACTGGCATTGGCATTGCACACACTGGTAACAATTATTAGTTTTAGCTATAGTTTGGTGAATGATGTTAATTTAATTAATGGTTATATTGTATGTTATGGGAATGAACTGGAAAGTATAAAGTTGAATCGCATGGGATGTGGAAAGATGATTGTTTTTGGCTAACAAATGTATTTTATATATCCTAATTGATCAGATCCCTAGATATTCTCATAATCCCTCCCTCTAATTTATGTTGAAACTTGAAATAAAGTGTTTGAGCGTAAAACTCCTTTCGCTTTTTAGAATATAGAGGCGAGAACAAAAGGATTTTACCAAGTTTGTTAAGGTTGAATTTGCCGTTACCAAAACTTATGCGCATGACTATGAGTTTAATTTTGTTTTTGTTTTTACTTTACCCATAAGTCTATAACTATGAGTCTTTTTTTTCCCTTCTTCTCAGTAACTATGAGTCCATGATGACTTCTACAACCGTGAGGCCTTGGTTTTGTGACTTTGTGACTTTGTGTCTCCTTTTATATTGGATTTTTGGGATTTTATTGAATTGCGTAATTTAGGTGCAGTGATCAACATATGTTATGGTCATTGACTCATTGTCCATTGGGAAATCATAATTCTGATAGGGCACTAAAAAGTATTTTTTTGACATATCAAAAACGGTTAAATAAATGCCGTTATGCTGAAATAAATTGTCGAATGATAGTTATGATTGGTGAAGATACATCATATTCATGTTTTCATACCAAAAAAAAAAAAAGATACATCATATTTAACGAGTACATTTTTACATGATGTATATAGTCCATCAATCTAAGAAACTTTAGATTAAATTAATACGTAAATCCCATATTATTTTTGCATTTCACATGTCACATGTACAAACGTATGTCTCAATGAGACAGTCTCATCTACAAAGAAGACAAAAAAATACGACTCCGAACAATTGGTGCAATGAATGCAAATATGCAATTTAAAGAAGTTTCAGAGAACAATACATTACACACAAAATAAATGATACTAAAGCACAAGACAAGGGTGTGTTTGTGAACGTAGAGATTGAATGTGACTTGAAAGAGTTTTTTTGTTGAACGAACAAACAAAAAAAAAAAACAAAAAAACGAAAAAAGAAAGAAAAAAGTGGGACCCATTGGGTAGAAAACTTTGGACCCAAACACGCCCCATCCCTTCTTCTCATTATTATCACCTCTTCCACACGTTACCCTCTTTTTGCAAACTCACGCTCCTAAACCCCTAAACGCACGTGACTCTCACGCTCCACTTCCTTATCTCTCTCTGTTTTTATTTACCAACAAAACACCATTCTTTCTTCTGTCTCTCTCCGATTCGCCCTAAAAAGATCTTTCCCAATTTCAATTCACATTCGATTAATACCATGTTTTTTTGTCTAAATATATAAATGCTTTTTGATTGTTTTTGTTCGTTTCAAATTAAAACATTTCACACCTATTTGTATGGTCACATTTTTTTTTAAAAAAGGCGTTGGAATTGGAATTTCAGTAAAAATATATGCTTTATCAGATTTTATTTTATTTAAAAAGCCGCGTTATCTGTTCAAAATCAGAAATCATAAGTCACGCCTATATCTTTCTCTCTCTCTCTCCCGTCACTCTCACTCTTCCCCTCTGCTTGCTTATTATTTACATCGATCCTCGTTGTCTCTCCTCTGTTTTTTTAAATTTCTCCACTGATAATCTCTTTCTCACGAGATCGTTAAAAAAAAAAAAACTCTTTCTCAATGGCCTCTTCATTGTCTCCAAACCCATTCGATCACCAAAAAACCCCAAACGCAGAGCCAAAGAAAAGCTTCATGACCTCTCTCATTACCCTCCGCCCCAATCACTTCAAAGAAGACACCTACTTCGTCTCGGAACTCAAACCCTCCGAGCAGAAATCGCTTCAGGAGCTCAAAGACAAACTCTCCGCTTCGTCCTTCGGAGCCTCTTCCATGTGGGGGGTCCCACTCCTCGGCGGAGACGACAGAGCTGACGTCATCCTCCTCAAGTTCCTCAGAGCAAGGGATTTCAAGGTGGGAGACTCGCTGAGGATGCTTGAGAGGTGTCTGGAGTGGAGAGAGGAGTTTAAAGCAGAGAAATTGACGGAAGAGGATCTGGGTTTCAAGGATTTGGAAGGTCAAGTTGCTTACATGCGAGGTTACGACAAAGAAGGACATCCTGTGTGTTACAACGCGTACGGTGTTTTCAAAGAGAGAGAGATGTACGAGAGAGTGTTTGGTGACGAAGAGAAACTCAACAAGTTTCTGAGATGGAGAGTTCAGGTTTTGGAGAGAGGTGTTAAGATGCTTCATTTCAAACCTGGTGGTGTTAATTCCATTATCCAAGTCACGGATCTTAAGGACATGCCTAAGAGAGAGCTTAGAGTTGCTTCAAACCAGATTCTCTCTCTCTTTCAGGATAATTACCCTGAGATGGTTGCTACTAAGGTATTCCCTTTTTTTGGTACTTGATCTTTTTTATCTGATTTCATTTTTCTGTTTGTTTTGGAGACAAGAACTTGAATTTCGATATTATGTTTCTGTACTTGTTGTCTGAAAAACCCTCGAAACTGTTACGGTTTTTTCATGTGCTTTTGCTCTGTTTTGCGTGTTGTGTTGCTTGCGAATCTCGTTCAAGACATCTGAAATGTCTTAAATGCTTTGTATATGTCTCCCTAATGTGGAATCTGAATCTTGTTCAAGAGATCTGTTACTTAGTTTTTTTTCCTCTAAATCTTGGAAAATTGTTAGTTCAAATTTTCAAAATGTGTTGAAGAAATAAAAGATTGGTTTTAGATGTTTCTGTGTTGGCATTATTCTATGTCTTGTCAATTTTGATTCTATTTTTGTTTTACTTTCCGTAATTTTACTTCCTAGCCTTTGTCTTCTACTGCTACAGTTAAATTGAAGGATTCTTTGTGTGGCCGTACGCTGAAATTATAATCATCACTCTCCAATTCTCCAACACTATTTAAATATTTGACAAAGACATTGCATAATATCTAAAGAAAACAAACAATTTCTCGTATTGATTTCTGGGACAAACCTATATTTTAATATTTAGTACAATTCACAGAACATGTTTAATACTACTACTACTACTATTCAACAACTCTTCATGTTTTGATGAATCCAAATCTTTTCAGATATTCATCAACGTGCCTTGGTACTTCAGTGTCATCTACTCAATGTTCAGCCCTTTCTTAACTCATAGAACAAAGAGCAAGTTTGTAATGTCCAAAGAAGGAAATGCAGCTGAAACACTCTACAAGTAATTAAAAACCACATTCTATTTTCTTTTTGCTAATTTTTCACTTCTTGTTTTTAAATATGCAAATACTATTTGCTGCTGCTATTTCAGGTTCATTAGGCCGGAGGATATTCCGGTGCAATACGGCGGCCTTAGCCGTCCTACTGATTCACAAAACGGACCACCAAAACCCGCTTCTGAATTCTCCATTAAAGGTGGTGAGAAAGTTAACATTCAGATCGAAGGCATCGAGGTAATAATAATATTTGCCAAGTGAGTAAAATAAAAACATGATTTGATAAATTTCTGAAATGTGTTTGTTTTGATGATTAACATTACAGGGTGGAGCAACCATAACATGGGATATAGTAGTTGGAGGATGGGACTTAGAGTACACAGCAGAGTTTGTGCCAAACGCAGAAGAGAGTTATGCGATTGTGGTGGAGAAACCAAGAAAGATGAAAGCTTCAGATGAAGCTGTTTGCAACTCTTTCACGACAGGAGAAGCTGGGAAACTCATTCTCTCTGTTGACAACACTTTGTCTCGCAAGAAGAAAGTCGCTGCTTATCGTTACACTGTCCGGAAATCTACTGCAGTCGTCTAAGACTTGAAGATTGGTTTCTTATTACTACTACTACTACTACTCTTTTTGGTTGTGTTGAGGATTTTCTTTCTTGGGTTTTGGGTACTAGGGTTTGTTTGCTCAACGGTCGTGTTATAATTCTGATTTCGAAAAAGAAATGCGAGGTGATATGTATAAAAAGCAATGATTGTATGACATTTCATGTTTGGCTATATATTTAACAGTAGAATTAAAATTAGCAAATCTAAAATCATATATGCTTGTTTGATTATCATCAGAGACTTGAAGAAGACAGTACATTGTTGAGAATAATCAACAGTATATATATATAGTTTGTCTCTGTTGCACCCAAACTTGTAGACTAGTGCTTATGTTTGTAACATTGTGTCATTAACTTGAAGAATCAATCATCAATCATCAATCATCAATCATTGCATCATATATAGTTTGTCTCTGTTGCACCCAAACTTGAAGGAAGACCAGTGCCTATGTTTCCTGCATTTTATCATTGACTTGAGGACCCAATCATTGCATTGCATCACTACCTTCATTCTGCAGACAGCAGGAAGAGTTGGTACCGTGTTAAAGGCCTTGGTACCCCAATATTTATTACTTTTCTTACAATGGCAGAAATCAGAAACAAAAACGAAAAAGCTCAATAAAAATGCAACGGAAGGCCCAATAAAACAAAGTAACTAAAAGCTTAAGAAAAGCCCAACGTTCAGAAACAGGCCTATAACACTATTGTTGGAAAATACGCAGCAGTACTTAGACGACATCAATCACATATCAGGAACAACAAATTCGAGGAGATTATTTTATCATTTAGACCTAATTAAACTCGTTAAACTTCTCATCTTTTCTACGTAAGAAATCAGAGTAATAGATTCAAATCTTAAACAGTGATAGTATTTATAAAAAGAAAAATATGTAATGCTACATGAAGAAGACTTGGGCTTATAATTACAATGGTTTTATTCTATAACATGATTTCAAGTCTTTGGTTATGAGGTTTCCACGATCGAACATCTCAAAACACGACCTACTTTAACATAAGAAAATCAATTCCTGCTAGTTTTTTTATTCATTCCGTTTTTATCTTAGAAAAGCCTTAAAAGCATTGGTAGGGAATATAATTTCATTATTCCTCTTAAATTTTATTTCAATAAGCTTGTATTACTTGTGATCTTCATTATCGTTGGAAAAAAAGAGAACTTTTTTTAAAAAAAGTGAAAAAAATAGACCACATAGTCAAATGTAGACTATCGAAGAAAACGAATCGTCGGTTTCAAGAAATGGTAGCTACACACATTTTAAAATCAATTTTCCTACTCGGTTCTCTTTTAATAAAGAACATAAGTGTATAGCTGTGGGTTTGACCACTGGAAACCAATCTTTACTTCGTGATTTTTTCTTAGCTTTTTCAATCTGAGTTAATGATAACGCCATAACCGCATTTCAATTTTTAATATTGTAGTTGATCTCATACGTGTTACAGCCCAATACACCCTTGCATTCATTAAAATATATGGGTAAGATCGAACCTTAGCTTCGAAGAGCCAATCTCCCTCCATTTAAAACTTTGCGTAAAATAAAGTTTAAATTCCTTCTTATTGGTGAACCTCAATATTTCAATATAACACAACAGGAATAAATTCTGTGTTAGTCCAAGAGATTCGGATTCTATCCTTCCAATTATATTTACTAGTAATTACTTTATTAGTTTTTTCAGAGAATTGTTCCTAAAAAAGATTGCATCGGTCGCTTTTTCTGTTTTCTTTACAAAATGCAAATTAATTAGCAAAGTGTGCCTGTCGAGACTATTTTATGAATATGTAACTGATAGTTTTAATTACTATTTTCATAAATATACCGAAGCTATAACACATAGTATTATATACTATAAGGGTTTAAACCTAAAATTAATTAAGAAGAAAAAGAACATTTTAGCCATCTGACATTATATTGTTTTAAGGCTAAAAAAATGGTATAAGCCAATTTAGCTTCTTGTTTTTTTTAGTTTCTGTCGGCAGCCAATCTTTTATTCTGTCTATTTGGAAACTAAGTTTTTTTTTTCAACGTTACAGAAAGCCAGTTAATTTGAAACAGCTGTAATAAATTCATCATCTATCAGTTAAAAAATGGTCGGAATCTTCCATAATAATGCCATCGATCGAGATTGGTATGCAATAAAGCTTTACATTATTGCATGACCCGTTGACATATCCGATTAAAATCACTGTTTTATTGATTCACCAGCAATTCCAACAAACACACAAAAAGATTTACCAAATCCAGTTAATTAACAAATCAATTAGCAGAAAAAGACAACCACATGATTTATTTTTTTTATTATCACAAACCAACACAGTTTCTGGCAGTCGTAACACCACCGTCAACGACAAGGTTATGTCCGTTAACATACTTAGACTCATCACTCGCCAAATATAACGCCGCTTCAGCTATATCCGTTGCTCTCAATGTCTCTCCTTTCAGATTAGCCAAACTCCTCACAAACTCCTCCATCTCCTCCACCTCACCATCATCTTCCACGTCACATCCACTCGTCTTCCGCCACGCGTTCACCAGCATCGACGTGGCAACTCCAAACGGCGATATGCAATTAACCCTAATCCCATACTTGCCAAGCTCACAAGCTGCGTTCTTGGTCAACCCAACGATCGCATGTTTCGACGCCGTGTAAGCGTGTGGGCCCATTCCACCCATCACTCCGGCCACACTCGCCGTCGAGATTATGCAGCCTCTAAACCCTCTCTTGATCATCGCACGTGCCGCGTGTTTCATGCCGAGCCCTGCGCCTCGCACGTTCACACGCATCACTTGGTCGAACTCGTCCGCGTCGAAGTCTAATATGCTTTTGTGTTTCTTCTGGTCGCCGAGAACTCCTGCGTTGTTGAACAGAATGTCGAGCCGGCCGTACCGCGACACGGTTAGGTTCACGAGGTTTTCCACGTCAGCTTCCACCGAGACATCGCAGCTTATGAACGCCACACCGTTGGAAGTTAATTGGGACGAGAGCGATTTAGCCAGGGAAGAGCCAGCTGCGTTGTCCACGTCGGCGATCACAACCGTCGCGCCGTGTCTAGCGAAAAGCATTACGGTTGCTTTGCCGATCCCTTGTGCTCCTCCGGTAATGATGGCTACTTTTCCTTCCAACCTAAATTATACATGCATTATTAGTTTAAGTCAGCAGTGAAAATAAACCAACACTAATATAGTTCATTCTCATTGCTAATTAGTCTTGAGTTAGACGTTTAATAGGACTGACAAACAATGTAGTTAATTATGTGCTTATAGATTTGTACCTTTTGTGAATTAAAGTTGAACTGGTCTCCTCCATGATGGTGTCGTGGAGGGACTGAAAGGTCTGCTCAGGGATTATCTGGGCAGGCATGGCTGATTTTGAGTGAGATCGGTAGAGATAGAGAGAAACAGTGAGAGGGAGAATTCAAATGAATAGTAGTAGATACATACATCTACATCTATTTATAAGTGTGCGTGTGTGTGTACGAATGACTAGTTCCGAACCAGTGTGAAACATTCAATTATGCTCAAGTTTTGGAATCATTCTAAATAATACTTTAGTATGGACAAAAGCTAACAGATAGGAAAGACAACAAAAAGAATCTTTATTTATATTGGATGGATGGTTATAAATTATATGAACTAAATTGAGTTTAAGACTTAAGAGAGACTTAATAAACTTATTTGGGTCACCCGGATCTGTAGTTGTGATCTATTCTCTGTAGTCTGTATACAACAAAATTAATCACCACCATCTCAAAACTAAATCTAAATAATTTTTGAATGTATCATTGATGATTTAAAACATTATAAAAAATCTATAAGAAAATAGTAATTAGATATGAGATCTAGCTACTTGTATTTATTATGCTGGCAATGCAAAAATTATAATTATACAAGAGAGATCTTGTACTATTAACTATCGAAATCCTCATCACCCATCCATAAAGAGAGAGCTGTGGTACGTACTTAAATATTACCGTACTAACACAATAAATTAGCATTTTCTCTGATGCTCATAATTTTATGTCTTTCAAGAAAGTTCTAATTTCAAAATGCTCGATGTATCATTTAAAAAGACACTTGTAAAACTTGCAATGGCTGTTGTTGGGAGTTACTGATAATGACCTAGGAAAATGGACATCGTTTTTTTTTTTGGGAGGATCAAACGAATAACTAAACAGGTAAACTAAATCGAACATAAGTTTTTACAATTATATTGTTAGAGATGTGAGGTTCGAATGATCATAAGTTATTTTCTTTTTTTGGAAAACTTCTTAAATTTACATTTAAATAAACATATTCTTATTTTTACTACGTAGTTAATTAGTAGACTGATCATATATATATCAGATTTCTTGTTGTATTGAGCTGTTAATTTGATCGACCAATTGCGTCTCATACAATACATGAATGATGCGCCTGACGTACCATGAACCATTGGACCACTTTGCTATATATTTGTTAAAGTAAATGACTTCATTCATAAGGTACGTCTGACCTTAGTTTATATAAATCTCGGTACGCAAATCTTTTAAGATCGAATCATATTTATAGCCTATCAATAATTCTGGATTATATATAAATAGTGTTAATAACTTATTGTATCGCATAGAAAAAGAGAAAACACAGCTCAACCAAAGCCGATTTATATTATCATCTTCATCTCAATGCACCTAATCTATAAAACTTCAGGTTATTGTTTTATTTTTTTGGAATCCATAGATAATCGAATGTTAAATTCCCTATGGGATCAAACAAACAGAAGAACATTACTTTAAGATCCTTTTGGGTCTTTGAGAGTTATACTGAAGCCCGTTTGAGTCCATTTATTGCTTTAAGCCTTTGTACGCCTGATTTGCGTCATTCGCAGCTTAGGCCATTTACTATAAGAAAACAGTTTCACCGTTTCATTAATTTGTAACACACACCTGACCCAATCCTATCTATTACTCCATGTGTTTAAAAAAAAAAGGATTTTGTAGAAAAAAAATCTGTTTCAAAAATAAGCAATCCATTAACTAACAGAACAACATTATTTAAAAACTCTTTTGGACCTTTCAGCATATTAGAGCATCTACCTCGATTGGAAACTCAAATTAAATATCTAAATATTATAAAATTAATATTTTTTATTTTATTTATTTTTAGATTTAAATTATATTTCAAAAAGGAAAGTACACAAATAACTAAGTGACATGTCACAAGATTAAAAGACGTATCTTAAACTTTCTATATAACATACGTTGTTTGTTTCTCTCTCATAACAATCAATTTTTTAAAATAATTTAATGTCTAGAAACTCTTTTAAAATGGCTCGATGGAACTGGTCTTAGTTATACTGAATCCCGTTTGAGTCCAAGTGTTAAACCTCGTACGCCTAATTTGCGTATTCACAACTTAGGCCATCTGCTACGTCTCTTTTGCATATTTTGACATGGAGAAAGCTATCAATGTTTTTATAGCAGACTTAGGTGTTCATTGCCTTCACTATGTGTTGCCTCTTCGTTAGTTCTTAGACAATGTATATACATGGAATATCACTGAGAAGTGAAAGGATGTGCGAGCTGAAAGTTCATCATGACCTATCCTTGAACACTTGTGTTCTGCGTCTACTTATTTCTGAATCGTTTCACTGAATCTGATTTCTAACACACCATCTTTGACTTCTCAAGTTAAAAACTAAAGCTGATCTTTAGCTATAAAAAACAATAGCTGCTGTTTTTTAAAATGTGTTTCTGATTCAAAAACTGCATAGTGTCATCTATATTTTTTAGGTCTGTTTTTGTGTCAATTTTATCTTTTACACAGAAACTGTTTGTTGAAACTCAAATTATAGTATAAAAATACATTATTCCGAACTTCATGTTGCATAAACACAACATTATAGATTAAACCAATGTCTGACGATGTTCTGAGAAAAAAAACAGCTCAGACGCAAAAACAAACTATAACAGAGGATAATGTAAAATATTATACTTTGAAACAGTCTGACTATTAGAAAAACCATGAAAATCAAAATGATGTAAAAAAACATTGTTCTGAAGCAAAGAGTCTAACACATGCTGACTAAGTGTTCTGAAGCACCTCCTTGAACACAACATTCATGCTTCTTTCTTGGAGCTTTTCATCCTTATCTGTGAGAAGAATTTTCAAACCATCTCTCGACTTCACTTTGGAAATGGCAACAAACAGTGGTCGTCCATGTGCGAACACACGTCTAGGTTGAAACACACCAACTTTAGAAAGTGTTTGTCCTTCACTTTCCTTTATGGTCATCGCAAAAGCAACTGTCAGAGGAAACTGCTTGCGCCGCATTTTGACTGGAAGATTTGCTTCAGTCGGATATGTATATATCCTAGGGATTAAGACTTTCTCACCAGCCTTATCACCTGTCATAATTTTGGCTTCAAGAACAAAGTTACCCAGCCGAGTAATCTCAAGTCTTGTTCCCTTACATAACCCTTCACTAGGTAACATGTCCTGAAGTAACATAACCGGAACACCGACCTTTAATCTCAAACTATGGCTAGGTAGTCCAGCGACGTTGATGCTGTTTAAAATTTCTGTAGGGTACATCATGTAGTCACTTGGGTTTGAATCCGATGGAGAAATACTGTCTGCGCTGAGATAAACTTTTTCTTCACCTGATAGAGATCAAACGAAGTTGTAATTAGTATGTGCATAAAATAGCGATATATATGTGTGTAAAGAGAAAGCGATATGCATCATTACCTGATAATTGTGAAAGCATGTACTTATTAATTTGATCCACATCGTTACTTGTAGCGCACAAAATAGCACTATTTTGATGCAAATCAGGATTATATGACCGTGCAAAAGATTCTCCATAAACATGCTTCATTATAACTTCGCGAGGGTCGTTCGACTCAGTTATCAACAAATCTTCAAGAATCTCAACTTTAGTTTCTCCATCAGCAATGTCCATACTCCATTTAGAGAAAGTTTCATCTATGGTTGTGTGAATTCTTGCCCCCTGAAATTCAGTTAACAAATCATCTTTAATACATAGTAATTAAAATAGTAAACGTATTTCTTTTTCATTATCTATGTGTTAAACGTCGAAATACTAAAAACCAAACAGATGTTTAAGGAACTACAACATGCGTAATGAGTAAACGCTAAAACTCCTTACAGACCATGAGTCTGCCATAATCGATCTCTATGCACCAAACTGCAAATCTTTATAAATATACTATAAACATATACAATTTTGCACCAATGTTTTATTTCTCTAAATGTAACCGTGCACGAAATTCTGTAGGTCAGGGCTGGCCCAGAGGGTAGGCGGGTTAAGCCAACGCTTAGGACCACCAATATTTTTGAAAAAATTAGGCTAAAAAATAGGCCTAAAATAAAGTTTACATCTTCTTATTTTATAGCTTTGTGCCACTATTTTAATTGGATCGGGCCTGAGGATATTTAGCCAGAAACTCAAATACTTACAATAAGTAAGAAGTCGAGATTATTGCATCTACATCACCAGATCAGCATCCAGATGATTCAACTAAACATGAGTCATGAATAAGCGATTTCTATTTATCAAAGTATAAATCATTCTGATATATACATAAATTACGAAAGACCCGTTTTACATGTTTGTAAACATTCTGTAACAAAATCAACTTAAGAAGTATATGCATATATTGATCCCAAAAAAAAAAGCATATATAAATATGTATATAACTCAAATCAAGCCATACCGATGAATCAAGTAAGACCATCTCGATGGAGTTGCCTGATTCTTTCTTTCCCTTCCACATTCCAAGTATCTGCACTTTGATCTTCCACGGCTTGATGTCATCGAGAGGAGAAGAAGAGGAGGAGTTGGGTTTGCGAATTAGGGCCATTATTGTAGCGGTTTGTGAATTTGGTTAAAACGAAAGTTGTGGAGCTTTATATATATCAGAGATTCAGAATCACGATGTACACGTAACATTAATTGGAATAATATCGGTTACATTAATACGTTACTACTAATCTAAAAAGTCCTTAACCGACTAAAACCAAGTCGTTCAAACTTCCAATCTATACCAAGTCGTTCCAAACTTCCGGTTATAATAAACTCGACCTTTTGGTTGCCTGAGAAGGTTCACTTTTAAGATTAGGCTATCAAAAATTCAAAATACGAAATTTATTGTTTAATCTTTTGTTTTTATGTGAATTTATTGACCACAAGTCCGTTTAACCTCTAAGGATTGTAAGAGAAACAAGTTAGAATTTGAAGAATTGTGTGCTTCTCCCGTCTTTTTTAACACAGCTCAACCAAAGTGATTCATATGTATCATCTCCTAAGTCCTAACCTATAAAAGTTCAGCTTATTGTTTTGTCCTTTTGGGCCTTTCAGCATATTGGTTATACTGAAGCTCCTTTAAGTCCAATTATTGCTTTAAGCCTTGTACGCATGAATTGCGTTATTCGCAACTTAGACCATCTGCTACGTCTCTTTTGTAGAAATTGTTGAAAGGCTTGGGATGACATTCGGCTCAAACTCAATTTATACTGAATTAATTATGCAAGGGTGATTTTTAGTTTATTTAAAATTTCGAGATAATAGTGGAAATGCATCTTTCTCTTCTAAAGTTAAAAAAACTAGAGCTGATCTTTAGCTACTTAAACAATAGCTGATATTTTATATGGTTGTTGGCCCTAACTATATAAGTTATAGACAAAAAATCATAGAAAACTTTAGTATGAGTTTGGAATATACATTGATAAAATGTTAGGGCCAACAACGAAAAGCTAAACTTAACTGAAACTAACGAAAATGTATATTCCAATGTTATTGATCGTCTTTCGTTCCCTCTTTTATTTATATGTTCAAAAATAGTTCGTGACTAATCCAATTTCTAGATTTGTCTCCAATTCCTCTGCTCGTAAGCGTCAATTTCGGATATCAATTTTAGAATTTTCTTATAATGTTACTTTGGTAGAGCTCTAGTTCAAGATTCTGTTTGTAAGTGTCACTTCCTCTCTTTTTTATTTTCTGCTCAAGAACAGATGATGATTAATATAATTTATTCAGTTCATATTGTCTTCAACTTTTTCGTTCGTAAACGTCAATTTTGTGTAATGATTTCTGGATTTTTTATGGCATCAATTTTGTAGAGCTTCGATTCTAGATTTCTTCGTAAATGTCATTTTTTTCTCTATTTAAAGAACAGTTTATAAGTAATCTAATTTCTGAATTTTTATAGTTTCATAATGCCTCCATTTTTTACTCGTAAACGTTATTTTTATATAGTGATTTCTATATTTTTTTATAGCATTAATTTCGTAAAGCTCCAATTCTAGATCCTACTCGTAAACGTTACTCACTCTCTTTTCCTTTTTTACTCAAAAAACAGTTTGTGACTAGTTTGATTTCTGGATTTCCTCAGTTTTATATTGTTTCTGATTCCTCTACTTGTAAGCATCAATTTATGGATTTTCTCATAGCTTCACCGACTATTATATCACAAGCTCGAGTTTGAGAGGTTAGCAGTAGCACCCATTTATGTATGACACATCAACGTACAAAAATTAAATAGATACTTCCCCAATCTATACACGATACTCCTTCTATATAATGTAACCGGGAAGACCGTATTTGATTTAGTGGATGATTTGAGTCGGATTTTTATTCCAAACCAGACCTTTTGGTTGCTTAAGAGGGTTCACTATATTAAGACTACAACAGCATCAAAAATTCAAATACACGAAATTTATGTGTGTGAAAGTATAAAAACGACATGTAGAAGTTCTTCTGATATTTACATTAAATAAAATACTACAAAATTAAATTTAAGCCTTCTGGATTACCATTGTGTTCTGAATTCAACATACTCATTTTTTATATTCACTGTAAGTTTGTAACTCGAGAAGGTTCTATCTACTTCATTTTTCTTCATGATTTCAACTCTAGGGCTGGTAACAGAACAAGTTATAGAATTTGAGGAATTGTTTTCGCCATTTCAAGCGTAAAAATGTGTAATACTAATAAATTAAAAGTACTAAAAACCAACCTTTTTTATATAAAAAAATGGGTCGCATTGCGTTTGTACCTTTGTGGACATTTCATGGGCCGAAATTTATAAGCCCAAAACCAGAAAGAAGGATTTAGAGTAATTTGGAGGCCAGGGTGTTTATACGCATCGCTGACATCAGCACTTTGAGCCATGACTTGGCGTTTTGCACGTAACAGACAAAGACAGGGATCACCACTTCTCGTGGTCTCCATACAATGACTAAATTATTATTTATTAATTAATCAAATCTCACCTAATTCCCAACATGTATACCTGCTTTACTTTACTTCCCCACTCCCAAGTCTCTACATATAATTTTAGTCAAGAACTGTTACTGTTAGAACATCGTTTTCTTTATCCTGTAACGTAATTTTATTTAGAGCTACAAAAGATGTTTTGATACCACTTTAGGTTTCATGAGCTTTTAGCTCAAAACCATATTAGCTTTGATTAAAGAAACACATTTCCATTGTAGACTACCTCCACTTCTTATCATGTCAAACATTACAACAAAGCTATCAAAACACTCTTTAAATGTTCAATTTTTCATTTCTGATAAAAGGACAAGATTTTTCCTGAGACTAAAACCACTGACTAAAACTTTTACTAAAGTTCAAACAGATATCACCTTATATCCTGCTATTGGTCTCTATTATTTATTTATAACATGACGTTATTAGTTTTTTATAAAACACCTCACCAATATCTCATGATTTTATGTTTAAAAAATTAATTTTTCTATGCGTGCATTAATAATTTTCTCTATTTGATGCAATATCTTTTTCTAAGTGATGTAGAAAAAAACTTTAATTCCCTTTAAGTAACTACACAAATAAGTGGAAAATTTGAAAGAACCTCTCTGATTTTTTTTATATAATATAAATACTAAAACTAGGAAAAGATTTGGATAAAAAAAAGACTCCACAAACAACAAAACAAATGCAAAATGAAAGCAAAAACTTCTTCTTTTCAAAAGTGTAGAGAAAAAAACACACTCATACCTAACTTTGCTTCTTTTCTTTATTCTTATCATCTTTCCTTTTTCCCCGAAAATTCCCGAATATCAACAACAAAAGAAACACTTCATGATATTATGATGAAGATCTATACATTCAGTTTCTTAGTCTGCTTGTTTTTTAAACTCCAAGGTCACTGCAAATCAGATGTCAACCTTGGTTTTACTCTGACACTCTCTTCTCCTGTAGAATACACTCCCGGATTTATGGGCAAAGCTTATATAATTGAGACAGCATCATCATCAACAACAAGAGAACCCGTTTTCAAAGCCGCGTTAACGATGGAATCAAGCGATGATAATGCAAGATATTTGTGTTCTCTCCAAGTTTTCTTTGGAGATGTAAGAGTTTGGAACTCAGGGCACTACTCAAAGATGTATGTTTCTAACAAATGCATCATCGAGCTCACGAAAGATGGAGACCTGAGGCTAAAGAGTAACAATAAACACGTTGGATGGCGAAGTGGAACCTCAGGACAAGGCGTAGAGGTATACATACAAAACATCACCTCATTAGTCATTACACAACATTAGATTGGTTGGAAAAGAAAAATCATTGTAATAAAAAGAAGAATGTAATTGTGTTTTGGGAATCAAAAATTTGCAGAGGCTGGAGATAGAGAGCACAGGGAATCTAGTGTTGCTTGATGCTATGAGATTGATCAAATGGCAAAGTTTCAACTTCCCAACAGATGTGATGTTGAGTGGTCAGAGACTAGACGTGGCTACGCAGCTAACTTCATTCCCAAAAGACTCGACTTTGTTCTACTCGTTCGAAGTTTTGCGCGACAAGATTGCTCTTTTCCTCAACTTGAACAAGCTCAAGAAGTACTCTTATTGGGAGTACAAGCCTAAAGAGAACAGAACGGTCAACTTCGTGAGATTAGGGTCAAAGGGTCTTGACGTATTCGACGATAACAGCCACAGAATAGGGAGGATAGAGCAACCTTTGATCAGATTCTTGGCGATTGGGAACAAAACCGGAAATTTAGGGCTTTATTCTTATAAACCGGAAAAGGGAAAGTTCGAGGCATCTTTTCAAGCGGTGAGCAAGACTTGTGATCTTCCTGTTGCATGTAAACCATATGGAATCTGCACGTTCTCCGAGTCTTGTTCTTGCATTAAGATTGCGAGCGATGGAGATTGCAACAGCAACGAGGAAGAAGAAGGGCTTTCGATGAAGAGGTTATGCGATCACGAGATGGTTGAGCTAGAAGGAGTCACTACAGTGCTAAGAAACGGTACAGAAGCGAGAAACGTGAGCAGAGAAAGATGTCAAGAGCTGTGTAAGAAAGATTGTGAGTGTAGAGCTGCGAGTTACACTGTCTCTGGTGGGCGTTGTGTCATGTATGGGGTTGTGATGGGTGTTAAGGAGATTGAGAGAGTGAGTGGAATGAGTTATATGGTGAAGATTCCAAAAGGAGTGAGACTGAGTGATGAGAAACCGAATGTGAGAAAATGGGTTGTGGGATTAGTTGGAGGGATTGATGCTTTTGTCATTTTGCTGCTTCTTTCTGGATTTGGCTTTTATTACATCCGGAAGCGACGTAAAAGCTCGTCGCCGCCGCAACAACAGCCCAATACAGCAGATTAGATTTCAGAATTTTGTTGCACATGTACACATCGATACCATTTTTTTATAATGTATTTGATCTATTTATCAAATTGTAGAAAAATTGTGGGTGTTTTACAGTTTATATTTCAATATATGGGAGATAGTTTAGGGAAAGATTGTTCTGTAGCAATTTTGAGGTTTATTAATTTGACTACTAAACTTAGCTTAGCTTGTAGTAAAGTTCATTTTACATGAAAACCTTTAAAATATTGATTCGTTGAAGCCATATCCAACAAATGATTGTTTTACCTTTATTTATGAGTTTGATATAACATCTTTTTCTTTTCATCTTTTTTTTCTTTTAACGTCCAACGGTTAGATGTAAAACTTGTAAATTGTAATAACATTTTAAAACTGAAAGATTCATTATGTGGGCCCACATTATGACCGTTAGATATCCCCACCACACTCTCCACCATTGACGCAGCGAGCTCCGGCACAACTTCCTTTAATCCAACGGTCCAAATATTCTTTTACTCGTTTTTTCATATTTTTTTTTAATTCACTTCTTTCTCGAGCAAAAATTCTAGTCAAATTGATATTATTAGTATTAGCATTAGGGCCAGAAGCTAGAGGAAACTAATGATTACTAGCAATATTAAGATTGATTTCTTTGATTAAAAAAACTGATTGTTTCTTTTCTGATTCTATAAGATCCAAAGAGACTCAATAAAAACTCACTTTGATAGGACTATAATCTAATTAATCAAATAACATCAATCACAAAATATTAACATAGAGACAAAAGCAGGAACTGAGAAGAAAACGGATACTTGTAGCTTTTTCAACTTTAATTTATCCTCTTATTTACATACAAAATGCCGTTGAGATTATATAATATAAAGTCTTGAATCACATTCACACCAGTATCGAAGAAAACAACAGTGTGATCATTCTCTTCACTCTCTCTCTCTCTCACTATTTCTTCTTCCCAAGTTCTTTTGTCTTCTTCTTTCGATGGCCGAAACCCTAGAACCCTCCCTCGTCGGGGAAATCGATACTTCGGCGCCATTCGAGTCAGTGAGAGAGGCCGCCACTCGGTTTGGCGGATTCGGTTTCTGGAAACCTTCTTCCATTAACATCCTCGAAGCTTCTTATCAGGTCTCATCTCTCGCTCTCTCCTTCAGATCGTCTCTGTCTTTTTCACTGCTTTTGCTTGCCTGTCTGAATTTTTGGTTTTAGGTTTCAAAATTAGAATTGGATTGTCACAGATTAATTATTAGAAAATTTCTTCACTTGGAATCATCAATTTCTAGAAAAAATCTTGCCTTTAGTTGTTTCTTGTGATGCGAAAATTTCGAATTTTGGTTGCAGAACGATGTGGATGAAGCTAATATGGTGGCGAAAGCGAGTGATTTAGAGAAGGAACTGATTGCGAAAGAAGGAGAAACTTTAAAGGTGTTGAAATCGCTCGAGTCGACCAAAGCCATCGTCGAAGAGCTTAAATCAAAGCTACAGCGAAATGAAGAGAAAGAGAACTGCGACATGAATGTTCTGCAAGAACTGAACCAAGCAAAGACGAATCTTTGCAAGACAACCGAAGATCTGGCTGCTATACGCGAGTCCGTTGAGCTACTGAACAAGAGACTGGAAGAGGAACGAGCTGCACTCGACAAGACGCGAGAGAGGCTAAACTCTGAGAATGCAGCAGAGATCTCCAAGGAGATTCAGAGATTAAGCTACGAGGCTAAGGAGTTCAGTAAAACAGGAGAGGATGCGCGTTTTGCGGTTGAGAAAGCTGTGGCTGAGATCGAACAAACGAGGAACAAGATCAAAGCTGCTGAGATGCGTTTGGTCGCTGCTAGGAAGATGAAGGAAGCTGCTAGAGCCGCTGAAGCAGTTGCAATCGCTGAAATCAAAGCTGTTACTGGGAGAAGAAGAAGAAGAAGAGGAAATGGTCAAGAGACGTTGCAGGAGGAGATTCTGGAGAAGATAGAAGAAACGGCGCAAGAAATCAGAAGCAGCAAGAGGACGCTGGAGGAAGGTCTGGAGAGAGTGAATTCTGTGAAAACGGAGGAAGCAGAAGAGACCCTGCAGGGGAAATGGCAGTGGTCCGAACATAGGAGGAGATCATCATCACACATGGGCAAGTACAAGAACAGGAGAGAGACGCTTCTGATGGATGTAAACGGTCTGAATCTGATGATGAATGGCGACGGGACATCATCCTCAGTTGCTGTCTTGAAACCAACGATGTCGATAGGGCAAATACTCAGCAGGAAACTGCTCCTCGCGGATGAGTCAGCGATGATGATGAACGGGAGAGTGTCGTTGGGTCAGATTCTTGGGAAGACTAATAACATTAAAGAAAAAGAGAAGAAGGTGAATGGGAAGAGGAAGAGGTTCGGATTGGCCAAGTTATCTGTGATGTTGAACAAAGAGAGCAAGAATAAGAAGAAGAAGATAGCTTTGAACTTACAGTGATGTGTGTGCACTGATTGAAAATGGTCAATCTTTAGCTTAGGAGTTGTTAGGTGTTTTGTGTGTGTGTCTTATCAGAAATTGGGTTTCTGTTTGTTTTCTATATATGTTATTGGTTTATGCTAAATAGTAAAATGTGGTGTGATTTGGAACTCTTCCTGCTTTTGTTTCTGATCTGACTACATCAAGAAAAATCACAATTTGGTGAAGAAAAACAAAATCAGTCTTGACGCTTCTTGTTGATTGATCTCACAAATGGATATCATTTTGGCAGAAGAGTTTAAAACGTGAAAGAAATAGTTGCGTTTGCGGCATATTCTCGAATATAATAGCCACAAGGTGATGCTGACGTGGACGGATAATTGCTTGTGGTTTCAGAATACTTCTCATTTGACCTTTTAACATTCATACGCAATCGACCAATTCGACGGATCTGGTAGTGATTTATACCATCTTCGTCTTCTTTGTTTCTTCTTCTTCGAATCATTTGCTCGATTTTTCTGAAACAGAGGTAAAAGCTTTCTCTTAAAAATATATTCTTCTTACCTTCTTGACCCCGATCGGGCGCAGAGAATCTTAGGTGTTCGTAAATGAAGAGTCGTTGAATTGAACCAAAAGCAAAAGTCTTTAGTTGAAACTTGTAACCTTGTGATATTGTGTTCTTTACCAGGAATCGATGGGACCCAAAACTGGAGCGTTGGTTATTTTCTTGCTGGGTTTGACCTTGCTTTGTGACGCTAGATCTTTCTTTCACTCCACCCTCTCAGGTACGAATCTCTTACCTGATAGATTATTTACAAGTTTTTCACTTTAGAGTCCAATTTTAATGAAATAGTTAGCTTCTATGGCTGGAGATGGCGAGATGGTTGAATATTTCAGTTTCACCACCTAAAAGAATGTCTCAGATATAGTCTAATTCAAAGCTTCTTCATGGCTTAATATTTCAAGACTTTTTTTCAACTTTTCTTTTTCTGTTTGCGCAGAGGAAGTTTCCAGGAAGGAAGACGTTTGCACTCTGTGTGAGGAATATGTCACCGACGCTCTCACCTACCTTGAGAAGAATGAAACACAGGCCCAGATAATGGAGGATCTTCATGATCGGTGTTCCCAGATGCGCGGGTTTTCGAAGCAGGTTGATGAACTTTTGCATTTGTCTATATTTTTTTTGCCTAAAACTGTCTCTGTTTTAATAACAAATGTGTTGAATTGAATGATGATATGTTTTTTTTTTTATGTAGTGCATAACTTTGGTTGACTACTATCTCCCTCTCTTCTTCTTAGAAGTGGAGTCGTTTCAACCTCATTATTTCTGCAAGAGGATGAATCTTTGTGGCAGAGTGGTAGCTCTTGTAGAAGAAGCCCGTCAAGACACTTGCGGTGTGTGCCACAAGACTGTTTTAGAGATTCTCATCAAACTTCAAGATCCCGACACACAGGTTAGTAGCTTGTATTAGCTACAAGAATGAAGATGATGTCAATGTTTATGCATTCTTCTGTGTCATAGAGCTCTGAATTAGTCATAATCTGAAACCATATTCATAAGAGCACCCACAGTCAAAGTCCAAGCTGCTACGCCTTCGTGTAGTCTTGCTTGCTGTGTTATCATTCTCAAAGATTACTCTTTCACAGTTTTAACGCCTTAGGCGTTTCATAAACTGACTTTGCTTCCTTTGGTTATCCAGCTGGATATAGTTGAGCTGCTTCTCAAGAGTTGCAAATCGCTCAAGAACTATGAGAAGAAGGTTAGAGTAATCAAGTTCCAATATTTTATAACTCCAAGTCCATGTCTAAACGTGTTTCTTTCTGATTTTGCGGTTGGCGTTCTTCTCGCACTTGTGCAACGCGACTGCATGATCATAAGTCGTCATCATAGGCTTTTTCTCATTTGACCATGTTGTGTCTTATGTTATTACAGTGCAAGAAGTTGGTGTTCGAGTATGGACCTCTGATCCTCGTGAATGCAGAGGAGTACCTAGTGGAAAACGACATCTGCGCGCTCTTACGCGCATGTCCGGCCGAGAAAACGGTTCTAAGCCAGCCCGGTTCGGCGGATTCTTGAACGTTTAAAACGGAGTAGGAACACGAGCTTGCTGTGTATTGTCCATAAGAATTGTTGCAGACTTTGTGAACCGTCTGTATGTATGGATTTAGACACACATACATATACTCCGTAAACGTTTCTTTGCGTTTGTGTAAATAATGATCGCTACAATTTGTACCTCTACCATAAATTGATTGTATTACATCTTTTATCCGTTTTCAGATTTGTTACATGTATAAGAATAATTTTCTATGTTTTTTCTTCTTCTCATCGGTGATTTCATTTTTTGGCAAAGTAATAGTATCCTTTAATAAGGAAGTTGTATTTAGGACTAAGAAGGCTTCCCTTTTAGTCTTCGAGAGGATTTTGTCTATAGACACGTTTATATATGTTTCAAGAATCAATACACCGAAACAATTCACAGTATTGGTTTTCTTCAATTGTATCAGATCTTTTTTTTTCTTTGCATACATGCTTGAACGAAGTATTACTAGTGTGTGTGCGCACGATTGGTACTAGGACTGACGTGGCAAAAAAAAGTGTCATAGGATATAAATCTTTTTTCTTTTGTCTGAACGAACATAGAATCGAATCTTTTTTTAACAAAAGAAACAAAAAATAGAATAGAACTAGGCTGGATTGGAATACGTAGTTTATATTTGGGCTCTGTACAATCCAACGACTCTCAAGACATTATAATACATCATTAAACGGTCGAAATGACTTTATAGCCGTTGGTCATGTTTTTCTCGCTTGCCGTTTTTTTGGCGCAGGCCAAGAAGTAAAACTAGCCGTTGCATTAAACATAAACTAAACTTTTGTCTTTGTCTTCTTCCTCCGTCACTTGAACCATAATTACTCTTGGCTACAACCCTCACTCACTTACATTTTCCTGTCCTATCTCACTAAAAATCAAACTTCTCTCTCTCTCTACCTCTCTCTCTTTGTTATCCTCCAAAAAACAGAGGAAGAAGAACACAACAAGAACTGAAACTCCTGCTCTTCCTCATCTTTCTTCTTCTTCGTTTTTTTTTTCAACTTTTTTTTTTATTCTTTTGAAATGAATCAGCTATACACAAGCCCATTTCGGATTTTAAAATTTAGTTTCATTTTCTGCACGAGTCTCCTCTTGTGTCTCTCACTCTTGTCAGCTCAAGCTGTTGCAGGTGGTGGTGGTGGTGGTGGTGGTCACTCTTGGGACGGAATCGTGGTGACTCAGGCGAACTATCAGGCACTCCAAGCAATCAAACACGAACTCATCGACTTCACCGGAGTTCTCAAAAGCTGGAACAACTCTGCCACCACCGCTGTTTGCTCTGGCGGCTGGGCTGGAATCAGATGCCTCCGAGGCCAAGTGGTCGCCATTCAGCTCCCTTGGAAGGGACTCGGCGGCACTATCTCCGAGAAGATCGGACAGCTTCAGAGTCTCAGAAAGCTTAGCCTCCACGACAACTTCATCGCCGGCTCGATTCCCCGTTCCCTTGGCTACCTCCGGAGCCTCCGTGGAGTCCATCTCTTCAACAACCGTCTCTCCGGTTCGATCCCAGCCTCACTCGGCAACTGCCCTCTTCTCCAGAATCTGGATCTTAGCAATAACCAGCTATCTGGAATCATCCCGGCTAGTCTTGCTGAGTCCACCAGGCTCTATAGGCTCAATCTCAGCTTCAATTTACTTTCCGGTCCCCTTCCGGTTAGTGTAACCAGATCATATACCCTCACTTTTCTTGACCTTCAGCATAACAACCTCTCTGGTTCGATACCCGACTTTTTGGCCAATGGCTCTCACCCTCTCAAAAAGCTGAATCTTGACCACAATCTCTTCTCCGGAGCTGCTCCCTTGTCTCTCTGCAAGCAGATTTTGCTGGAAGAGGTCTCTTTAAGCCATAACCAGCTCTCTGGTTCCATTCCCAAGGAATTTGGAGCTCTTCCACACCTCCAGAGCCTCGATTTTTCTTACAATTCAATTAACGGAACCATCCCCGACAGTTTCTCAAACCTTACATCCCTGGTTTCACTTAACCTCGAAAGCAACCACCTCAAAGGCCGAATCCCAGATTCCATCGATAGACTTCACAACCTGACGGTGCTTAACCTCAAGAGAAACAAGATCAATGGTCCTATCCCAGAGAGAATAGGGAACATATCTGGAATCACACAGCTTGATCTCTCTGAAAACAACTTCACAGGTCTGTTACCGTCCTCTCTAGCCAACCTGGCGAATCTTTCTTCATTCAACGTCTCTTTCAACACGCTATCTGGTCCTGTTCCGGCTATTCTCTCCAGAAAGTTCAACTCAAGCTCTTTCGTGGGCAACATTCAGCTCTGTGGCTACAGTTCCTCCACTCCCTGTCCTTCACCTAATCCTCACCATCCTCTCACCCTTTCACCAACCTCATCACAAGAACCAAGAAAACACCACAGAAAACTCTCCTTGAAGGATATAATTCTAATCGCCATCGGTGCTCTTCTAGCCATCCTGCTTCTGTTGTGCTGCATCCTATTCTGCTGCCTGATCAAGAAACGTGCCGCCTTGAAACAAAATGATGGCAAGGGAAAGATCTCTGAGAAGTCAGCATCTGCAGCTGCAGCAGCAGCGACAGCAACAGGAGGTGAGATGGGAGGAAAGCTGGTCCATTTCGATGGTCCGTTTGTGTTCACTGCCGATGATCTGCTCTGCGCCACCGCTGAGATCATGGGGAAAAGTACTTATGGCACAGCATACAAGGCGACATTGGAGGACGGAAACGAGGTCGCCGTGAAGAGGCTGAGGGAGAAAACAACCAAAGGGGTCAAAGAGTTCGAAGGAGAGGTCACGGCTTTAGGCAAGATTCGACACCAGAATCTTCTTGCACTGAGAGCTTACTACTTAGGACCCAAAGGAGAGAAGCTCCTCGTCTTTGATTACATGTCTAAGGGTAGCCTCTCTGCGTTTCTTCACGGTAAGCATAAACAAAAACCCTAATTTTGGATTTTGATTGGTTTGGACACTTTACTGATTTTGAATTTGGGGAATTGAAATCAACAGCTCGAGGACCAGAAACCCTAATTCCATGGGAAACAAGGATGAAGATAGCGAAAGGAATCGGTCGTGGTTTGGCTCACCTTCACAGCAACGAGAACATGATCCATGAGAATCTCACGGCCAGCAATATTCTCCTCGACGAGCAGACCAACGCCCACATCGCCGATTACGGCCTCTCCAGGCTCATGACAGCCGCCGCCGCCACAAACGTGATCGCAACCGCCGGAACGCTGGGATACAGAGCGCCGGAGTTCTCAAAGATCAAGAACGCAAGCACAAAGACGGACGTTTACAGCTTAGGGATCATCATACTGGAGCTCTTGACGGGGAAATCTCCAGGGGAGCCGACGAGCGGGATGGATTTGCCGCAGTGGGTGGCGTCGATCGTGAAGGAAGAGTGGACCAATGAAGTGTTTGATTTGGAGCTGATGAGGGAGACGCAAACCGTTGGAGACGAGCTTCTGAATACTCTGAAATTGGCGTTACATTGTGTTGATCCGTCGCCAGCGGCGAGGCCGGAAGCAATTCAGGTGGTGAATCAGCTGGAGGAGATCAGGCCGGAGCTTGAGTCCGAGATGGAAACGACGCCGATTGGATCCGGCGGTGATGGAGCTAAAGATCCATCACAATCAAATGAGGAGAATTGAAGGAAAACTTTTCAGGGAGAATAAAGAAGAAAGCATCATCATCATAATATATACACTTATAAACACATTTATATTTCATTATTCTTTGATTCAAGTAATTTGTAGATACACAATGGTTTGAAGTTTGTGTTATTTAATGTAATTCGATTATCCATTCTTTTTGGTCTTCAGTAATACAATAATTGATTTTTTTTAGTTAACTTTTAAGTACTTTGCAAGATGGTGAAAGAGATAAAGAAAAAGATAGTTCACACAAAACAAAAAGATCTCTCAAAAGTCTCCATGAAATAATTATTTAAATTTTGCATCTCAGGTATCAGCAAATCTTGTTCTAATAATCCGAAACACCAAGAAATTTGGATTACTGACAAAAAGTTTGTTAATTGGAATTAAAATAAGACGGCCATTGAGGCTCGGGCATGACAGCTTCATCGTCATCTGACACATCAGTGTCATCTCGGATCTCGTCATCTATTTCAGGTGGTCGTGAAGCAAGTTTTCCAGAACGGAACATTTCCCAAATGTCACTGTATAATTCGGGTTGCTGCTCTCGAAACGCTAGACGGATGAGAATGTTCTGTAGATCGGTATGTTCCGCTGCAATATATCAAATAAAGTATTAGCAAGAAAATCGCTAAAAAATACATTCAAACTTATTTTATAAAAGTAAATTTAGTGTAGTGTATATAGGTATTATTATTTAAAAACTTAATATCTCGATTCAATCCAAATTTTTAGAGCTTCCAACCCAAAATTAATTGGTAATAAGTTAATTGACCTAAATCTTTTTATATATTAGTCAATATTTTTTTCAATAACATATCTTACGCACACTTTCTAGATATTAAATCTTTGTGGCCTATTAAAGTATTAAAAGAGTTTTTAAATATTAAAGTATTTCAAAAAATTGATTAGTAAGATAGAGAAAAAAGCAACTTAGGTTATAGATGATGAGTTTTTAGATACGTTTCTTAACCTTTTTAAGACATTTGTCTTGTTTACTTTTTTTAGGATATAATTTAAAACTAAAAATAAATGAAATAAAAAATAACAATTTTATAATATTTAGATACTCAGTTTGAGTCTCTAAACGATGGAGATGCCCTTAACCTTTACTTACTCAGTTTGAGTCTCTAATCGATGGAGATGTCCTTAACTTTTACTTATCCTAATACCTCCTCTTGAGATAATGGTTCTTCTAACCATTAATCTTGCCATGACCATTAATTTTGGGTCGAGGGATAAAGGCCACTTATGGGCTGGACAATGAGAGTGTGTGGATCGGGTTCTGATACTATGTTAAGTTTTATGAGCATCCAACCCAAAACTAATTGGCAATGAGTGGATTGGCTCAAGTTCCTTATATATTAGTCAAGATTCCTCCAAATTTCGATGTGGGACATATCTTACACACTCTCTAAAGATTAAGACTTTGTGGCCTATTAACCTCTACTTATCCCAATATTTCTAAACTTTTTTAAGAATTCGGTATACTACAATGATAACATTTATTTGAAAGTAATAAGTCTATTTGTATATCCTATTTGGTTATATACAAATATAGTATATAAACTATGGGTTTTGACATCAACCAAATGGGTCTCGAATTTCTTCAATTCACTTTCAAATTAGATTGACTATAGTTTGTAAAGCTAGTTTATAAATACGAAGATTAGTCAAATCTCTCATAAAATTTTCTAGAATTCCACTTTAGTTTTTTGAAAAATTTCTTTATTTTTTTTTATTCCGTAATTGTAACATTGGAATAGACATTTTTGCTAAAAGAGATAGAACTTATTTTTTTCGATGTAATTCTGATAATTTTAGATTGGTTAGTTCATAAAATTCACATATTTAAATCTGAATGAGATTATATGAAATTGGTTTTCCGCTGTAAAAAAGAATAAATATGTGTTTTATCGATAAAAATACAATTTATCGAATTTTGTTTTAGAATAAAAATAGTGAAACCACAAAGTATAAGAACCATCAACAATCATGTATTATAGTAGTGATGATTCGATAATCGGGTAATAAATTTAAAGTGACACATGGGCAAATATATAGTGAATTTTCTTTAAAATTATTCGATAATCAGGAGATTGATGTTGAACAGAAAGCTATCAACACTATAAATGATCTTGAACAATAAATCGATTAGGATATTTAGTAAATTATAGTTCATACTTTGTTTTAGACAGATGGAATATTAAAACCATATATGATCAGCATAAACTAGATGAATGTGGCTCGACATTATGAATCATAGTCATATTCAAGGCATGCTACTCAAATGAGGCTCCAGGTTATGAAATATGCTTATTATAAAATTTGGAATAGGTGAAAGGAACCACCTCTTCCTCAGTTCCTTGATTGAGTTTTGGCTTGCTCTCACGACAAGCCTTCACATATATCCTTTTCGGACAATTTGAGATTATATTCCTATATTAGAATATTGATGATGATGATTCTCTCAATCTCCGAAAAGATGTTGATGTTTCTCTCGATCTCCGAAAAGATCACTAAGTGGGAAATATTCATAGAATGACAAATTTGTCAACATAAATATGTGAAGCAAAATTTCAGCCAAAAATTCAAGTACTCCAAATGAATAAATTGAATAGTTTGGGAGTAGTTAGCTCAAAAAGTCCACCTATTTAAACGTAAATGAGTTTATATGAAATTAGTTTTTAAAAAGAATAAATATGGATTTTATATTTATCACCATACCGAGAATGTCGATAAAGATACAATTTATCAAATTTTATTTTAGAATAAAGATAGTGAAACCAATAAAGTATCAAAACTATCGACAATCATGTATTACACCGGTAATGATTCGATGATTGGGTGATATATTTAAAGTGACACATCGGTCGAATATAATGAATTTCCTAAAAAGAAAACCTTAATTGTATATGTGTTACCATATATGAGTTTTGTATGCCATTAGAATAGAAAGTGGCATCGTCGAAAATTACGAAGAGTATGAGAGACTGATGTTGAACAGGAAGGTATCAACACTATAAATGATCTTAAACAATAAATCGATTAAGATATTTAGTGAATTTATAGTTCATACTTTGTTTGTTTTAGATATATAGAATATTAACATCATATATCAACATCAACTGCATGAATATGTAGAGCCGGTTTTGAGCCCAAATAGACCAAGCATGAGTTTGCGGCCTTTATATTTACATAAAAAATTATAAAGAAAATAACTCATTTAAAAAAAAACTTACAAAACAGTCTTTTTGTCTTTTGTAGATTGTGGCATTTACCATTTTTCTAAATATTAGGACCGACTCTGTAAATATGGCTTATTCAAGACATGCTACTCAAATGGAGGCTTCTAGCTACCGATCATGCTTGTTATGTAGTTTGGAATAGGTGAATAGAAGCATCTCTTCCTTGATTGAGTTTTGGCTCGCTTTCATGACAAGCTTTCGCATATATTCGTCTTGGACAATTTGAGATTCTATTCCTATATTGGAATATTGATGGTGGGGTTCTCTCAATCTCTGAAAAAATGATGTTTTCTCGATCTTCGAAAAGATTACTAAGCGAAAAATACTCATAAAATAACAAAGTTGTCAACATAAAATATGAAAAGCAAAACTTCAGCCAAAAATTTAAACGGTCTGAATAGATAGTATTTATTTTTAAATATTTTTAATATTGAAAAATCTCTTACATCTATCAGATATGGATTCGTATAAAAAAATAACATTTACTTTCACAGACTCCAATTGATGAAGATATGAAAACAACCCCAAATTTAGAACTGGTGAAAGAGTAGACCAGAGAAATTAATTGAGCTAGAGAAAACTTTTTCTATATGAAGAAAAAGTTTGTAGAAAAGCATGTCAGCCCTACATGCGTAATTGGAAGGATTTTTTAGGACAATAACATGTTCAAAAGATAAACAGATTCAAAGAGTGTGTAACGAGACAATTGTTCTAATTTGATTTAGATGATTGAGAATCTGATGGATTGGTCAACTTTTAGATCATAATTTGATTCAGACGATTGAGGATCTGATGGATTGGTCAATTTTTAGATCATAATTCATCGATACTTTCTCTTTCCGGATACTCAAATGAATCGAAAGCAAATGTTCATATCCGTATAACCAAGTAGGAATGATTTAACAAAATCTTTTATATCTTTTAATCAAAAGCAGTTATGACTGTAAAAAAATTTCGTCTGCAGTGTCAGTTCTGAGTCTAAGAGCATATTCAATGCTAGCTTTTTAACAAATGTCTTAATTTTAAACAATATTAAAAAAATAAGAAATCTGAAAAGAAACAGTTTTTATAACTTTCATTTAAAAACTAGATCTAAAATTTTTCTAGACATATGTCATCATATAATTAGTTTGTTTTTATATTTAAGAAAGATATCTTAATGTTTCTTGGGTTGCACATAGTCTAAGCAAATTAATTATAGGTTTGCAGCCCTTATTTTTATAAGGTGGTAAAACAATCATTTTTGAAAAATTTGTAAAACAACCAGGGGCGGAGGAACGTTACGAGTATCTAATTTTTTTGATTTCCTATGTAATCAAGACAAGTGAATATAGTTGTTTTAGCCAATAATATTTCGTAAGGTAGTAGATGTGTCCCGGTTCCATTCGTATAGATCCGTCCATGAAAACTTTCCTCAAGCTTGCGGTATTCTAAATCTGAGAGACGGCTCTATTCGTGTGGTGCACCTTAACACGAGCTTGCTGTCTCTTGTGCGTTGCACCTTATTCCAACAAACATCTTCATTGCTATCGTTCATGTTCAAAGAGAGAATCCTCAGCCACCCTTAAATCTAAACCTTTGTGTAGGCCAGACTTTGGGTTAACCAAATCAAAGAAGAAGAGAATCGAAGAGGAAGAGAAGAGGAATAATAAGAAAAGGAAAATAAGGAGAATATAGATAAAGAAGAATTGGACAAAAAAAGAAAGAAGAATGAGGCTGTTTTTGTTTTCTTTTAGTATTCGGTTCGGCTGAACAGAAAACCAAACTGAGTTGATAACCGGACACAATTACCAATCTTGCCATTCGGTTCTTCGCTTGTAACTGAATCATAAGTGAATTGATCGAACCCCGGTTCGGTTAAGTTGGGCTTTAGATCTCAGGTGTATATCACACCATTGATCAACAACGTGGTTGGTCTTAAAAAAACGTTCAAATGAACATCATTTTTTTTTATCATTTTTTATCAATAACACATATCGAATTTCAATCTTCAAATCCTAAAGACCAAGACATGAGAACTATAAACTCATAGCCCCTAGAACCTAAAAGAGTATACTATTATATATTTTAATAATCTGTTTTTAAATTGGTTTGACGCTTAAATTTTTAATTATTTCGACTAAATAAACATTTTATGTGTTGGATCGAGTACCTTTGGGCAAGTGTCTATTGCCACTGTTGTTTGTTTCTGCAGGTGAGTCTGACTCCAGGGTTCTCCTCGTCCAAACCGAATGGAATATTGAGTCCGCATCATTGGATTCTAACAAAAACAAAAATCATTTGATATTACAAAGTTTATTTCTTCGTCAACTCAACATATATAAATAAAAAAAATTAAGAAATTACCTTGTTGTGCTTTAGTGTTGTCTTCTTGAACTGTTCTTTTCTTTGGGGATATCTTTTTCACTGCAGATACAATAAGTTTACCAATTTTTGAGAATTTCATCTTAATTTCTCTCTGATATCTCTCCGACTTCAAATGTGATGGTAAATAAGTTTTAAAATTAAGTTCTGAAATTTATACAGGTAAAGAAAAAGATAAGGTAGAGTAATAGCCTGAAGTATTTTACACAGGCAAAGAAGTTCTGCAATTCATATTTATGAAAAGTATAGAAAGTCCTTTTCTTTAGTATATAAGTTAAATTTCAAAGAAACAGTTAATGTTTCCATTCATTGTTTTTTTTTCCTATATATCAATCAAAATTTGACTGTTAATATCTCTATATAAAGTAGATTTTGTTTTCCTTGTATTGTTTAAGATTATCTTCCTAAAACAGTTTTTTAGTAATTACAATATACGTAAAAACATCCTAATGTGAATGACAAATTCATGGAAATAAACATGTAGGTAGAATAAAACTGTGATACAATTTTTTTAAAGCACTGTAATCAACAGAGTGGCCATGACAAATTTGTAAAAACTATTATTACTAACTATTTTTCATATTCTTTACATCAACTAGTGATGAATATATAAGCCTATAGGTCCGTCAATGTAGGTGGAGAGGAACAGTGTTACGCATGTTTAGAACAAAGTTGTTGACTAGGAAGCAGTCGAATTATTATTGACATAAATCCAAAATTATATGTGAGTTAATAAAAAAAGTAGTCATCTTTAAAGGGTAAACATTAGTCATCATGATTCATGTTAACACCAATTACCGTATGGCATATGAATTTTCGAGAAATAATTTTAATTATCATATTCTACATGTGGACCTACATGTTTACCAAAGAACTCGTGGAAAAATAGACAAAACAAAGACCATGATGGACTCATAATTAGTGTGGAGAAGATTTCAAATTCACAACAAACAAAAAAAAAAAAAAAAAAAAGAAAGAAAAAATAAACACAAAGATAAATACCAAAATCAAAAGCCACATAAACAAAACCGATGGAAATGAGTTGAGCTGTTGAAGTCCTCTTTAGTCAATCACAGAGTGGATCAAAATTGATGCCTCTTCTGTCGTTGGAACTTCATCTAATTCTGTTATTACAAAACAATAGTTAAAACTAAGTAAGCAATATCTCTACTTTAATCTTTTTCAAAACTCCGAAACAAATCTACAACCTATCACTCACTACCTTTTAAGGTTTAGCGTTGGATATCAGGGATTAACCACATAATCAATCGAATTCAGGATTATAGCGAATTTAAGTACTAAAGGGTACCTGGCAGATGAGAAATAATATTTTCCAAGATTCCAGCACCTGAGCTCTCTCTCTTCTTGTCATCTTCATCTTCACATTCAGATTTCTGAACGTTTTCACCAGATTTTTCGTCTACTGTTGTTGTTGTTGTTGTTGCAGCCATAAAGTTGGATATCAGATTGTTCAAAATCCCACCGTTGGTTCCCTTCTCTTTCCCATCTTCTTGTTCTTGTTCTTGTTCTGCTTTATCTTTGTTTTTTTCTGCGACTTCTCTTAAACGTAAGAGGTTATCTGCTTCTGGAACGCCCTCTTCCATGATTCCTTTTTGTTTCTTTGTTTGTCACTGCTTCCACTTTTCCTTTAAGGCGGTAAAAGTAGTCTTCTGCTCAGCCAAAGGCAATGATAAACTATGGTGTATACTTTATCGATGCAAAATACTCCAATTAGATAATTACACAGTATTATTGCAATCCCAAGCCGACAAAGAAAGACAATATGGTTATCCAAAAAGGTGTTCTTTTATTAATTTAACTTAACGTTTTCTGTAATAAACTAAATTTTATGACTGTAAGTGGGTGCGTCGTCAGTAGAGAATCTTGAAAGACAGACGACACGTTTACTGTTCTGGACAAAGCGGTCATGTGGTTCTTACACGTACCTCGTAACTTGTTGCCTACCCATAGATAGCATTACACGTATCCACCAAATCATATTGATTTTCTCTCTGATTCCACACATATTCATATATTATGCCAAGGGATGCAAACTTCCATTTTAACATTTGTAAGGACAAGAAGATCAAGTTTTTTTTTTTTTTTTTTTTGTCTACAGTTTCAACATACATTTTAAAATGGTGTTAACCATGTAGGAATTGTTGAATTTACATAATAAAGATGAAAAAAGTAATCTCAAACACGAAGTACTAATTTATCTGATTCTACGTACGTAATATCTTTGAGATGGAGAATTGAACAAACTCAAGAAAATCAAGTTTAAAAATAAAAACTAGTGATTATCTATTAGTAAAGTTTTTATAAATTAATAATACTAGGATTTTCAAATTTTATTAATTTATAAAATTATTAATTAATCAATTAAATTATTAATTTATCAATTAATTGATATTTTATTAATATATACAGATATTTTTTAATTCGAATTTTTAATGTTCATTAAAAATTTTAAAAAACAAAAATTTTCAACAATATAAAATTTATTCAAAAATATCATAATAAAAAATTAAAAAAATAAATATAAACTTGAAATAACAGTATTATCATAATTTACTATATTATATTATTTATATATATCTAAATGTATAATTATTAATTTATATTATTATTAAAACTATATTTTTACATATAATTTTTAAAAAAAATATTATCTTATCGAATTTTATCAGTTTTTATATTGATTCGACTTAAAACCGATAAAAATTATTAGAATTTATAAAAAATTATTAATTTATTAAATATTAATTTATAAAAATTCTACTGATAAAAAAGTTTTGTCAACATATATCTTTGATAACTTGAGTGAATCCTGACCCATAACTGAGGATGGTAAATTCACCATATTGACTTATCGTTACAAGTTAGTGTTTTCTCCCTTTTTTTTTGTTGAGAAATCTTTACAAGACAGTGTTACAAAGACTACATATATCTCAAAGATATTTTACCATTTTTATTGGATCTAAGAAAACCCATCAATTGGACCTACCCTGTAATTTATTTTTCATATATAAATATGGGTTTTGGGTGTATCTGAAGCCCAAACAGAATGCTTTGTCTACTCTAAATTTTTTTGGATAGTTGTACCTCTTACCGAAATATTGAACTTTAACTAAACTATCAAACCCAAAAAAAAGTAAAAAACAATCAATCAACATTGAACAAATATGTAAGCCTAACTCAAGAAAGCATCAAATCTAGATATATATTTTGTTTTTGTCCAAAGAACTTTAATCTCTAATTTTGATTATTCATAGTAAAAAGTAATACATAGTTTATTCTAAAGCTAGATGCATAATTTTGGCTAGAAAGCCTTATGTTTGTACATGCTTATTTAGTTTATTGTTATCAACCACCACATTGTGTCACAACACTATATACTGTATATAGTCCAACGACCAGCACCTTAATTCAAGTACTAGTTATCTTTTGTAATAAACTTGTGTTCCAAGTGGATGTGGGAAGAAGGAGAAAATGCGTTTTTGACGCCACAGATCCTATGCTTAGCGCTCCAAGGCAGCAAAACATGCAAACCACAAGCCTTTGGTGAAAAACAAGATTGCCTCACCGTTGCACTCAGATACGAGAGCTTCTTCTTCCTCCTTTGGCTTGCCGCTGATGTCACTGCTGCTAGAGCCGCTGCATCTGGCAAAAACCGCTCTATTATGTAACTCGGTGACATGTCTTCGCTTCGCTCTGTGCTCTCCATTGTTAAGTAGCCGTTTGAGTCACCACCTCCTCCGCTGCTTCCATCGTCGGATTCCGTAGCGCTATCTTTTGGGTGTTCGACCATGTCTATGGCTTGCGTGAGAGACAAGACATCGACCGCGTCTCGGTCGGTCTGATGGGAGTGTTCTTGATTGTGGCGTTTCTTGAGACGCAACAATCTAGCTGGTGTTAAACCCTCACTGACGTCATCGAAATCATTGTTTTCGCCATCAACGTGGATCTGTAATGCAGAACAAGTCACAAGTCACAAAACCAATTGACAATGAAATTGATTAGAGACCTAAAAGAAGAGGAGACATGGAAAGATTATAAACCTTTAATCTTCCGGGAGGAAGTTTGAGACGGGGCGTCTCGGATTCAGAGTCGTTTTTCAAGAGAGACGAGTTCTTGGGCATCCCAGGAGCGGTCTCCCAGCAAAACGGAACAGAAGCTTCTGGAAACTGACCCGGAAGCTTCTCTTCTGTGACATGGCGTTTTGTGGACAAGAAGGGAGCATTGAAGTTTAGCCTCCGAGATCGGTTCATATCCATCATTTCTTCAACCGTAAGAAACAATATCATCTGTGGGAGGGAAAATGATATTCCTTGTTTGCGAATCCAAGAAGGCAATTTGTGAGTTTGGGAGGAGATTTTTTGTTGTATTGAAACACTGTTTTGTTAGCTGAAAGTTGAAATTTAATGACAAGTAATTAAAAGTTTGAAGCTTTCTCGTGTGTGCAAAACCGATATTTGTGGCCTCTTTATTGTGTTCACAAGTGAGAAAGAGAAAAAAAGCTCAGAGGTTGAGAAGAAATAGAGAAGCAGAAAAGCTTTAGAAAAAGTTAAGTCTCTCAGGCCATGTGGTTATCAAATCTACCATGAAACCAAACAAGAGCTTAAAACAACACAAAGATGTTGAAACATTAGGGATCGATCTTTGGAACATGTAGAAATGTATGAATGAATAGTCTGCTTTGTTTTCTTGTTTCAGGTGGATAAAAAACACATCCCCGGATGCTTTGAGAATCAATACAAGAAACATGTAAAAGAAAAAGTGAAGAAAGTTACAGATACAATTACATAATTCCAGTAGAAAAAGAAAAAGAAAAAATAAAAGAAAGAAGCAATAATACATCTAGAAATAGGACAGAAGAAGAAGTCCAATTTCACCAGAGGTAAGTTCTTCTTCGTGGTTCTCCCTTTTTGGCCAGAAAACGTATTATCTGTAGCAGCAAGAAACACTCTCTGCACTACTATCGTATCCTCACCCCCCAATTACCAAAATTAAAGAGAAAAAAAAAATAGTATAAAAGTTTTCTATTTACATGGCTATGCTTGCTTTTCTTTTCTTTCTCTATTCACTCAAACCAAACCTTGTTGATTGCTCAGTTCAGAAGGAAATGAAACAGTGTAGACGCATACCAGGAGGGAAGAAGAGAAGAGATTTTGCCAACCCAATCAAATAAGATAGTTTTGTTCTACTTTTGGTCGGTAGCATTTGGTTCACGAGCTTTGTGGTAGAGATCGAGTGTATCTGCATGACCTGGATCGATACACAATGCTGCTTCACAATCTTTGATTGCAGATGCTCCTTCTCCCATCGAATCATAGAACGCCGCCCGTAGATGTAACAGCTGCAGATCTGGTTTAAAGGATATCGCCCTCGAAAGCTCGTCTATGGCTTCATTTTCTTTGTGATCGTCCATAAGAACTGCAACACAGGAGTTCACGTTCAACAAAACCATCACAGAAACTGCATATCATTCTAACATTTTTTGTATGCCTAAGGTAACCATCAGGATCCATACGATATGCAGAATTAATCACTCAAAAAGGATCAGCCGTTGGTGTCCTGTTTCTGGATAAAAGAAACTAGATCTGGCTTTGTAATTATCTTACCTGCAGCTCTGTATCTGTAAGGATAGGTTCGGAGAGGGTCTAGTTGTGTTGCAAGGCTTAGGTCGCTCTGTGCCATCTCGCGGTCACAATATTCAGAGCGCTTCTCATATGCCGACGCATTGTTCTGAGCCTTCTCTATTAGCTTTGTCATCTCATCATAAGCAGCTTTCCGTTGATTTTTCAGATGATAAACGCGAGCTAGACCTTGGTGAGCTCGTGTGTGCTTGATGTTGAGCGCGTTCGTATAGCAATCAGCTGCTAGATCCAGCTTATCACAATCCACATATACACTCCCCAGGTTGTTCAAAGCCTGCAAAGCAAAATGCACCAAGGAAAAGTTCATGATATTGAATCATTCTTATGGAAATGCCATAATATTTAGTTGGATAACCTGTCGACCAAAAGTTACTACACTTTTTCTAGAACAGTTGGTTCATGAGATGCGTCCACATCCCAGAATCAACAAATTATCCCAGACACTGAGATCAAAACACAAGTCGAATATTTCGAAAACTTGGATTCTGAAACTATGGCACTTCAAGAGATGATTAAACAAGTAAACAAACCGGAGAAAGAAACGAGAAATCAAATACATAACTAAAAGTGTTGAACACGTCCGAAAGATTGAGAAATATTTTTTGTTTACTTACTTGTCCCTTACGGAGAGCATCTGAGGGACACCGGAGTGCTTCATCAAGGAGCTGGATAACGTAATCAGATGACTTTGGGTCGAGCGTAGAGTCTGCAAGAGCATAAGCTTTGAGGAAAAACGCTTCGAAAGATCTTTGTCTAGAAATGGACTCCTCAGCCTTGGCCAGGGCTTCCTCTCGGTGGCCTGTATCATACAATATCCATCCTTCATACACAAGTCTCTCATGCTTCAACTTTGAATGGTTTCGAGCCAGCCTTAGACTACGCATTGCTGCCTTTTGACAATTCAACCTGTCAGTATGCAACCAGCACTTGTTAAAAATCAATAAATGAAATGAAAGATTCATTGAGAAGCGCAATGAGAGGTTATTATACCGTAGCAGAAGAAGAGATTGTCTGAACCGTAAGAGACTATTCCCTGGATCATTTGCAAGCATATCGTGAACAACTGCTAGAGATCCAATATCATCCACAGAAGACCAATGATCAAACAGCTGCATCCAGCAATCAGCCTGGCTTCGCTGCTGAGCCAGCGGACGGAGCAGCTCCACCATATGATCAGCATGGACTTTCCAGTTAAACATCATAAAATTCGGCTCCAATGTCAATAGCGCCCGAATATCTTTCAACGCACCCTCATAATCCTCCTTGCCAATAGAAATCCATGCTCTCATCTCCAGACAGTCAGGAGAGGCCTTGAATCCAAGAATCTTGTTCAGTTCCGAGATGGCAGCACCGAACTGGTTCTCCTCCACCAATGCCACTGCCCTGAATTTGTAGGGGAATGTCAAAGTCGGGTCTAACTCGGTCGCTGTATCCAAATCAAGCAGCCTTTCTTTACCACTGCAGTACAAGGACCTCTCCTGGTGCATCCACCCAGTAGCCGTGTGATCCGAGATCAGCGAGTTGATGATCTTATAAGCCGAGTACCTATGGTCACGCTTGAACTTAGACCTGGCAACTCCCACGAGGGAGTAGAGATGACCAGCCTCAACCGCTGCGTTAAACCATCTCTGAGCATCTTTAAACTCTTTCCTCTCCAGCATCACCACCCCTAACTGGTGGTACGCGAGCTGTTTCTCCCAGTTCTCCACCGCGCACTCGACCAAACGTTCCATGAGCATCACGGTTGTGTTTGATTTCATATCATCTTCCATAGCTATCTGGCTTAAGAAGAAGTACAACGCGAAAGAAGCATGGCCAAGAGACGCTAATCTCTCCCGTCCCTCGGCGCTGCAAAAGATCTTTATCACGTTCGGATTATGCATAGAGCTCGGGAGTTCCCTGAGAAACACCTGGAGACAAGCCGCCACGAGAAGACACGCAGCCTCTTCTAATCCATACTCGATCAACAGCATTGCCTCGTCAAGACTATGAACAAGATGCGCCAGATGCGAATCGCAAGCGGATTTCAATTCGTCGCAGCAGAACCGATTCGCCAGCTTCAGGAGCTCCAAGACGACATTAGGAGGGAAGTTATCTAACCTGTTGGTCCTGCTGAATATCTCTGCAGCTCTCATCCCTTCCACAGATATTCCGTTCTGTGTGAAATTGATCGTGCCTCGTTTCGTTTCTCTAAACCCTCCGTATAGCATCGCCTTGAAAGGTCTCGACAAAGACGCGATTTTGTACCTCACGCAACGAACCTCTTCGTCACCGATACAGAAGGACATGTCGTAGTCTAGCTCTTCCTCGGAAGTCGAACACTCGGGGACATCATCATCGTTCATCTCTGATCTGGAAGCTCCGGAGCAGACGCATGCGTCGTAGACGGATTCCGGGTCATACCCGGAAACAAGGGTCGCCTTCGGGCATTCCAAGTTTCTGCCGCAGCAATCCATTGAGTTTGTTCCGATTAGCTCGTCCTCCCTCCTCTCGTATCGGAGCCACGACGCTAAGACGACTTTCGCGTGAACGTCCACGGCGTGCTGCCTAGACGACCGGAGACTCCGCCGGAAAAGCTTAGGATCAGATAAGCCTCGGAATATTGCGCATTGTTCTAAGTAAGCCCCAGATTTCTCGAGCTGAGGGCAATCGTCGATCCGACGGTAGACTTCGGCCATCTTCTCGACCAAATCGACGAATTTCAAGCAAGGATCGATCTGCGGTTCAAGCAGATCCGTATCGGGGAGTCCGCAAGGGAGGAGGGACTCAGGGGACACGACGGCGTTTGCTTGAATTGGAGGCAGATATGTGCGGCTTGATTTGGATCGGACCGAATTGACACGGAGATGATCCTGAAGATGCTGTAGGAGCTTGTCCCCGACTCCTCCTCCGGTTCCGCCACCGCCGCTGTTACCTGGTGGAGGAGGCGGAGGAGGAGCTGATGGATTAAGAGCGTACACTTGCGTCCCTTTACAACCTTCTGCAAGCTTCAAACTTCGCATTGTCGTGAATAGATTATGCTGCATCTTCAATCAAGCAAAACCCCAAATCGAATGTTGAAGAAAAAAACAAAATTTCAAATTCATATCCACAAATTGCCAAGATCAGACAAATGGGGTTGGGTCAAAAACAACAAGACAGAAATCAAGATTTACAATTTCGCTCCGGAAACTAATCGGAAATCTGGTAGATTATTAGATCACGGAGCCAAAACGAGAACATAAAAAAAAAGAAACAAACTTTCTCCTCTCTTTCTATTTCAATATTTTATTCAGTCGTCACAAAAAACTTAACGAAGCTCGCTTGCCTCTCTCCTTCTTCTCCTTCTTCTTCTTCTTCTTCTCGGAAATCGTGTTTTTGCAGTGTAAGTTTCATCGATCCGGTTCGTCTTTTTTTTTTTTTTTTTTTTTGTTCCCACTAATTTACGAATCTTCCCGTAAAAATAGAGAGAGGTAATTAGAGGAAGAATCTTCCTCCGTTCGATCGCTCTCTCTCTCTCTCTCTTTTGGATTATTGTTTGTTTTTGTTTTTTACCCTTCTGTTTCAGAGTGCGGTTCTAATAATGCAAAATTAATTAAAAAAAAATTATGTGTGTTTGTAGCATCTTTTTATATTCTGGGTTTTTGCCTTTTTGGCTTTTATTTTTTGTCCTCTTGCTTAGAGCTTTGGTGAAAGTAAGTTGATTTCCATTACTCGTTTAAGCCTCAAACTAATGAATTATATTATCCTCTTCACCTATAAAGACGTTATCAACTGCAGTTTCTTTATTAGATTTCGCGGCATTTTTTTACATCTCCAAAAAAGTAACTGCCCTTTATTTACTTTGACAGTTTATCCTCGCTTTCGATGGATGATACTTATTATTAAATAATTAGTTAAATAAAACTATCAAGGACTATGATGACATCCAAATTCAATCAAAGAGCATGTATTTTGTTGACAAGAAAGAAATGAAACTGGATCAAATTCTTTGATTTTATTAAATAGATGAAGAAGCATACGTGTATCTGATTACCAACGGTATATTAATTTTTAAGAAGAATATGTAGAACTGAATGGATTTCATCAATCTTTTGGTGTTTTATTTTACAAAATTGGCAACTAATTTTGTCTTTTTATTTAAAAAGACTGCCGTTGTAATTTGTAATTTGTAAAGTTTTTCATTTATAAAAAAAAATAAAGTGACACATTTTTATTTTACCTTAACTCACAAATAAATAAAAACATTAATAAAATGTTCTCTTTTCACCCATTATTCAATAGTGCACTTTAACTATTTTAAATTAGAGGAAAACATTATAAATTTTCATTCTTTACCATATACTAATTCTCTTAGTTTTGTTTTGTTTGTTTGTTTTCGTTTTAAAAATCCGAGAAAAGCCATCATAAATCTATCAGAATCTTCATTTTCTTCTGCAGAGATTCGTTATTATCATTTATATTCACAATCTAGTCGTTTTATCCCAAAGTTTTAATTTGGAGGCAACCACATACCGGAGTGCGTGTCCTTAAAACACAATTATATTATTTAGCTAGTACTATTTTCCCAAAACCAATTATGTTTATTGATACAAAAAAAACGTAAGAGTATTGTAATTAAAAAATGTTTGTGACAGAACATAATAAATGGCGAGAAAAAATAAATAATACATATAATATGTGCTGTTAAGATAGCCGGCAAAGAGCTTATGCCACCCACATTGTGCGGCGAAGTCATGTCAACACGTTTTACAGTTAATTGTTTATATACTTATGCTTAAGGAAGTAATCGTAATTGATTATGTGATAAGCTATGATTAAGTCTAATATTGCTGGTGATTAGTCTGTGTGATGGCATAAGAATATTATATACATTTGTATAATTCCTTAGGAACATAATTGAGAGAATGAAACATAAGGTCATGTGGGTGAGACAGCTAAGAATGTCGTTTGGGTAAAGAATGAATTTTATCCAAAAGCACGGATCGTACTATACACTTTTGTACATTCCACCAAAATCCAAAATCACTTGTCTATTTCTCTATGTCCCACCTTCTATTTCACATTTTATCTCTCAAATAAGAAACCATTTCTTTGTTTTAAACTTTTCAATTACACAATTTTGGCATAAAACCATGGTCACTGCAATACCAATCAACTCTGCATTTCCGGTTTTAGTCATTGACAGTTTTGGTGAATTTGTTTAGTTTCAGTACATACAATTTTAGATTACGTCTTGTGAAATTTTCAGGTTAGCTAGCAAATTCTTAACCAAATCAGGAATTTGCTTTGACTTCTGTTAAAAAAAAGTGTAGTATATTTTAAGATTTCGAATATAGATTAGAAACTTTGATTGTCTATCTGGATTTTAAGTTTGGATGCTCAAACATCCATAAGCCATTTATTTGCTTACACTCGCTACAACTTTTATCATCAAACATTTGAAGGTATACGAACCCATTTAGCAGTTTGGTCCATCAAATTCAAATGGGTTAACCCAAACCCAATCCAACCATTACTCGTTTAACCCCAAAATCATTTGGGCGATAGATCGGACCGTACCGGATCTTCCATTTTTGACACCCTTATGAGATTGGACTTACTGTAACCATCTTTTTCGATCAACTTCAACGCCCTATTGTTTTTCTTCTTTTATGTTTGTGTTCTCATGTTAATGATTATAACATTATAGCATGGTAACACAAATGCATAAGTAAACCCAAGTAAACAATCGAAACTAAGTAGATGTAACAAACTACCAAATCGGGCACTACATAAAAGGCATCAGACTTTTCTGAACATTTCGTACAAAACATGTATTCAGATTCAAATACTAGAACGTTCATATAGACATTCGAAGATAAAACCGATATTTTTTATGGTCATTTTTCCATTTTAACAGTAATAGTAACAAAAAAGAAAACGGAAGAACGCCATTTTTTTCCTTTTATAAATCTTTTTGGCAACGTAACAAAAAACAAATGTCAGTCAAATTTCTGCCAATCTTGAGTCACATAGGCAGAAGGCGAAGCTGGTGGAGGAGGGTTCAAGCTTCCCACGCCGTTTCCGAACGATTCCCACTCAGTGCTAACAGCTGCTGCTTTGCTCTGATCCACAAACGGATTTGAACATCTTGCCTTCAATGCATCCACAGCCTCCTGCAACTTTTGGACCCTACGCACCTGCAACGCAAAACCCCAATCAAATCTATGCTTAACTTAGACTGGAGATTGAAAGAAGAAAGATCTCAAGTGATTCAGTTGTACAAAGTGAACGTCTCAGATGTTAAGGAATCAGAATGAATTTCTACCAAAAGTCTCTACATTTACAACGAGCTGAACAAAAACAATATATAGAATCCAAATGTATATCTACCAACGCCTTTAGATCATTGCAACTCATCCCAAAGCCTGTATCCGAAACATGTAAGTACACGCTCATAGATTTTTCACCTCTATAAACACTCTTATCGTGTAAACATAGCTTATTATGCACACAGATGAAGGAATGTAACAAGTGAAAAACTAACCTCTGCCTTTCGCTGTACTTTAGCTTCTCCTTCTGCCACGATGCCATCCAATTTGAGCAACTGCCTCATGAGAAGCTCTGCAGTCATGTCAAACTCCTGCACCGCAACTTTTGTCCCTCCATTCACAGCAACCTCTAAAGCAACAACCTGATTTTTCAGAAAAGAAACAAAATAAAACTTAAATCACAATCCTTCCTCTCCTCTCCTACAGTAACAGCCTTAAAGACGCAGCTCTTGAAACCCTCACGTTATCCGAAAGCTTATCGACCTCTCCTGAGACTGCGCCGACAGCAGCAATAGCCTTTGCCATCTCTTCGGTCATCACCGGAGGCTGTTCAACTTGTTCCACTCTCTTATTAGGATCCTCCACAAGAACAACCTTAGACCCATCCTTAACACCAGCAGCTTGCAACTGTTCAGCATCATCTCTCTCAACTCCCCTGAACAAGATCTTCAGCTCAATAGCCTCTAACCCAGTTTTCTGGACAAGGGTTTTCTTCACATCCCCTGTTTATCACATTCAAGCCTAAAGATATAAACTTCTGACTACATGAACACAGATAAAGCAAAGGACTTTCATTTAGTCTAGAATGTATCTACACGAAAAATGTCTACCCACGTTGAAACCTCAGCTCTCAGTTATTCGGAGAGTCAAGGTAATAATAGATCATACTGGTGGGATGATAACGAAAACTAAGGAAAAATCAGAAAACGGAAGGGGATATGAGCTGAGGGTTTTACCGAAAGTGGCGTGAGCAGAAACATGAAGATCGTGCTGGGAAGAGCCATGGGAAACACTGATCCTGATGGTCTGGGCGAAAACGGCGGAAGCAGAGTCGGGATCCTGGTGAGGTTGGTCGGAGGAGGCAGCGTCGTCTCTTCGCTGGACGAGCATACCACCAGGTCTCACTTCCCATTCCGAATCGTCGGTTGAATTATGCATCATCGTTGTCCAGAAGAGATCGAGAAGTAAAGCAGAATGGGAGAAAAACCCCTTCGAGCACGAAATTAGGGTTTTCGCAGTGAATGGAAGATTTTCACCTCCTCATGCCATACAAATTCTCCCAGATAGACGGTGTCTTCAATTTCTTTTTTAATTTTCTTTTTTTTCCGTAACTATAATTTTCAAGGACCAAAAAAAGAGTGAATGACAAATATCTCGAAACAAAAATATCTCATTTTTGGTATATTTATACATTTTTTTTTTGGTCAACGTATTTATTCAACAGAAATTGTGAAAAAAACTATGAAAGTTGGTTTCTGTTGTTCATTTACTTTGGCCTTTAAACTTCAAAATTAATATTTTCATTCAACTGTATTTTGCTATATTATCCTAATATTTGCAAGACCAGACCAGATGGAACAGGACAGTCCATGGGTTTGTACCCGCAACACCAATTGTGGTGAGACTGAAGCAAACAGACGAGGTTTTAGACAGGACTGTTCTCGATCGGACCAGCAACAAGAGACGGCAGCGACAAATACTGTGTTTCAGCGACAGAGAGACTGATGCAGATGCGAAGATGCAAAAGGAGTAGAGTGACAATCAATCCTACAGCTATACTAGTTGATGATCAAGTACCACTCCCAAGCGTAGAGGCCAATGCCATGATTCTAGATGCAATTTGAGGCAACAAACTTGAAATCTTTGGAGCCGGAATTGCCTAGTTGGAGAAAAAGATACATCAAAAGGAAATGCCTAAGCATCTTCTAGATTGTCAACAACCTCGACCATTAACGACGACATATGATCTTGAAACAACAAAACAGGAAACTTCTGTAAAAAACGATATGTTATCAACTCTCTTCAATACTTCCTATAATGATGATACGAATAAGTTCACACGAGATTCTACTTTGGTGATACGTTTACAAATAATTGACCCAAGACCTGATCAAGCTGATCTTCACTAGATAAATCAAAAAGTGTGCAAAAACAACATCAAACGAAATCCAAAAAGCACAGCAACCAAGCAGCAAAATTTGATCCGTCACGAAAGTGTTCAAATTTATTTGATCGACATTAACAAGAAAATGGATTAGCTTAGCCTTGTGGGGATCAGACAAAGCTAATGTACAGTGTGTCAAGTTTCTTCTCCTCATTCTCAAAAAGAGGCGAAATCAAATCTCTGTTTTTCCAGGAACAAAAAGACACCTTCCTACTCTTTCCGGAAACTATAATCAAATGGTATAATATAAGATGAATAATACCCACAAATGCTCGAACTTGGAAAACTTTGAATAGCTGAAAATATACCCAACTAAGAAGCCACTTTAGCCGCTTGTTCAGTCGCCTGATTCGCTTCGATTATCTTCTTATTCTTCTCAATCGCCGCCGCAACCTCCTGTGGCATATACTTCTCGTCGTGCTTAGCCAGAACTTCCGTTGCCGAGAAGAAGCAGTCGAGGTTCCTCGCTTTCTGCGAAACGGGTTTCGTTGAAACCTCCTTCTTTACCTCATCAGTAAACGGCTTGATGAATCCTTCCACCACAACGGAATGACCTTCCCTGAACAGATCCGGCAACGATCCCTTGTACCTGACTAAAATATCAGTGATCAGATCGGTAATCACGAACTCCATCTCCTGAGACGCCGCAGGCTGCGCGACGCTGCCTTCAAGAACCAGGCCTCCGAGCCTAAACTTGTTCTTCGTCGGATTCTCTGCGAATTTCTCCATTGCGTCCGATGGCGTCAGGTAGAAGACAAGCTGGTCCTGGAACTGATTGAGGACGATGACCACGAAGCCGGCGATGCAGCTGAATGTTAGGGCGTAGGTCCATAAGCGACGGTTCTGCATCTGACGCGCCTTGGCTCCTATGTCGACCTTCTTGGGCCGCGTTGGACCGCGACGGGCGGTTGAGAAGGATCGTAGGACGGTGAACGACGACAATCGCGATAGATCTGGTGACGCGGTGGTCAGCGAATAGAGAATCGGCATCGGGGATTCGAAGGACGATGGTGCTGGGATTTGAGGATGTCTTTGAATAGATCGAAGGATCTGAGAACCACGACGGAACATGAACCTAGCCGCCATTTTCTGAACGCAGTGCCGAGAAAATTTTCCTCGAGAATTTTCACCCGTGTGGGAAATCAAATTCCGAGAAAGTGAGAGAGGTTTATGAGGTTTTCTCCTTCGATGAGCCACATAAGCCGTCCACTGAACTATGGACCACGTCAAGAACCTCTGTGTGCGTTAGAGCGTTTAATCACGAAGCATCTACGGCATTCCGGTCCTCGGGTCGGATCGGTCGTTCGGATTTTGGGTTATTCGGGTTGGAGAGGAACCGAACGAAAATCGGGTCGACTCGGGTCAGTTCCATGTTGGGTTCGGTCAGGTTTGTATTTTAGTGATGAAACCGGAAACAACCCGTAAAAAAAAATCAGGTCCGGTTTAGAATCCAAAAGACCCGATTTAGACAAGAAAGACCTGATTTAAAGTTAGCCGAAGATGTGTAATTTGACCGGAGGTCAATTGCGTCAATAAATTCCACATACGGAGGAGTTTAAATTTGATAGAATTGCAAATCCTGGATTAGTGCCACCTATACTACTGATTAATTTACACCAAATGTGACCACAACAAGTAAACCTGGCTATAACAGCCAATTTGGAGAACTGATCTTACCCAGCTAAATTGGTCCGTTCCGGTTCATGGTATCCTATAACCGGAGTCATCGTAGCTACAAAAAAATTTAAGCTGGTGTTGTGAGTCCACGACATATATGTTAAAGATGATTTTAGATGTTTAGTTTTATTTTAGGGGGGAATTGCTGATAATGACTCAAAACTTGAGTTGAAATGTAAAACTAGACCCCCTATTGTATGTTTGACAAAAATAACTCACAGGAGTAGTGAAATTACAATTTTAACCCTTATGACCAAACAAAAAAACGTAACCTCAATTACTATTTTATCCTAGAGAAGTCTACTCGAGAAGTTAAATAGACTTCTCGAGTAGACTTCTCCAAGAAGTCTACTCTTTAATAATATGTTTACAATTAGTTTTAAAAATCATAAAAGATAATTTAATAAAAAAAATTAGATACATAACAACAAATATATACTTTTTACACCTATTAAAAATAAAATTTGACAGAAAATAATCAATTTAAATTATCATAGATAAATTAGGATAAAAATCAATACTAAGAGACTTCTCGAGTAGACTTCTCGGTTTCTCGAGTGGACTTCTCGAGTAGACTTCTTGGAGAAGTCTACTTACACGAATTTTTTCCTACATATATAAAGAGAGTTTAACCTAATTGTATTAACAACAAAGTCTCTCTCTATCTAAAAAATGCCTCTCTCTCTCTTCTCCTTTCTCTCTGGCCATGAATTTCTTCTCCTTCCTCTCTTGCTATCAATATCCTCTCCATCCTCTCTATCTTGGATTCAACCTCCTCTCACTTGCAGGTTATGGTAGTGGTAAGCAAATCTGAGCTTTTGTGTTCCTCTTTTTATTTGCTTTGTGTTCATATTGCAAATCTGAGATTATTATTATAGATTTGAGCTTATTGTTGTAGATCTAAGCTTATTTTTGTAGATCTGAGTTTATTGTTGTGTAAATTTTGTAGATTTTGTTAATTTTTGTTATTATTGCAGAGATGAATTTTGTTGATTTTTGTACAGATCTAAATGTTATAAATATAGTAAATTATTATTATAGATCCAAGTTTATTAGTTTAGATTTGAGCTTATTGTTGTAGATCTAAGTTTATATTTGTAGATCTGAGTTTATTGTTGTATAAATTTTATAGATTTTGTTCTAGATCTAATTTTTTCGTTATTGTTGCAGAGCTGAATTTTGTTGATTTTTTTGCAGATCTGAATGTAAACTTCTCGAGTAGACTTCTCGATCTCGAGCAGACTTCTCGAGTAGACTTCTCGATCTCGAGCAGACTTCTCGAGCAGACTTCAGTTGCATACATAGTTTTCAGAGATTTTAGTTTACTAGTCATTTCTTATGCCAATTTTAAGATTTATAATTAGTGATCCTTAAATGTTTGTTTGTTTATAGGGTTATTTTCTATGTAATGTTGAATTGCATTGAATGTTTTGTATCAAATTCCTAAATTATCTATGTTTATCTATTTTACAAAATAGACTTCTCCTGTCTCGAGTAGACTTCTTAAAGACATTAATTTAAGTGATTCAGAGGGACATTTTTCCCATTTATATCATATAACTTGTCAACCGAGTAGACTTCTCTTGTCTCGAGTAGACTTCTCCTGTCTCGAGTAGACTTCTAAAAGACATTAATTTTACATAACTTAAAAGTGATTCAGAGGGACATTTCTCTCATTTATATCATATAACTTGTCAACCGAGTAGACTTCTCTTGTCGAGAGTGGACTTCTCCTGTCTCGAGTAGACTTCTAAAAGACATTAATTTTACATAACTTAAAAGTGATTCAGAGGGACATTTCTCTCATTTATATCATATAACTTGTCAACCGAGTAGACTTCTCTTGTCTCGAGTAGACTTCTGAAGTAGACTTCTCATTGTCTCGAGTAGACTTCTTAAAAACATTAATTTTACATAACTTAAAGGTGACAACATTCGCCCTCCTTTGCTATTCACCCTCCTTTGCCAACATTCACCAAGAAGCTCACCATGTGTGCAACCATCTCTTAAGAACAACATTCACCCTCCTTTGCTATTATCCACCTCGAACTGCCACACTGATTCACTCTTAACTCATTCTCCATAAACAGCGGGTATGTGAGTCATTCTCTGTGAAAAAAGAACAAAATCCAAACCATATTAGACATCAAAATTGCATAAGTAGACTTCTCTGAAAATCGGATGAAGTCTACATAGTAGACTTCTACAGTAGACTAAGAAGTATACTCTTAATAAGCTAAGTATCATATAAAATACGAAAACTCATTCGACTATACCTATAAAATATAAACATGCAAAACTTATACATAAGCAAGAAAACTTAATAACAGAAGCTTAGGATCACTAAAATCTTAAAAATTCGTTATATATTGTATAAAAATGATTTTTTTTTAAAAACAAGAAAAGTAGACTTCTCGGATAAAAGTAGACTTCTCGCAGGTTAGTTTTGCAATTGCCAAAATATTAGTAGACTTCTCTATGAAAAGTAGACTTCTCCGAGAAGTCTACTTTCGTAAGTAGACTTCTCGCAGGTCATTTTTGCAATTGCAAAATAATTGACTTTTTGGTCAATTGCAAAAATGACCTGCGAGAAGTCTACTTGCAAAAGTAGACTTCTCCGAGAAGTCTACTCTGAAAAGTAGACTTCTCCGAGAAGTCTACTTCCATAAGTAGACTTCTCGCAGGTCATTTTTGCAATTGACCAAAAAGTTAAATATTTTTCAATTGTAAAATTGACCTGCGAGAAGTCTACTTGCAAAGAGAAGTCTACTCTACAAAGTCAAAGGTTGGTCAAATGACCTGCTTCTAAAGAAGTCTACTCGAGAAGTCTACTCTATTTTTTTGTTATCAAAGGAAATTGAGTAGACTTCATTCAGACCAAAAGAAGTCTACTTTTTCATGCGGTCAATTGCAAAACTAACCTGGGCGTTGACTAGTAGACTTCATTCGGACCGAGAGAAGTCTACTTTCGGAGTATTTTCGTAAATAAGTGAGGAAGATGAGGATTAGTTGGTCATTTAGATTTCCGAAAATAAAAGAAATTAATTAAAAATAATGGCAATTTCGTGAATAACTGAAACTATGAAGGATTGTTTGGACACAAAATGGCAAATGTTGGGAAAGTGATTTTTGTGGGTTAGATTTGCAATTCAAATCAAATTTTAGGTCATTTTTGCAAGAATCCCTTATTTTAGTTGAATGCTAACCACAAACAATTAGCTGTTTAGTTGTACAAATAGCTAAATACGAATTGTTTAGGACATTAAAAAAAAATGTAACTTCATTTGGTGACAGAGAGACCAATTTAGTTTAATTTAGATTTTTTTTTTGACGTTCATGCTTCAAACTAGTTACTTGCTTTTATTAACGTTCGGAAAAATAAACATCCATCTCGTAAAAACATATTGAAAATTTTGGTAAACGCTAAATTTAATTTGAAAAGTGCGGAAGCAATTAAAACACGGATACACAATTTTTTCATACAAAATTTGCAACGGTAGACCATAATATATAAAAAAAAAATAACTATAGAAGACAATTCCTCCAAACCTGACCGAACCCAACATGGAACTGATTCTTTTGCATCACCCTATTTCTTCTGATTCGTTTCATCATTATTTTTAGGGGTGAGCACAAAAACTATAATCGAAAAAATCAAACCATACCGAACCGAAAAAGTGATATGGTTTGGTTATGGTCAAACCTAAAAATTTATTTGACCATTAATTTTTTATAGTTTTGGTTTTGGTTTGGTTTGGTTAAAAACCGTCAAACCAAAAGGTTTTTTCGGTTTTTAAACTAAATTTTAAATAATTTATATTTTCCTAGTTTCTTAATTTAGTTTAGATATATATTTTATTATTTGGCTTAGTTATCTTTATAATTTACTAACTTAACTCATAAATTTAAAATATAATATTTATAAAAAATATCTACATATAAATAATAAAGTAAATCTTAATTTTTCAATAAAGAAAAACGTGATTAACTATTTTTTCTTCATATTCAAGTCTTATAGTTCTAGTTCCAAGGCTATAGGTATTAAATTTTAATCTAAATTTGTTTATTGTTTAATAATTATTAATTATGAAAGATTTGATAATTTGTTTGTTTCTTTGTTTTGAAATATGTACTTATTGATGATTTTTTTATGATTTAGATTCTATTTTTTGAATTTATTGTTTTATTTCACTCATATCTATTATTATTATTTCCATTAGTTTGAATCAAAAACTTTATGATATTATAATTCCAAAAAACCGAAACCAAACCATATCAAATCGAATCGTAAAAAACCAAACCATACCGAATTTAAATGTATATGGTTTTTATATAGTTTGAATTTTCGTAAAACTAATAAACCGCAAAACTGAAGAAACCAAACCGAAACCAAACCAAAAATCGAAGTGCCCACTCCTAATTATTTTTGTTTCTACTCCAAAAACAGGGTGATCCAAATATTTGTTTCCTTCGTCTTATCCATTATATATAATTTTCATTACCAAAACTCCTTTTGTTTCCTTCGTCTTATCCAATCTGTTTGTTTCCATCTCTTTTTTTTTAACAGCTGTTTGTTTCCAAATCTCTGTTTATATATACTAACTGGCGTATTACCAAAAAAAAAAAAAAAAACTGCCAACTGGCAGTAATGTTCCACACGTTTTATGATACACTACGTAAAAATTTAGAAAATATTTTCTTTTTATACATCCAAAATCAGAAATAATATAATAATATAAGAAAAAACTGTATTAGAACTTTATAAAACAACACATTTTATTGATATAACAATATATTATTGTTGAAATATGAATGTAGACTAGTTACATTTTTCTATAAAACTATTAAACGTAATTACCTTTATTATGTTTTCTAATAAAGTTTTTTAACCATATTTGTAAAAACTCAAATTTGATCTACGAATAAACTAGAGTTTGTGGGTTAAAAAAGAAGTCTTTTATTAGAAAAAGTCGGAGCTTAAATGAATATACAGAAATTTAGATCGTCGGAATAAAAATGCTGACCTAAACCTTTATGGAAAGTAAATCGAAAGCTAAAACAACCAGATTGCTTAGTTTATCCTAGGTCTCAATAGTTGATTTTTGGATGATCTGAGAAGTCGAGGGTTTCCCATATTTATAGCTAATCAGGTCGGTCTTCGATGTGTGTTTAGAATAGGAAAGTCTTCTTGCCGACAAGAAAGAACTTTCTTTTTCCCGGGTTCACTCGATAAATGGAAAGTTTCCATTTGTTTAGCCAACCTGAGACTTGTAAAATGGACCGACCAGAATTCATATCGGACTTGTAGAGATGTACGAATCTCATCTCTAACAATATTTATTGAATAACATCTTATAGATAAACTTTTCAAATATTACTATTATAAAAAAATATTTTTATATATAAATATTGATAAAATGTTTAATAAAAAATGAAACTAGAAATATCTCCCAAAATAGATGATTTAACCTGCCCAATGCCAACTGATATATATTCATATTAACACTTAAAAAAAATCTTATTGGCCTTTCACCTATCACATAATCACTCCCTTATATTAGATATTTCTATAAGGTAAAATGAACCAGTTAACCTCTCTTTAAGACCAAATATTCTTGAATATGATATTTTTATATAAAAACGATATTTGTAGAACTTAGGCAGCGAACTTCTTTATTGTATTCTGCAAGAAACTTATTCCAAAATTAATGCAAAATCACTACAATATCTAATCAACTATATCATTCAATCATAATCCCAAACAGTCAAAGTTTCCACGAAAAACATTTAATTAAGATAATGAATATTATAATATATCTTCAAATAATATCATGTTATAATCAAAGGATTATTTAACATTAAGGAACTTCTTAATAATTTTTATTGAACATTCAATATTTGATGAATCACCACTTCCTTAGTAACAACTTGTGAAATTGTGGTAATAAAATTTAGTGAAGTTGTTATAGTTTCGGATTTAAGATTAGAGACTTCAACCCAAAACCTCACACTATTCTTTAAAAAAGAAAAAAAAAACTAACAAATTGCACGTGCATGGCTTTAAACTAAATATTCATATATCCTACTAATATAAATCCATCATTAAAAAAACAAATCTATATTATTTCTTCGACTAAACACACTCTAACCCAGGTTGAATATTTTTGTATTAATTATACAATATTTACTAAAAATATGGTGAAAGATCGAGAAAGGAAAATTCCTAGTATTAATTAGTGACAGCCCATTATGAATCTATCATTTCCTTAATAAGAACTTTGCTGCGCGTCGCACTAAAGCAAATTTTCATATTTCCCAGCTTATATAAAGCCATCCTAGGAAAAACAAATCTTTATTATATTGGTCAACGAAACACACACACACACACAAAAGAAACCCTATAAACCTTTGATTTTGGGTTTTATGGATACTTTACAGTCCATCAAGGGCTACTTTAAAGTAGATGAAGCGCAAGATGAAGTGTTGAGGAAAAAGGCCTGGAAGCGCTTGATTTTAATAGGCGTTTCCGTCGTGGTTCTGGTGGCGCTTTTCACCGGTTCTGCGGTTGCCGTTCTTCGTAACCGGCAAAACGATTCCCATACGAGTTCAACTCCCAAGTTGACTCCAGACTCTTCGGTCAAGGCAGTGTGCAGCGTGACTCAGTTTCCTGATTCTTGTTTCTCAAGCATCTCCAAGATCCCATCGTCCAACACGACGGACCCGGAGGTTCTGTTCAGGATTTCCCTGAAGGTGGTGGTCGACGAGGTCGCTTCTATTTCCGAACTGCCGACGAAGCTCTCCGAAGAGACGGAGGATGAGAGTATCAAATCGGCGCTCAGGGTATGTGGAGAAATGTTAGAGAACGCGATGGATAGTCTCAACGAGACTGTTTCCGCCATGGAAGTCGGAGACGGGAAGAAAATCATAAACCCGACCAAGATCGACGACCTTAAGACGTGGCTTGGCGCCGCCTTAACATACTACGAGACGTGTTTCGACACGCTCGACGAGTCCATCCAGAGCAACGCGAGTTCCACGACCTCTCAGAAGCTGAAGTCCGCCATGAGAAACTCCACCGAGTTCACCAGCAACAGTCTTGCAATCGTCGCGAAGGTACTCTCTGCCTTGAGCGATTTTGGGATCCCGGTTCACAGGAGACGGCTGCTCGGTTCGAACACGTTCCCAGATTGGGTGAGACCTAGGGTACGTCGGTTGCTTCTTGAGACGAACGTAACGCCCAACGTGACGGTGGCGGCTGATGGCTCCGGCGACGTGAAAACGATTAACGAGGCAGTTGCAATGGTCCCGATTAAAGGGAACACAACGTTCGTTATATATGTGAAAGCGGGTACGTATGTAGAGAATGTACTTGTGAATAACACCAAATGGAATGTCATGATGTACGGAGACGGCAAAGACAAGACCATTATTTCCGGCAGCAAGAACTACCATGACGGCATTAAAACCTACGATACGGCGACCTTGGGTAAACTCACTCTTTAATTTCTACTACTCTCTTACTAGATGTTTCTTGTAAATGAAACTGAAGCATTTTAACCATACTTAACCAACTAAACCATTGTGTCAAACGAAAAATTAACTAGTTTAGTTGTTTAGTTATGTTCTAATTAAGTTCGGTTTTGCTAGTTGTTGTATTTCTTTCATTTTTTCGTATTTTCTCTCATTGATATATTTAGTATTTACTATTCATTATCTTTACCTGTCTATATTGGTTTTCTTCAACCCAATGATTTAACTCGAATGAACCGAGCACAGATTACTTATTATAATATTTTGCTATTCGCTATTTTGATCCTCAATTCATGGGTATTTACGATTTATCCCCTCTACGCAGGTGTTCAAGGTAGAGGATTCATAATGAAGGACATGGGAATCATAAACACCGCCGGACCAGAGAAAGCACAGGCGGTTGCGTTCCGGTCTGGTTCCGACCACTCAGCGTACTACCGATGTTCATTCGACGGCTACCAAGACACCCTCTACCCTCACGCCAAACGCCAATTCTACGGCGACTGCGACGTCACCGGAACAGTCGATTTTATCTTCGGAAACGCCGCCGTCGTATTTCAGAACTGCAGTATCCTGCCGCGTCAGCCGCTTCCGAAGCAGTTCAACACAATCACCGCCCAGGGCAGAAAGGATCCGAATCACAGCACCGGGATCTCGATCCAGCGGTGTAAAATCTCCGCTAACGGGAATGTTACCGCTGTGACGTATCTCGGCCGTCCGTGGAAGGAGTTTTCGACGACTGTGATTATGCAATCGGAGATTGGGCCGATCGTGGATCCCGCCGGATGGATACGCTGGAACGCCACCACTGACCCTTCGAAGGTAACGTACGGAGAGTATAAGAATTATGGTCCTGGATCGGACGTTTCCCAGAGAGTTAAATGGGCCGCGTACAAGCCCGTTATGACTGATGCCGAGGCAGCCCAGTATACCGTTGCCGCGTTTATCACTGGAGCCGATTGGTTACCGGCGACCGCAGTGCCTAATCAGCTAACTTTAGAGCCTAATCCGCTAAGTTAGTGGCGCATTTCTTTCTGTCGTAGTTTAGATAAAAAGTTTTATTGGATTTTAGAATATTCAAGAGCATATTCATTTGGTTTTGTAACATCAAAGAAATATAATTATAATTAGAATATTAAGAGCATATTTATTTGGTTTGTAACTTCAAAGAAATATATAATTTTTTAAAATAATTTGAAGACGATTATCAGAGGAGGCGATTGGTTACCGGCGACCATAGTGCCTAATCAGTTAACTTAGTGGCGCATTTCTTCTGTCGTAACTGTATCATTTGGATTTTGGATAAGAAAAATTATTCGATTTCAGAATATTAAGAATTTGGTTTGTAACTTTGTTGTCTTCCACCACCATCCCGATCAGCCTCTGTTACATCATCCTTTGGAAAAATACGTTAAACTATGTTTATTTATTAAACATAGAAAAAATACGTTAGAGTTCCGAAGATGCACAAGGAAGTGATAAAGTTACTCGCTGTTTTACGTTCTTTTCCAAAATATGAGATTGTAAGCGAAACAACTTGATAATCAAAGAGGCATACAGTATAATTTTTAAAAAGACCTCATATGTATATCTTTTGATTCTCGGCTGAGATAACACGTTTTAAGAGTTAAAAGTCGAGAAGATCAATACAAACGAACATTCAGAAAAGGATTTGTGCAAAAAGACACAAGTTGATTGTAATTTTTTTTTGTTCTTTTTCTAAGAGACTCTCTGAAACCCAAACATACAAAGAAAGAGGTACCTCAAAGTTTCAAAAATTCTTAAAAGAAAAAAACAGAGAGAGACATCTTTCTCATTCTTGAGCACTACTTGCTTCCATTGGCTCAGCCTCAGTTGAGGTTTCCGCTTTCTCTCCTGCCATCTTGGCTGCAAAAACATTCATAACACATACATCAAGATCCTTTTATGGATTGAATTTTGTGTAACAAAGCTGCAAATTTCATTCTTTTTATTTCATACCTTTCTTCTTCTTTCCACCACCCTTCTTCTTTTTGATACCCAAGGCCAACCACCCTTTGATCTCAGGGTCATCAATGGTCTTCGTAGGTTGAAGCTCCTGAAGTGTATGTGAAGTGATCCTATCAGATCCATTTGGCATCAACAACACAGTGAATTTGATCTGAGCAACAAAATCACCTGTTCAAAAACCAAAAAATATAAATAAGTCCCAGTGCCAAAGAGTTATCTAAACGAGGTTAATGGATTAAAGAACTTTAGTCATCCTTACCAGGCTTCTCGTAAAGAACAGGATATGGCTGCAAATGACCATGGTTCACACACTCAACAAGTCCAAGACGTGCCCTTTTCTCCTCTAGCGACCTGATTCGATCGCATTCTCCGGCAATATTAGTCGCTGAGATAATATTTTAAAATATATATATACAATGCTTAAGAAGCTACAAAAACACACCTTGCAGTGAATGGCATATGGGGGAAGTTCTCTTTAATCTCGCTGATTATGAATCTGGAGGCCTTCATCTTCAACTGGTAGTTAACACTCTCATCTTTCCTGTAAATGGTTGTTTGCTTCTCATCCAATAGCTTCGGCTGCAAATTCAAATATTGTGAGAACAATGGGCAATAAAAAGAAGAATCGGCAATTGTCATCAAGATGATACCAACAAAAGGTAAATCACCTTGCCATCACCAGTGCTTGCCACAATATCTATTGCGTAGACCTCATTCTCTTCAAATTCCACATCATCAACCCTTGTATCAGGACTGGATACACTTAGGACAACCTTGTCTCCATCAATCCTCTTCTGTTTCATCTGGTGGGATAGAACCCCTTCGACAATTTTGCAGTCATAAGCTGCAGCCACCTTCTGTATAGCATCAGTCACAGCGTTGTTCTGCCACAAGGGAAAAAAAGATACAGAATTTCAATCGTCTTGATCGCAGTATGTTCTAGGCATAAACATGAAACTTCTTCTAGCAATAAATTTAAAGAATACATCATCCCCATATCAGTGTAACTATGACATAAAAGCCTCATTGGGTGTTAACACGTAGCATTATTAGTGATCATCATTGGGGATCATGAGTGTGGAACTTATCCAGAATCAGCAAACCAATATCTACTTCCAGAAACACGAGAAGGGAAAAAGAAAGAAGACAAAAACAGTAAGATCTTTTCGTTGCAACCACTAAAACAATCAGTCTACAATGGACCCTACTAAAACTTAGAATTAAAAAGAACCCATCAGAGTAACTATGACAAAAGAGCATCATTTGGATATAATAATCCATAGCCAATAGTAAGTGTTCATCATCTGGGGTTTGCAAAACCTTCTCAATCATTCAAGAACAAGATATAATGCAACACCATATAAGTAAGTGGTTACCTTCTTCCCAGGACGTACAAGCCTCAGAGCAACTTCAGCAGCTGTGTTTGCAGCAGCGATAACATCAGCTTTGCGTCCACTAATCGGTCCTTCTTGAAGAACATGTGTGTGGCCAACAAGGGCAATGAACCCATCGATATGGCATCCCATATCACTGCGATGTAGAAAGGAAAAACAGTATCAAGATATGAAACAAGCGAATCAAAGAGACCCATCTGAATAGAGAATTACTCACAGACAGAAAAACAAAACAATGCAGTTTCTTGAGGAAAGGCTTACATTTTCAGCATATCACCTTCTTCCAATACAGTCTCATCACTGGCAAGCGGCGAGAAATGACCAACAGTGTTGTTCACAGAAATGCATGTTGGAAAAGCGACACCTCGATCAATCTTCTTCTTAGCATTCTTGTACATGCTCGATGTTTGCCTTATACAGCAAAAAAAATAAAAAAAATATGTGAGGTCATGAAATCTTTAGCAGGAGCATAAGAACAGAGAAACAAAAATTGAGTAGGATTAAATATCTCACTCCTTGATGTAAGAGTCTCCTTTCTCGCAGATATCGACAATCTTAGCTTTTGGCTTGCATTCAGCTAACACAATCTTCAACGCCTCTGCGATTCCAACCCAAAAAAACAATAACAAACAATAAATACGCAAAATCGATAAAGCTCTAGAATGAAAAGACCTAATCGAAATCGGAAATCAAACAATAAAATGGAGAGAATAGGGCATTACTGTTAACGATCTCGGCGGCGCTCTTGTACTTGGTGACGACCTCAGGAGCGGTAAGATCCAGCTCCTTCTCGTCTCTCTCATCGTCTGAACTCATCTCTCACAACTCTCGAAGAACGATACTCGCAGCAAAACGTAAAGGGTTTAAGAAAGTGTAAAGAGGAACGATTGGGGAAAAATGGTGAGAGAAGCGCAAACAAGTTGGCTCAAATAAGGCACTAGGGTTTTCGCTTGTGTCCTCTCTTAACGGCACCGTTTCAGAAATTGCCAAGGAGGAGCGTTACTGTTTTTACCCCCAACATGGGCTATGCAGATAGATTTAAGACTGTGGGGACAAAATATGTGCATATCTCGGCCCACGATAAGCCCAGTTCTAAATCTCTTTATTAACCGGTTTTGGTCTACAGTAACGTTAGTGTTCAATCTATGTTTTGGTTTGTCAGAGAAGCAATCAATAAGTAGCTGCGAATTGCAGATGAAACGATACAGGTCATTTGAACAAATTCCTCAACTAAATCCAAAATCAAAAAACTCTCACTTTGTTGGTAATTAATTATATTTGTTGGAGAAAACAGAGAATGGATTAAGCGAAACTGAAGTCGTGTCAAGCAGCTCGTTGATAACTGTAGCAAGTTGACTGAGTAAGCATCAACGTGTCATTTCCCCACGGCCCACTCTCTCTGGTCTCGCCGCGTCTTCTTGTCCACGTAGCACATAACTTTTCCTTTCGTTTTGATTCTCTTGGAACCCCAACACTTTCTATTTATAGGAATATTACATCGTCCGTATCTGCGTCGGAGCACAAAACCAAGCAAGAGCTTCTTAAATACTTGACTACATCGTTCTTTTCTAATTTCTTCTTTTCAAAATGGCGTCAAAGCAACTAAGCCGCGAAGAGCTTGATGAGAAGGCCAAGCAAGGAGAGACCGTCGTACCAGGTGGCACCGGCGGCAAAAGCCTCGAAGCTCAAGAGCATCTCGCTGAAGGTATTGCCGTAAAACACAAGTTTGCTACTCTTTTTTCCATTTGGTTTTCTAAATATATGTTATACAGTCCATTAGACGTTAATATCTTAGTATAAGAGTGATCTGTGTACTTTACAATATCTAAATATCAGAAGACTTATGTTTCACGTTAATATAAACTAGTTTTCATGCTTACATGGAATTATGTATACATTGCTCAGGAAGGAGCAAGGGAGGGCAGACGAGGAAGGAGCAGCTAGGGCATGAAGGGTACCAAGAGATGGGACACAAAGGAGGAGAGACGAGGAAGGAGCAGCTAGGGCACGAGGGTTATCAGGAGATGGGACATAAAGGTGGGGAGACGAGGAAGGAGCAGTTAGGAACTGAAGGTTATCAGGAGATGGGACACAGAGGAGGAGAGACGAGGAAGGAGCAGCTAGGACACGAGGGCTATCAGGAGATGGGACACAAAGGAGGAGAGACGAGGAAGCAGCAGCTAGGACACGAGGGCTATCAGGAGATGGGGCACAAAGGAGGAGAGGCGAGGAAGGAGCAGTTAGGAACCGAAGGTTATAAGGAGATGGGACGTAAGGGAGGACTCAGCACGAAGGACAAATCTGGTGGAGAGCGTGCGGAGGAGGAAGGGATTGAAATCGATGAATCTAAGTTCACCAAAGGCTGATAGTTCCTAGTAATGTCCGCTGCAACGTTATGTAATAGATAATCTGAATAAGTAACCTCTAGGTTTTGTTGGTTGCAGCGAGGGTTTTACTAATTAGGGGTAATGTAATGCGTCTAGCTAGTTTTATTTTCATGTGTGTGACATAGTTACGCAAGACTTGTACTAACGGCAAGGTTGTACCGCTCAGAAGTTTTCTGGGTTTTTGGTGAGGGTGCAATCAAATGGTTTGCGGTTTTGGTGTTTGAAATGTGGTAGTGTTTTCGTCTCGAATAAAATTTGACGTGTAGAACCAAGACGTACGTATCGAATATATGTTCCTTGAAACATAAACTCGAATCTTAGGGGGGCGTAAGAGACGCATTTCCGACATTACAGTACACAGCGATTACAATTTCACCCGGTTTGGGTAAGTTATTACAACAAGGGTTGTTTCTAGTGCTGACATACATTTTACAATATTTCAGGACTAGTCGATGCTATCACTTCTACCCACATTTATGGCTCGCAATAGTAGCCATATTTGCTTTCGCCAAAACTCCAATTGAATACGCTGGTTCAGTGACTCGATGCTAATGCTGTCACGAATATGCCTAGCACCAAAAATGGCTGTGCGCTTGCCTGTGTAGTATTTGGAATTTCTTAGTACTTAGCCTCTAAGGCAAAGACAAGCTCTACTTTTAGAAGCCGAGTTTCATGCATTTGTGTGCGTTTAGATGACTTACCTGGTACTTGACGTCGTATTTGACAGGATCCTTGAGAAAGTATTTAAACTGCAGAAGAGTGTAATAATCAGACCGAGTGACAAATATGTAGTTCATTTGAATATGACGCTATTATATATGCGTCTTTACCTGGAACACAATCTGTGGAATGATCAAAGCAAGCAACGCCAACGCATAATAAGGTTTTCCAGAAGCTAACAGATAACCTGCAATCAAATAAGAATTTACTAGTGATGAGCTCTTCCTTTTTATTTGGTGCTATAACAACAATTACTGTCTAAACTCATCCACTCGCAAAGAGAGTGTGTTTGCACAAACTCTACATACCGGCAACAGAGAGCTGAGTAATGTCTATAGCACCAACGCATATCCATTTTGCAGCTTCTGTGCCAAAAGCTACTGGGAGAGACTGAAGTCCCATTGCTCTGTCTCCTTCAACACTTTTGAAGTCATTAACAATGGCTATTCCTAACTGCAGTTATTACACAGGTACATGAAGCAAAATCAAACGGTTAAGGATAACAAAAAAAAAGCATCATAAATGGTCGAATAGCAAGAAGAGTACCCCAGCTATGCTGTATAAGAGTGTTAGAACAACAACGTCTGGTGTAAGAGTACCAAACAATGCTTGCCCAGCCCACCTATCAATTAAGTGAAAAAAAAAAAAAAAAAAAAAAAAAATCAGTGAGATGAGAACACGCTATATATCAATGCACGAAATATCTTTTACCATGGTAAACTGATATAGCTTGCTCCAAGTGCAAAATTTCCAACCCATCCATTTTGTTTTAGCTGCAAAGAGATCCGTTCATGTATTGATAAGTTCTAAACTCCAAAACTTATATTATTCCACCGGGAAGAGAACGCAGGATGTCTTGTCACAAACTAGGTATAGAACTTACCTTAAGAGGTGGAGCAGAGTATATATAAGACAGCAAGGATCCTCCCAAAGCAAGATAGAACAAAGTGGGAGTGGTATGCCCTGCCTGAAGAGGGAAGGTTTAGTAATTCTGATGTGCCATTTAACTGTACCATCACATCAAAACCGCCAACTTACCCACACATCTAAGATCCCAGCGATTCCAAGACCTCCTAGCAATAGCACCCAGACTTGTGTAATAACCTGCATTTAAGGAGTTGCAAACAAAGAAGGAGAAAATCAGCATCAAACAAACTAATGGTTAAAAAGCTCAGTCTGTTCTGTATCAGTACCTCTTGCTCTGATATTGCTCCGGATGGAATTGGGCGGTATGGCTCATTAATTGCATCAATATCTCGATCATACCAGTCGTTGATTGTCTGGAAATCGACACTTTTCTAAGTTATGTATGTAGAACTAAGAAAACGCACTACCATTTTGTTCAGCGAAACCAGACCTGTGTATAGCCAGTAAGACATGGGCCAGACATCATCATGCAAAGAATCGACTTAGCAACGTCCTCTGGGGTCCAATGGAAGTTCCCTGCCAGAAGAAAAAAAATTAAAGTAACATGTCTTATGAGCAACCAAAGATTTAGTCATATAGGACTCCACACAAGACACGTTAAAGAATGTATATGGTGAAGAAGACGTCAAGAAGATTGGAGACAACAATGAAAAACTCCAATCAGAGTGCTGCGTTTATCCAAAAGAGATGATGATGTTACCTGAAGCAGCAGCACCACAGACCACTCCCCACACTAACGGAGGCCAAGTGACTGGCTTTGTAAGCTGAAGACGGATCTTCCATTTATTCTGGAAAAAAAAACCCAGAAAAGCTGACTAAATATGCAGCATTCTGACGTAATTGCTAGCTAAAACATTAATATTTGTATGTGATGTTCAGCGAATTATCAATTGGAAACACCTGAACTATGCAAGTACGCATCATTACGCACAACTACAATAATTTTGAACTCATTTCTATTGGTATTGATACATCCGAACCTAAAATTCAGATGCATTGGAGAAATTTTGTATAAAAGCCAGAGAAGATGAACAAAAAATTACAGTCTCTTGAGCTGCTCCTTTGATACCCAGAAGCTGGTTAATGCTCGAACCACCGGCTGGTGCCTTGTCCGGTACCTGAGATTTAACTGCCGCGGAGATTCAAACCACCCAGCGGAAAGTTCGTTTATTAAGCTTGAAATTTAACGAAAAACTAGAAGAAAAATGAAAATTCAAAAACAGCCACAAACCTTTATCCGTATCAGTCTCCGCCGCACGCACAACCAATCTCCTCCCTGAGAAAACGACAAAATCAGTAAAAAAAAAAAAATCGAAGAACGCGTTCAGCATCAAACTAAGGGGAGTGGAATGTACCAGACGATTCGAAGCCCAACGTCGTCCAACCGGAACGCCGACGAGTGAACTCGACGGATTCCTGATTCCGAAGAGAGAGAGCTCCGACTCCGTCGACGGAGGTAACTCTGGAGGAAAGGATGGAGGAGACGGAGTTGAGAATCGAAGTCATGGAGAGAATCGTCTCTGGTGGCAGCAAGCCGGAGATGTGAGTGGTCGTGTGAGTTTTTTTTGGGCAGTTTGCTGTTTCGGGAAATCAGTGGTTGTAAAGTTACCCGGCGATAAGAGTCTACGTCACACTTTTTGGCGGCCCTTTCTACCACGTGGCAGAATTCTATTGGGGGATCGCTTAATCACATTAAACACTTCAAATAGGAAGAAAGCGTATAACAACAACAGATATTTGTTTAGTACGGTGAACTTTAAGGCCCATCATGCGGTAAGGGAAGCCCATTAGTGTCGAGAAAAGACACGTGTCAACAGTCAATTATGAAGGACCCCAACAATCTTCGACATTTCTTTTTTCTCTGATCCCGTTTTTGAACAAAAACTCCAACATCATCCTTCAATTATATCTTCATTTCGAATAATTTATCAAATCACAGTATTGCGTTGATGGAGATCGTTCCATCTTCAAGTCGATTCAAGCTCTACGATCAATTTGAGCTTCTGGAGTTTCCTGATATGTACGTCGTCAAACCCGTCGAATCGCCCCACGAAGGCTTCTCCGTCGATCGGCGCGATGGCAACATCAAACCTCTTGATGGTATCATTATTTCACCCTTCATTCTCATCTTTCTCTGTTTTTAGAGAAAAATCTAAAGCAAGAGGAGTCTGTCTTTCGTTTCTCGTGAGATTTAATGTTTAGGCTAGTGAATCTGATGTTACTGTTTCTCTGCTACTGCAGAAAACACATGTTCTGGAAATGCTTCCAAAGTCTCTACTATCTATGGCGTCGGAGGAACTATTAGGCTCTTAGCAGGTGAAAATATTTCGTAACTTTCTCTTTTTGTTTTTGGTTTTGGTTCTGCTAAAATGGAAGATGTACTGTGTTTTTCTCCGAAATGAGAGTTTCATCTCATATTTTAGGGACATACTTGCTCGTTATAACGTCTCGGGAGGAAATGGGGACTTTCCTCGGGTTTCCAATTTTTCGAGTCGCGGCTATGAAATTTCTACCTTGCAATGAGGCTATGAGGTTTGCTACTTCTCAAGAAGTAAGTTTTTGTAAAGCTTTAACCGATATACGATTTATAGGACCTTTTTCTTAAGTTAAGTTGTCTGAAGAACTTTTTCGCTACTTGGAAATGGTGGCTTGTGCAGAAAAAGGACGAAACATATTTTAGGACTCTGCTACAGTCACTTGAATCAACCCCAGGATTATATTTTTCATATGAAACAGATTTAACAGTCAAGTAAGTTTCACTATCTGATGATCCTGAGTAAACAGCGTCATTCTTTAAATGTGTGTGTGACCCTTCATATAAGTAGCATATCCTAGAATACGGAGTTCCATAGCTTTAAGTATATTTACTAGATACATTCATCCAATGTTACAGCTTGCAAAGAAGGTGCAAGCTAGCTGAAGGTTGGACGCGTAAGCCCATTTGGAAGCAGGTTGGTTGTTCATCTGGTTCTTATCTTCACAAAAACTATTTTCGTGGATTCTAGTGCAACTTCATTTTTTATTATTAACTGTTGTCTGGTTTTTAGTTCGTGGAGTTAAAGTTAGGCTGAAGGTTTACTTGTTTGTCAGGCTGACCCTCGATTTGTTTGGAATTGGCATCTTTTGGAGGAATTGATTGAATGCAAAGTAAGTTTTCTAATTCTAAAGTTAATCTTCTCATTCCATTTCAAACTTTACAGATCTAGTCTTCTCTTATTGTGGCAGTTGGATGGTTTTATTATCCCTCTACTTCAAGGAAATATCCTTCCTTTTATCTTCTGTTTTGCTTCTTCGTGGACTGTATTTATATAGTGTTTTGTCCTAAAAATATGCATTTTGGTAAGACGATAATACGTGTTTGTTTTAAATTAACCAACGGTTAAGCTACCAAGTTGCTGAGCTACAGCTCAAGAATTCTCCTGCTGTGATATCGTTAATTTCCAGGCGCTGTACACGGCGTCTAGGTAGGTTTTCATTTCGTGACTAGTGCTGCTGTAAATTCAGTTAAATGCATGTTTGTTTGACAGTCATGTTGGAATTGGCATCCCCAGGTACACGTATGTGGAGAAGAGGAGCCAATCTTGAGGGGGACGTTGCTAATTTTGTCGAATCTGAACAAATAGTGGAGATTAATGGTTTCAAGTTCTCATTATTGCAGGTATACCCTTGTTAGTAGCTCATTCATGTGATGTGTCCTGTTAACATGATCTCTTCTTGTTACTGTACATTCATTGTTTATATAAAGTTCTGGCACCTTGCTCTTCATTTCCTCTGTTTTTTAGGTTCCCTTTTATTTCGTGTCGATCGTAACCTTCTTGCTTTCACTTCCTAGGTTCGAGGTTCCATTCCACTTCTTTGGGAGCAGATCGTTGATTTGAGCTATAAGCCACGGGTTAAGATAAATAAGCATGAAGACACGGTAACTTTATTATGACCTTGTTACACGATTTGTTATACGCCTACAAGCCTTAACCTTGACTAGTTTACTTTCTACCTCTAGCCGAAGGTTGTGCAGCGCCATTTCCATGATCTTTGCCAAAGATATGGAGAAATTATGGCAGTTGACCTAACAGATCAGGTTGATTTCTTTGTTCCTCATTTCAGATATCATAACTACATGGCATTAAACATATGTCCAATCTGAAATCTACGATATCTTATATTCAACTCTATTGCGGTTGCTGCTATGCCATATTCACTTGCTTACTTTCTTGTCACATTTTACTACACTAGCATGGAGACGAAGGTGAATTAAGCAAAGCATACGCCACTGAAATGGAGAGACTTCCAAATGTGAGGTAAAATTCTTTACATTCGCTGTTTATCATTTATGTAATTGGTTTTCATTTGGGATTTCTCTCAGCAATCACTGTGGAATTTTTTCCGTTTCCCGACACTTTTTAACCAGTTTCTCGTTTGTTTGGATGTCAGTCACCTTTTCTTTATTCAAAGTGTTCTTTTTTTCTTTTTCTTTTGAATTATATTCAAAGTGTTCATTCATCATACACATCAAGTTGATTTAGCGATATTATTAGTTAATGAGGTTTATTTGACGCAGATATGTCTCCTTTGACTTTCATAACATCTGTGGAACTACAAACTTCGACAACTTGGGGGTACTGTATGAACAGATTGGGGATGAATTTGAAAAGCAAGGGTAAGCAGACAAATTATTGTTTTGAATCAAATCTAGAAGCGGATTTAATATGGTTAGCAGTCAAATGCTGTTGTTTGGTTCAAGTTAGGTAGCTACTAGCTGTGTGCAGAGGTTTTTGTTACAGCTGCCACTAATCCAAGCTGAGCAGATATTTCCTTGTAGACGCAGACGAGAACATCCTAGAAGAGCAGAAAGGAGTTATCAGATCTAACTGCATCGACTGTCTTGACCGCACAAATGTGACCCAGGTTTGTTGAATTTATTTCTTACACTTTGTCATTTCGACTAGCCATCTTGATTGGTACAGTATGTTTTATATAAACTCATGGGTGATACGGGTGGGGTGTGTAAAGCACTGTTGGTAAAGTCTCCTTTTGCGTCATCTGAGTAATTTGTATCGGGCAACAATCACTGTTTACATATTTAACACCATGTAATAGCGTCTCTGGTTTGCACATATAGCAGCTAAAACTATTTGCTGTAAAGCCATTCAAGCTTTTTAGATTGTCGACAACTTGTACCTAAGATGTACACATTGTCATTGAACTGCTTCTGATTGCATTCAAAAACTTTTTTTGTTGCATCATATGAAAAGAATTACATGGCCCAAAAATCACTGAATCTACAACTGCAAAGGATCGGAGTGTTCGATTCCACAGAGTGTGTATCCACGTTTGAAGATGATTACACAAAGTTCAGAACCAGTAAGTGGTTCCAATTTTTTAGTGCAGTTTCCAGTTTTATAGCAATAGAATATCTTTCGTCTTTCATCAAAAGCTTAATCCTTTTGGCGTCCTAATAGTTTGGGCTGAGCAAGGGGACGAGATTAGCTTGCAATACGCCGGGACCTATGCTCTTAAGGGCGACCTTGTCAGGTGAGAAATGTCTGCTTGTGATCCTGCGAAAGATCTTGTAAATGATTATAGTTGCATCTTGGCAATATACGCTTTTGTGTATCATTGCTGCAGGTACGGGAAGCAGACAGTGTTTGGAGCAATCAAAGATGGCATGAGTGCCATGTCGAGATACTATCTTAATAACTTCCAGGATGGTGTGAGGCAGGCAAGTTTCTCTTACAAGATTAGAGTCGAGGTCCATATAAGAAGGTAGCAGATGAGAAACTGAAGGAAAAGAAAACAGAAAAATGAAAGAGAGATTTTAATTTTTCAGGATGCTTTGGATCTCATAAGTGGTCGCTACACAGTGGGCACAAACAGCCCTTCACAACTCCAGCCTATTGGATCACAACCGTCCGTATGTTCCTAACTGCTACAAATGCAATAAAACAATCTGTTAAAATGGAAAAATGCTGATGGGATTTCGTTTTTGGTTGTTTGTTGAAAATAAACAGTTTCTGCCGGTAGCATCCGCATTGTTGATTGGTGGTGTAACAGTGACATCTTTCACAATTCATCAAGGTAAAAGGCTTTTTGATTCATATGTGACTATAGGATTTGAGTTGTGATTGATATGTGTGTTGGGTGATAAAAACACAGCGGGAAGAAACACGCAGCAGTATCTTGCGTCGGCGTTGTGGGCAGGAGTGACTGCAGGAGTCGCGGCGATGATCAAGGCCAATGGAAGGCATTTGTGTTCAAGGCCTCGTCTTTGCCATCTCATTTGATGATTCTTACACATCAAGATTCTCTGTGTTCGCTACCTTCTTCTCAAATTCCAAGCCCACTCTCTTTCTTTCTTTCCTTTTTTGCTTTCGTCACCTGTTTTCTGGTTGAAGTTGCTACGTGCAAGCTTTGAATATAAAATGGCCATGTCGAAAACACAATAATAAAATGTTTACAAAAACTAAATTTATGTATGGCGATGTTAATTCAGAATAATCAAAGTATATTTTGGTTTATTCTTCAAGGCAACCTACATTTCTGTTATAATTTAATAATTCGAACAAAAAAAATCAAATAAACCATTTACAGATCCAAGAAAAAAGCAAAATACCCCACCAAAAAGCCATTTAAATTGAGTTTCAACAAACGTTGTCTTTATTGCTTCTGCTTCTTTGAATTTAAAAATGTTACGGAACGACTATTCCCTATTACATGAATCCATTATTGCAACAAAGGTTCGCACGACCCTTAGGGTCACAGCTTATTTTGCCGGGACATTACATTACATTACCCCAACGTAACCAACAGACAACAACAAACATAAGTTATAAACTTATATAACCTTACAGACGGCTCCGAGAAGCCGGTTTGAAACTCGCAATCCCGGTTACTTCCCTCCCCGTCACTAAGGTGTTTATGTCGTAAGTCCCTTCGTATGTATAGATAGGTTCAAGGTCACAGAAAGCCTGCAATTGTTTTTTTCACATGTTTTACCACTTTAACTCTCATCATTTTTCCATTAATAGTCAAGTCAACCATGTCAAATAGTAAAGATTAGCTCACCTTTGCCACCAGAAAATCCGCTAATATCCCATTCCCACCAAGTAACTCCCGACCTAGGGAAGCAGTTTCCCTTGCCTTCGATGTAATCCATGCCTAGTGGTACAACATAATTGGTTATTCAAATGGTTGGCTATGTAATTACACACCATGTTTCTCTATATCGAATCATCAGCAAAGATGAATTCGAGTGTTTTGTAAGCAAAAAGAGAGGATATGTTATTATACCTTTCCTAAACTGGCTTGACCTGGAGTCATCTGACCAGACTCATAGAGCTTGCAGAGGCGCCAACCCATTAGAAACATGGCTTGAACATCACCCAGCATCTTCACAAGCTTCTGTTGGTTTATCTGGAAAGCAGCCAACGGTGCTCCAAACTGTTTCCTCTCCTTCAGATACCTTTGAAACAATACACATTATATGAGGAATTATTGTAAGTGGAGAGCGATATCGTAAATACTCTAAAACTATGATTACTGAGAATACCTGTGGCACATATCGTAGATTCCCATTGATATGCCGATTGGTTGCCAGGCCACCATTACACGTGAGACAGCCAGGACCTATTCAGGTAAAGTATTAGACAAAACAGTTAATATCACGAAGAAAAGAAGACGACGTGACGTTTATCACAAGAGCACACATGTGGAAGTATCGACAACAGTACCTTGCTAGTGTCCTTAAAAGAATTGACCCCAGGTAACCGATCCTCATCCGGAACAAAGACATTCTGCAGTACAATATCTCCATTCTGAACCATACGTAAACCTATTTTGTTTGGGATCTTAGTAACTTTTAAGCCAGGCGCGTCTTTCTTGACTATGAATCTGCAAAGAGGGTTGATGAATAATTTTTTAACTCAGAAATTATAGTCTTGTCTAAGATGAATGAAAAGCCATATATTTGGAATAAACACATTAGTCCAGTATGCTCTTAATGACGATCCATACAGAAATTACTGTTTAGTACAAATCCAATTGTATAACAATTCTTGTGAAAATTGGATTTTAACATCTACGACAAGTTGAAATCAAGAGCCTCCTCATTTTCAGTTTTTGGGAAACGACCACTACACATAAGATACAAAATCTGACATACCCGTTGATTTGGTTACTTGTCGTATTCCTAGCAAAGATGATCAACAGATCTGCAAAGGTGCTGTTTCCGATCCAACGCTTTTGTCCCTCAATGATCCAACCTCCATCAACCTGAAGAAGTAGACAATATTTGAAACAATGAAACACTCCGGTTATTGCAGAAGACTAGAGCATAAAAGGATCCAAGCAAATGCCAAATGAAGACAAGGAGAGAAGCCAGCCACACCTTTTTGGCAGTTGTCATTAGACCACTTGCATCGCTTCCATTATCAGGCTCTGTCAAAGCCTATATACGAGTTCAATGTACGAATGGGATCAATATTAGTTTTACTCAACAGAAGAAACTTATTCAGGGATTCAAATAGTCTACGTCCAAGATCCACGAACTCACCCAACAAGTCACAGTATCCAGTTTCGCCAAAGAAGGCAAATACTTCTGCTTCTGTGCTTCAGAGCCACAGAGTGCTATTCTTGACAAAAAAACAGAAGAAATTAAGCTTATGAAAACCCTGGTATGGTGTTTATTTCTATCAAAGCAATTAAAAACTAAACAATGCTTATAATCTCTTTTTAGTAGATCTCACCAATAGTAAGCATGCCCAAAGAAGAATGCACCAAAACGAAAGTCGAACAGCTTGCATCAACTCTAGCTATTTCTGCTGTTGCAATTGCATTGGCGGTGATGGAGAAGCCAGGACAGCCATAGCCCTATGAAGTCAGACCAAATTAATATATATTTTTTTTTGAAATTTCCATCTAACAAGAACCCAGAGACAAGCATTGCAAAATTACCTTGATGGAGCCACCAGTAACACCCATAGCTCCAAGCTTTGGAATGATATGGAATGGAAACTCTGCCTTCTCCCAGTACTGAGGAGTAAAGAACAATAATGTAACGCAATGATTGATACCAACAACGCAAGAAAAAGAGAAAAAAAAAAGCAATCTTGAACATGAAGATAAGACACACCTCTGTCATTATCGGGGCAACTTCTTTCTCCATGCACTCCCTCACTCTCTTCCTAACGGCCTGTTCCTCCGGAGTCAACAGATCATTGAAATGATAATAGTCCGAAGCTGTAAGCAGAATCAAGAATTAGTAAAAAAGAGATGAGGCCAAATCGCAACAAATCATCCAAATGTATATTGTTTGAAGAAACAATCAATGATTGAACAATCCTCACTGCACGGTGGAAATGTCGAGGCTGGGGTTGCTTGAGGAAATGCTACAGACATGTCCATAGGTGGCAAATCAAAATATGAACTCTTCACCTTCTTCTCAGTAATAATCTCTGCAATACCAAAAAAAACTCAATTCATAATCAAAATTCTCCAGCTATCAAAACCAAAACTCATTCATAATCTCGTATATCACTGTCGATTCCATAACTTTCAGCAATTCTACATATCATCATCTACAAATGAAACAGTCTGCGAATTTGAAATCACAAAATCCTCCAAAAATTTCACCATCCGCTTTACAAATTACTCAAAACCAACACTCGAAAACCTAACAAACGATATTACCAGTTCGATCCAAGATCGACACCAAAATCATCCAAAAAACAACAGAAAAACTCGTCCATTTCTCGAGAAATTAAAACTCGACAACAAAAAGAGAGAGATCAATCCAGCGAGGAAAACGAAACATGCGAACTATGTGAATAAGGAAGACTGGGGAGACGAAACGAACCTCGATCTGCAGATGATAGCACAGTCATGGTGAGGATCGCAATGGAAAAATTTCTCTGGGTTCGTGATGACACGAATATTGACTACAAGGAGATAGAATGAATGATAAATATAATTAATAACCAGGATTTTTGACCAAAAATAGAGTGATAACTAGGACCCGACCCGGTTACGTGTTTAGGAATTTTTTCGTACTTATCTTTCATACTTATCTTATTAATTACTAAAAGTTACGTACAGGCCCCGGCTTTTTGCTGACACGTAACAACACGACATGTTGTACTTGATACTTATGAACAAAAGGGGCAGAAAATGAAATGTTCGGAATTTTTTTGCGGTAGAATTTTTTTTTTAAAAACGATAAAAGCTCGACAAACTGTGTCGTTTAACGTTTCATTGTTAATTTCAACGACAGCAATGAACATACATTGTTGCTATTCGTTTGTCGTCATCGAATGAACAACTAGACTATATCATGGAAGCTTTGAAAATTCATAAGAGAATGAAAGATCTTGAATATTTAGTTAGTTTGGCATTTTGAACATTGAACGGTTTTCAAATCAGTTAAATTTTAGGATCCTAATATTTTGAGTTTTCACCTGATGTTGCAGTAATTTTTCATGTAATTTGTCCGATTACATAGAATAATTGGAGGGAGTAAGGGTAGGCAAAATATCTGTTATATCCGCTTCGAATCGATATTTGCTTCGATCCGATTCAAAAAATCCGGATATCCGTAAAGTTTCTGAGCAAAGCAAATAGCAAAATGTAGTATCTATATAAAACGGAGCAAATCACAAATATGTTTTTAGATAACGTCAGATATCCAATCCGATCCGTATCTTTATAAATTTATTATATATTATCATGTATATATCAATTATATTATAAATTTTTATTAATATATTCTCAATTTTCTTCCTAAATTTTCAATTATTCTTTTGATTATATAAAATAAATGACTAAATAACCAATTATAAAAAAGTAAATAATATGTTTAAACTTAAAATATGTTAATAAATAAAAATTTATTTTATATTAGTAAATAAATATCAACAAAAGTTTTTTAGTAAAGTTTAATATTAAAGTTTTAAATAGTTAATATTATTTTTAAATATAAAATATCATTTTTTTCTCATCTCAATTTTGTAGGTTTATTTTTTTATAGATTTTTTTATAAAATAAAATATTTTCTTTTAGTTATTTTCACTTAATAGTTTAGATGAAAAAAAAAATTATAATAAAAATTGATGTACTTTCAGTTTTGTGTATATTAAACGGATCAACTAAATATTCATAAATATCCGTAAATATCCGCAAATACTTGTAAATTTTCTGGATATCCGAAAATCTAGATACCTGTATATTTCTGGAGCAAATCAAATCATAAAATTAAATATTCGTTAAAAACGGAGCAAACTACAAATACTAAAAAATTCTCAGATATCCGATCCGCATCCACCCCTAGGAGGAAGTACTTGTAACAAAAACAAGTAAATAGAAATATCAAATTAGCTTAACTTCGAAAACTAAAAAAAAAATGAAAAATTAAGAGCTGTGATTGAAAACAATTCAATAAGCTAATAAGCTAAGTGTAACATTTTTGTAATGTATATTTGTTTTTATGATTGGCAATTATCAAAACAGTAGTTCTGTAGCGATAAAAAGTTACCAATCAAATCAAACCCATAGTGTCATTGCTTCAATAATCTAAATTTAAATTTGGAAGCGTGGGTATGTAAATATGTAATGTAAATTATATAAACGAGATTAAACTAAATATACAACCATTTAAATTGTTTTTAGCATACTTTCAATTTCATGAATAATTTAACTCGTACTTTTAAATACTCATTAGCACAAACTCAACTTTATTGCCACGCTAATGGGGGACACATGTAAAGGATAAATATTAGAAAACGCTATACGAAATGAGTGCATTTGAAACCTTGTTTTTGTAGCATACTTGAGTTTATATTTATATACATGGCCCATCATGCTTTCTCTTTCGCTATACCATATGACTTCGCGACAATTGAGGAAAAGACAAGCCCAACACATTTTATTTATTTATAAAAAAGGGGTTTTTTGTGATTTTTTTTTTTATATTTCCATTACTTCATATCCATCTACCTTGTGTGTCCCGATAAATCTTGCCTTTTAAGTTCTTTGACTACCAAGTTCTTTTTAGAGTTGTAATAATTATCATTGACCAATTGTGTCTGTGTTGTCTTAAAGTAACAAAGACAATATGATGTAAAGCTTCGGGGTGGTGGATAGCTTCAAAGCCTTCAAGCAATGAATATCGATGGATTTACAGGGATCCGCTGTGTGTTTAAGTGACCATAGGATATTTTGTTATAGATTTAATGGATTTTGTCAGTCAATTAAGAGAATAGGTTGCAAGACTGGTAAAACACAAACCTGATGACTGATGACTGATGACTGATGACTGATGAGCTAATGATATCAGCTTACACGTTGTTCAAGAGATTCGTCAACACACTCGAGAACAAGTAGAAACCTCTATTTCTTATTTCAAAATTCAGGTCAAGAAACTTATTACAGTTATAGAAATAGTATTGGTTCATTGCTAAAAACAAAACGAAAAGAACTCCCAAATCAATGAAGATTCAATTAATCAAAATATCAAATGATGTAGTTTTGTTGGGTATAATCTTTTGTACGTCAGAAAAAGGTGGCCGTTGGAAAATAATACCCTAGGAGGAAATCTTCTCTTTATTCATGGTATAATTCCTTGGTGCTACATATGAACGCATTTCAGATTAGCCAGAGATAAGTTTACGTAGATATGTTGTGGTACGTAACGTAGGTGTGAATGCATCTCCACGTCTTGAGATTTGGTTGGTTACTAGATTAGCGTTAGTTGGATCAGATGTAAACACATCGTTGGTGTTTCAGATGTGGTAAATAGACGTTTGTAGCTTCTCAAAACATTTTTGTGATTCACACTCCACCAAATAAGATATGTGGCCGTTGCAACAAGCTCTAGTGCCCTACGCATCTTGGAGGGTTGGTGGGTTTCCAGATATGGTAAGTAGACACCGGTTTGCTCTCCAAAGTAACCATCTCCACATATTGAAGCTTCAATGGTCCATGATCTAGGGTTGGGGCTGAAAATTAAGGTTTGTATGTCTTTGGTTCCGAACCAAGGGCTTTTCGTGCGTGTTGGATCCATCGGTTTATTGGTCTGGTACGAGAGCCTTGTGCCGTTCCTATCTAGAACACGTATATGAGTTGCATAGATCCTTAGCAGAACACTTATATACCATGATACTATACATAGCACAAAAGATTATTCAAATAGAAGAATTTTTGTTACATAATTTATATAACTAAAAACAGAACATGCGTGCGTTATTCTAATTTATATTGCAAGACCATCATGTGTGCAGGACACAAAGGCTGACAAGATTTTAATTTTTAAAATTATATGTGATCATGTCTAGTTATTCGGTACAAACAATCTACCGAAGAATGAAGTGTAGTCATTAATATGTAGACGAGTCCAATAAAACACATGATACCATGCTATGTCGACATTGGAAGAGATATATCACATTATAGAGCTTTGTGGATCTCCAGGAAGTAATATTTATCATTCAACTTTGACAAATGTATCATTTTGATGCAAATTATAAAGATCTTTTCAAAGGCCAAATAAATCATTGATAAATTTTATAAATTTTAATTTTATGCGATTATACAATTGTTTCTAATATTATAAAATTTTCTATATTGTATCGTTTTCTAATCTTAGGTTTTTCTTATAATCGTGATTCGTGAATCGTTCTCTAATACTAACAGAGGGAGTAGTTCATATTCCAAAGTTTAAAACTCTTTCAAATTTTAAATATTAAAATATTTAAAGAACTGAATTTAAATCTATAATTGAATAATATTCTGGTAATTCTATAAAAATTGTTAATAATATTTTTGGAGGATGTGTTGTATCGAGATTTCTCCATTTTTGGTAATCTATAATTATTAACAATAGTAATTTTTCGATTCTTTTACATCATATATATCTCAATAAATAATTTATGGAATTTTAGGTGGTAAATAATTCCTATAAAATGGTAATTTACCAAACAAGTAAAGACCGTTTTTCAAAAAGAAAAGGGAAAGCTAGGAGACCAAGTTATGATTGAGTTTTTACAAAGATGGAAAAATATCAGTTGAAAAAGAAAAAGATGTAGAAAAAATATCAAAAAAAAAAAAGGAGAGAGACCTCTAGCTGCTCATCTTCACCGTACGCTTCTTCGATCTGTGCTTCTCTCTCTCCCTCTCTTTATCTCTCTAGCTAGTAGCTCCATAGACTCCCCATTGTTACGATTCTTTCCCAAAGGCTAGAATGTGGAACCCTAGATTAGCTCAATTTAGTTAGAGCTTTCCAGAGATCTGTCTACTTTTTGCTGTATACTTCTACTTTCGTAGCCCCTCGAGCTCGAGGGCTCTGAGCTTCAAGTGATGGGGAACTGTTGCAGATCTCCCGCGGCTGTTGCTAGAGAGGACGTGAAATCCAACTATTCCGGCCACGATCACGGCCGTAAAGACGCTGGCGGTGGGAAAAAATCGGCGCCGATTCGAGTCCTCAGCGATGTTCCCAAGGAGAATATCGAGGACCGGTACTTGCTCGACCGAGAACTAGGTCGCGGCGAGTTCGGCGTCACCTACCTCTGTATCGAGAGGTCTTCGCGCGACCTGCTCGCCTGCAAGTCGATCTCGAAGAGGAAGCTCAGGACCGCCGTGGATATCGATGACGTTAAGAGGGAAGTGGCGATTATGAAACACCTGCCCAAGAACTCGAGCATTGTTACTCTGAAGGAGGCTTGTGAGGACGATAATGCGGTGCATTTGGTGATGGAGCTCTGTGAAGGTGGTGAGCTTTTCGATCGGATTGTAGCTCGAGGGCATTACACGGAGCGCGCCGCCGCGGGAGTCACCAAGACAATCATGGAGGTTGTGCAGCTCTGCCACAAGCACGGCGTCATTCATAGAGATTTGAAGCCGGAGAATTTTTTGTTCGCCAACAAGAAGGAGAACTCGCCGCTCAAAGCCATTGATTTTGGATTGTCGATTTTCTTCAAGCCAGGTATGTCACTGCGTTGAGAGTCTTCTTTTGAATGTAGATTCTAAAATCAATTGATGGTCTTAGTAGAAAATTTAGACTTCAACTAATTTTTGTGTGAGTTTTGCATTAGATTCAAAGTTAGAGAGCTTTAATGTTGGTTCCTGAATATTTCCAAGAAGTTGGTGTTCTAAGTTTACCCTGCTCCTACAAATTAGCGTCACGGTCTCAACTCTCAACATATGAGGGATTCAGATTCTTAAATCCTCTAGCTTTTTGATGTTTCCACCTGCAAGCTTGAACTGATTATCAGTGGTATTACAGTGGATTACCGGTTCACATAGAAAGCTTCTTGTTTTTGCCGTCTCCCTGTATCTTGATTCAAACTTTAGCTGCACCTTGTCCTGTTCAACTGTTGTTGACACTAATTTCTTATAATGCTTACGCATATCCAGGTGAGAAGTTCTCCGAGATTGTGGGAAGTCCATATTACATGGCACCTGAGGTGCTAAAGCGGAACTATGGACCCGAAATAGATATTTGGAGTGCTGGAGTGATTCTTTATATTCTGTTGTGTGGAGTTCCCCCATTCTGGGCAGGTCTGCTTACTCTCTTCTCCATTCTCTCGATAACCTCTGCCTGAGCACTTGCTTATTGATTCTTTTAGTACCTCTTTTAGAAAGCTAGTTTTTCATAGTACCAACTAACATTGTTGTCTTTCAACCACAGAGTCGGAGCAGGGAGTTGCTCAGGCTATTCTGCGCGGGATAATTGATTTCAAGAGGGAACCGTGGCCAAACATTTCTGAGACCGCTAAGAATCTAGTCAGACAAATGTTAGAGCCTGATCCGAAGCGTCGGCTGACTGCAAAGCAAGTGCTTGGTACATAGAATCTACCTTTTGCCCTCTGCTCTTATTCTCTGCGTCTGCTACTATTTATTTTCCCAATCACTTAGCTGATCTGGAGATACTCTAAAAGATTGTTTATGCGTATTCCTAATCTTGATGCTATTTTTCGATTTCTAGAGCACCCATGGATTCAGAACGCGAAGAAAGCTCCAAATGTTCCTCTTGGAGATGTTGTGAAGTCCAGGTTAAAGCAGTTTTCAGTGATGAACAGATTCAAGAGAAAAGCTTTGAGGGTTCGTTAATTAGATAAGCTTTCACTGTCGATTATTCGCATATGTCACTTCTTAGACCAAAGCCATCTGACTTACTCTTATTTAAACCAGGTTATTGCCGATTTTTTATCTACTCAAGAAGTAGAAGACATCAAAGAAATGTTCAGCAAGATGGATACTGATAATGATGGCATTGTTACCATCGAGGAGTTGAAAGCTGGACTTCGCGATTTTGGTACAAAGCTAGCGGAATCAGAAGTTCAGATGCTTATTGAAGCGGTGCACACACTTCTCCCTTCTACATTACCGTGTTTGCTATTATTGATTGCTTGACTGAACAAGTAGAGTCAGACTTCTATGCATGATCCTGTCATTCAAATTCCGCGTCATATTTTAGTGATTTTGCTGTTCATTATAACACTATCCAAGTTCACTAAACTATGGTATTCGTATTTCAAATTTGTATAAAACAGGTGGATACGAAAGGGAAAGGAACACTGGACTATGGGGAATTTGTTGCAGTCTCGCTCCACCTGCAAAAGGTAGCAAACGATGAGCATCTCCGCAAAGCATTCTCCTACTTTGACAAGGATGGAAATGGGTACATTTTGCCCCAGGAGCTTTGTGACGCCTTAAAGGAAGATGGAGGGGATGACTGTGTGGATGTCGCCAATGATATATTCCAAGAAGTTGACACGGACAAGGTAAGTGTCAAATCTTCTATGCAGTGTATGATCTCATGTTGAAAAGATCTTTCTTTTGCAAAAATTATTAGGAAACCAAAGTTTTGAGGGACGCGTGACTTTAAAATCTCTTTTTCCCCTATTTGTTTGATATCAAAACCATTTGAAATTAGAGTCGTACAAATAGGACATAGTTAATGGAAACATGCTTTGGAAAAGGTTCTTAAAGCCTGCGAAGGACAAAACGTGTAGCTTTAGTCACTTTTTTTTAGTGTTGTTTTATTTTTTCGCCTTTGTCTGTTGTGTAAGCGGTCCCCATAAACTAAAGCAAAAATGATTTCTGTGTTGAATAGAACCTTAGAGACTATATAGTTAGTGTGAAGGAGATGTTTCTTCTGGTTATGGCTGACATGGATTATTGACATTAGGATGGGAGAATAAGCTACGAAGAGTTTGCGGCAATGATGAAAACAGGAACGGATTGGAGAAAGGCATCTCGTCATTACTCGAGAGGGAGATTCAATAGCCTAAGCATCAAGCTAATGAAGGACGGATCTTTGAACCTAGGCAACGAATAGCGCATTAGAGGTTTTTTAGAGTTCGTCTCTCACGTCACGTCAAGCATTAAACCAAGAGAAGGTAAAACATCCTGGGACTCAGAATTCAATCTTTTTTTGTAAATCTTTCGTTCTTTAACTTTTTATTTTTGGTGATTTATTTTATGATCTTGTGTCCTTTTTTTTATTGGTTTTTGGGCTGCGTTGTGTTTGTTTAGTTTGTTGTGGTAGAAAGGCAAAAAGACACGAGAATCAATATTTGATGTGTAGAAGAAAAAAAAAACAAGTCCTTTCTGCTCATGATGTTGTAATATTCTTTCGTCTTTCATATGAATCAGTCACACAACTCCTAAATCTGCTCAGAACAGGTCATACAAATTACTCCGAATATGTTTTGATGGCATAATACATAAGTAATTCAAGTAACCCTTAATCAGAGTTTGTGATGACTTGTTTTATAACTTAAAAGTAAGAGTCCAAGTGAAGGTTGATAAAAAACGAAAAAGACATCATTTAAACTTAAGTAGTCTTTTCATAGAGAATATTATTGATAATACATATATCATGAGGATGATTTTAAACTAAAAACGAAAACTACCTAGTACCTAGTTTCCTTTGTTTCCGCTCTTAGAGCATCAACATCAGTGACTACTACACCAGCAACCCCCTGCATTATTGGCCTGCAAAGCAATAAAAGGGATCAATAATCGTTTCACAAATCGATGCAGTTGAGGATCTAGAATAATCCAACCAAACTCCATTATGTCCTATTGAGACTTTCTTTATTGGAGATGAATCACTCATCTTGCAGGAGCAAAGTAGCTTTCTTTCCAAAGTTGACAGTAACATGCAATCATTTTCAACAAGATTCGAGCTTCAAGATGTTAAATCTAAAGCCCATTTCAGAGTAAGTATACAGATCAAGAGCTAAACTAGCCATACCAAGATATCGAAGTTTCCCAAATTTGGGTTTTCACAAACTCGTAGGGAGATGTGATACTCGAAGAATCAGACATATCGAGCCAATCAGAAAGTCGAGCTCTTTTCTAAATTTTGAGACCAAAAGTTTCAACGCTTGAAGTTTGTTTGTTGTTGTTCTAGTTGGAATGTGGGTTATTTTAATGAGACTTTTTTTCTTCTGAAAATACAACAAAATATCTAGTAATTTTACCATTTGAAAAAACATACAAATTCATATCGCCTTACAAAAAACCCTGATATACTGGATTAAAATGTATAATAATATATGATGTACTTTTTACAGAAAAAAATCTGATAATTTTTACTAAAATAAAATTCCTTAAACATAACATGGTCGTATGTCATCTAATTATATAAGATGTTGTTAATAAAAGGGAAAGTGCAGAAAAAAATAACAACGTCTTATATAATAATTAAGTGACAAACAACAAAAACTCCAACCAAGGAAAGAAAGTTACAAGAAGAAGATATTAGACTGAAGGACACCACGAGAAGCAGAGACGCCAACACAAGACAACTCAAAGACACATGTGTCCTGTACGAATAGTACTGTGCTATGTTATTTATTATTCCGGAAAGCTCCACAATTCTCTAATCATTTTGAAAATTTCCCCACTATCTCGTTTGGCTCGGTGTGATCTACGTAACGTATGGACAACAATCGACAAAAAGGCATACAACTCACACAATTAAAAAGTCAAGAAAAAGATTTAAAGTTGTGTTTCGATATATTTGTAACCTCATGAGATAGGAAACTTCGAGGAAGGCCTCTATTTGAGATGGAGTGGAGTCTCTATATAATGTACCTCTCGCATGCATGTGAGATGTTTGAACGACCATATCTTTTTTTTTCATTTTTTGTTATATAGAACGACCATTTCTGGATACTAATATTTACAAGATATTTGTCCCTAATATTTAAGTGAAATTCCTAAACAAATTTTGCATATAAAAATTCCCTTGAACCTAACCGTTTCAGCTATACATATCATAAATTTTGTAACTAATTTCAGCTGCTCATTTGTACAGACAGTGGCGAGTCTAGTAAGGATCATACGGTGTCAAACACTCACTTTTAAAACTTTCAAATTGACGAATTTAAAACTTTGGAATTATTCGTCTAAATGATTGAGAAACTGACCGAAAAAGAAAATAGCCGCATCTCGCATTTATTTATCCATTCTTGTTCTTAAAACTGCCGCTTCGAAAAGCCAAAGGCAAAGGCGTTAGATTCGTACGCCTAAAGTGAAAACGAGTGATGCTACTGCTAACCACACCTTGAGTCCGATACAACTTTGCAAGTTTCCATTGGAACACTCTTAAAGTACAGGTATAGTGTACAACACAACCTAAAACAGAAGCATTACATATCTAAAACGTAATCCGCTTTCTAAAGTTTAAAACTATCAAACCAGTTAAAAATAACCCAATTATTTTAAAGCATAGTTAGCTATAAACATTTATAAATTCAGTCTACAGCCTTAGATAAATTTATATGCAAATATACTAATCAAAGTCATAAATCAAAATCATAAACTCATTATAATTATCTTAAGCTAAAGAATCATGTCAAAGCATGAATCCCAAATTATAACTACCATTTATACTTTTAACCTCCTTAATACTGAGTTTAAGCATGCTTTAAGCATAAATAAAGATATACATCATACATCAGTTCTCTTAAAAATAAAACCTAAACAAGTGAACATACATCCAAATTCATTTCCAAGACAAGAATATTAGTACAGATCAAGCACGGTACAATGAACTATAAAAAGTTCCAAGAGAAATCACCCTTAATGTTCTAAAATAAGGTCTAAACCACTCAAATCAACATTAAAAACATCAAATGGGGTATGCTAAGTAAGTTTACCTTGACAACCTTTTCTTATATTTTTATAATAAACGTTACAAAATAGACTGCGCAGTCAGATAAACCAGAAATGTCGTTTACAATGATATTATATTCTGGTACATAAAATATATATTGTCCAACAAAAGATTCCTGAAATTTCCAATTAACACACATGTTCGTATGGATGTGAGATAACAAAGAATTCAACTCTGATGATCACCTATAAGTCATTTAATAACATTTATTTTGTATTTGTTGTACTCGCATCGTTTTATGAGCATCCCCACTACTTTCCTAAATAAAACAATCGTATGCCATTTTTCTAGTCATCGTCCAATTTTTTTTTTGTTGCCATCTCACTAATTTACTACTACTTGACTCAAAACAAAATTACCCAAAAGAAAATACACGATACGATGAGAGAGACGTATTTCAGCTAAATGCAAATCTACAAAAAAAAATGAATAACAAATCTACTAAAATGTGATTTTCGTCAATACATAGCAAAAAAAAAATACCAAAAATTCGGGGAAATTGCATGCGTGGACCCAACTTAAATCAGAAAAGAGTCGCCACCTATTTAAACAAACCCTGACACAACACAAACAGATGGAGAATCAAAAGTATTAAGCTATGGGGAGTACTGTGGAGCCATCGGCAATCACCGAGAGCGGAAACGCAAACGCAAACGCGACCGTGAAGGGATCGAGCAGGGAGCTGCGACATGGGAGAACGGCGCACAACATGTCGTCATCGTCGCTAAGGAAGAGATCAGACCTGAGGTTGATTCAGAGGGTTCCATGCAAAACTCTGAAAAAGATTCTCTCAAATCTTCAAGAAGTCATTCTTGGTACTAAACTCAATGTCTTATTTCTCGCGATTCCTCTCGCCGTTTTCGCGAATTCTTACCACTATGGTCGCGTAAGCTCTCTTCTTATTACTCTCTCTCTCTATCTCAGATAAATTAAGCTATTGTTATTCAGTTTCCCAATGTTTTAGTTGATGGAACTAGGACTTTCTTTTTTCTTCCCAACCAATTTGAAGGATATTACTTCTTTAGTTAGTTTTTAATGGAGTTTTTTTAGATTTAATTTCCACCATATATTCATCTAAAAGGTAAAGAGTATATAGCAAACAACAAAATCACTTGTTCTTCTTGCGTCAAAGCAAAACTCGAACTGGAGATAGATACAGAACTATGTTCCTTCACACAAATTATCTATTTTTTTGGTTAAATTCTTTGATCATACACCTGTTAAAGAGTATTCAATTATTCTGTCTCGTCAAACACGATTTACGTTCCCAATACCAGTGGTTAGTTTTTTCTGTTTGTCAATATTCGGCGTATTATGCCACGTAATTATCCGTTACCTATATTTAGTGCGTGGCATCAAAACGATAAAGAAAAGTTTATTTATTTCTAAAATACTTTTCTTTTGTAAAAATGTGTCACAGCCTTTGATATTTGGACTAAGCTTGATTGGGCTGACACCTCTAGCTGAGCGAGTTAGCTTTTTGACAGAGTAAGTTCTTATCGTCCCACAAACTTTTTTTTTATATTAAAAGGTGATATTATCTCAGTGTCTCGTATTATTTTTATTCTTTTGCAACATTTCATAATCCTGTCTTGTTAATATATTTTCACTGATTAAGGAATATTTAAAATATAT